ACAATGGAGGTGTTCTTAATAATACATATTATTAAAAACACCTCGAGAAACGCTCGAAGACTCCCGGCGGGAAAATTCGGAGAATCAGCGTCAATTTCGAGGGGGTCTTCGCGAGTTTTTTTTCGCAACCGCAAAATACATACATATGTATTATTCTTTTTACCTAGTGATTTGGAAATTTTTTTTGTAAAAGCACCTTTCTTGTTAAAAACACAAAAATCTCACAAACATTCCTATTTTTGATTTCTTTTTGAATTTTGGTTAAACAATCATACAAGACCATAGTAAATCGAAAAATTTGTTGAGAATACGCTTCTGAAAGATAAGTGATCAGCTTGGATGAAGGTAGGAAGAACCTGTTATTTTAATTCATCACACTTAACAGGTGATAAATAAATATTTGCAAGCAAGAGTTTTAAACGTCGAGCCCTCTGTGCATAGATCATTTGATCTCAATACATTCTCAATGTGGATCAAATCTTCAAAGTCCTCTAAATCCCATTGGTATAGGAAAGTGTTCATTGATTGATGGAAATCTGAATGAAAAGTTTTGGTATTCTTTCGACGACGCCATCTTGCCACATGTGTTTCGAATTTCAGTTAAGGGTCATTACTCAGACGTCATTCATTGTTCGTGTGGCATGCGTCAACACTCAAAGTTTAAACCCGAAGAATGTGTTGAAGCATTCTGATTTTTTATTACCATTTTCTGTAATCCTATCCATCCCTTTTTTGTCTTATCAAAGGAACACACAATTAGTGACCACACCCTGTGAATCATCGCGATACATAGTTTAAACACCTCGAGAAAATCCCCTTCGCAAATATTTTCCCTCTTTAATAGCTAATCCACATTAATATAATTATAAAAACCTATTTTTTATGAAATTTCTAAAATCATGAGGCCAGAAATTACACATTCGAACAATCTATTTTTCTCGCCTTTTGATCTACATACGTGAATTTGCCGGCGTTCCCGTTTTTTTTTCTGGATACTCACACACTTTAAGAAGGTGTTTCGAACATCTCGAACCTTTCATAAAATTCCAAAAAAACGTGTTGTGTTTGCTCGAAAGATCGAAAATCATTGTGCTCATTTTTAACTATAACCCGAGCCCAAAAAAATTGCGAAATTTTTCGTTTTGCAAACATCGGCTAGAATCGGCCAGGTTTTGTTGATTTTTTGCGCGCCACTTTCTCCGCTCAGCTTCTCGCTGAGATTCTTTACAATTCGAACAACTTCTCCGCAATTTTGCGTCATCCTCATCATCTTCTTTTTTTTGTAAATTCGCATGCGTTTTTTTTTTGACTGACGATGTTTAACCTTGATGCGCGATTCTCGTTAATTGTCGATTAAAGACTCGTTTTTTCGCATCCTGGTATAATTTATTTATTGATTTCTCCCTATTTTTTAACAGGTTGGCCTTTATAAGAGTTACAGAATGCTGGGTGGGTCACAAGCATAAAAAAAATAAATGATAGAATCTGATCATGGACTAAATTCGATATACGGTTCATATGGTTATGAACCGTATTTCTGAAATCACTACGATTAAAGCAACATTTTTAAAAGCGTGGCTTTATTTAATTTATTTCAATTAAAAATGTTTTGAAGCTAATGTGAATATTGCGACATAATTCAGAACATTTCAAGACTAAATGTGATTTTTGAGAAGGGAGGGAATTTAATTTTGCGAAATTAGTGTAGATTTACGTGCGGCGAAATAAAAGCGATGATGGAATATGAAATACAAGAAGAAAAGTATGCAGATATTCTAGGCCTCGAAACATCATGTCACATAACCATGATTTTTTTTTTCTTTTGTTCAGTCTTTTACGCCGATTATAATATTTTAAATAAACAATGCTAAAATAAAGCAAATGATTTCAAAATGCCTTTATTTGAAAAATGATTGATTGATCCAGTCGTACATTCGGTTGCATCCACTCTTCTGGAATTGATTGTTTCCATTCTTTCTTGGGGTCGTCTTCAAGCAGCGAGAGCCAAGAACACGAAAATTCGAAGAAACTGAACATCGTATTTCGAATTTTGAATCTATCCTGAAAAATGCTTACCATGATTGATGAAGTCAGTCGAAACTGATGCCGATTCATCAAATTTCTTGATTTTTTTGTAAATAACGAAAACGATCTTGGATAATGTTTGTATAGAATTGAAACTTTTAATTTTCAAAAATTGTGTCCAAAGTTCAAATGGATAAAAAAAATGCAAGAATATGCATATTCAAATTTTTGAAAACTATTGATTTCTATTTTAAGCATTTTAATTATTTTACCCCCCACAGAGCTTCTATAGTAGAATACGCCCACATGAATTTGAATTTTGGAAAATGAAAAAATCAAGCGAATATAAATACTGTGAGAATTGGATGAATCGGCATCAGTTTCGACTGAGTTCATCAATCATGGTAAGCATTTTCAGGATAGATTCAAAATTCGAAATGCGATGTTCAGTTTCTTCGTATCTTCGTGTTCTTGTCTCTCGTCTACACTGTCTCCACGGTCAGCGTAGTTGCTTGTGAGACGTTCTGCTCGTATGTGAATGGCGGACCATCCAGCAACTACTGTTCCCCATTCCGAAGCTTCGCTGCTGCCCAGAACCGAACCTGCTTCTTGTTGTGCGTCAGAAGATGTCTCAAAACTGGAGGAACCTGCCGCGTCAACCCGGATTACAAATGCTGCTTGAAGACGACCCCAAGAAAGAAAGGAAACAATCAATTCCAGAAGAGTGGATGCAACCGAATGTACGACTGGCTGTATGATTAATCAATCCTTTTCAAATAAAGGCATTTTTGAAGTCATTTGCTTTATTTTAGCATTGTTATTTTGAAGTATTACCAAAAACGAAAATCCTCGTTACTGTGTGTCTGTGATATAATTTGTGATGAATTTGAAAATTGACAAGTCAATGATTCTTCGCTACTGATTTTTCTCTAATTAAAATGCTCTAATAACCCTTATTCAATGAAAAATACGAATTGAAGTAGTAACTACTGTATTTTTTTCAAAACAAGTTAGGCCTAGGTTAATTTCATTTGCCTTCTTATCAAATCTTGCAGGCTTAAACAAGTTTTTGCTTGATCAAAATGACAACTATTAAAATTTGATTAACTATTTTAATATGAGCCTAGTTTCTGTTCAGAATTGCCGATGTTTTTTAATAATTGATTTTTTATTGAATTTTTGAAAACACCATTGGTGCAAAAAAATATGTAGAAACATTTTTATTTCTTTAAATGAACGCGTGAAAATCTCAAAGTAAATGGCTCCAAAATTTAAAACGAATAGTTTAAAAAAACTATTTTCAAGCAGTTTTTTATGTCCGAACTTCAAAAATTCCCAACATTCCTTCGTTGCAGCTGTTTGTTCAACATTTATGACACTTTCCTATTTTGTGTGCTCTGTATCCTTTGGGAAATGATTAGATACCAATCGAAATCATAACGGACCAATGTTGAATTGTGAGCATAATCAAGCGATTTGCATAATTTTAAAACCATTTTCCGCGTTTTTTTTTTCATCAATAATTTTCTCTATTACGATATTCCCACAATTCGTCATTTCTTTTTTCTTCGAAGTTCTCAAACAACTCTCCTCGAGTACACAATCAAATACGTTACTCATGGACGCAGTGAAGTTCATGCAGAATAAATACACAAACGAGAATTGATTTCAAGCAAGACCAGTCAGTCCGTATTCCTTTTATTTTTGCTAACCCTCTCTCCCGATTTTCGATAGTGTCGCCCCCACTCATCCATCCGAATGTTCGAGAATTTGATAAATTGCATCATATCGGAGCTATTTATGTACATGTTGGTCGCGTCATTGCACACTCACATCACGAACAGCTGCTTGACCTTCTTCTGACCTCTCAGTCCGTCCAATTCGTACTCTGACTTCAAGACATTTGTTGTAATTTTCCGATGACAAAACATATTGTTTAAAGTTGGTGATTAAATGCGATTTAAAAAAGCGACGAACAAAGTATAAATGGAGGACGAATGATGGGCGCTTTTGCAAACATTCACTTCCAATTATTGTCATTCTTTCTTACTAAAAGGACCACGCAAAAAAATCGCCCAAATTTTCCATATGCCGGCTGCTTTTTTGAACATTGAAATTGAAATTCCGACCCAAAAAAGGCGAATTATGCAAAACCCGCACGTCAAAACCTATTCTAATTCATATTATAAACCATCAAAATCGATGTAGCTGATAAAGTTCATATTTTTTGATAAACTAGAAGCTCTCTTTGATAAACACAAAAAGTTATGACGGTTTCTCAAAAATTTTTGCCTCATTTTCAACGAAATTTGATAACGTTTTTCCGCCCACGCGGAAATCCAATTCTCTCCACATTTTTTTTGCTCGATGGTAGTCATTTAAATGGTCAACATTCCCCAAAATAACTGTCTGATAAGGTCACAACCTGACGCTTATTCATATTTTTGCTCAACCCACTTGTCGGTGTGACTCAATGCCAAATTCGTCGTTTCGGAGCTATCAAGAAAAAAAAATCGAAATGCACAAATCGAAGTGGTGAACAAATATTTGTTGCGGCTCACATTTGGCGGAGATCGCGTTCGAAGTTCTTGAATGAACTCGGCGAGCAACAATCGTCCTCTCAATCCCATTACTCATTCTCATGATTCCTGTTGGGGCTCATTTATGTGCATTTCCCTTTTGCTCGAAACTTTTAAGCATTCACTCATTGATCGATCGATTTCTCAAAACCACACCCCAGTTTTTTGAGACATTCTGCAGTTCAAAAGAGCAAACAAAAACGATAATTTTCGATAAACACCAAGCCTGTCAATTTTCATTTTTTTTCCCATCGCTTTTTCCTATTTTAGTCGCTCATTTTCACGGACAGATCCTCTTAAAAATTGAGTACACAATATCCGATGAAATCTCATCCCTTCGTTGAAATCCATACGCTTTTTGACGTGTTTTGAATTCTAGGCAAGTGACCAAAAAAAATGCGGACCAAGAGAGTCAAACGTGCTCAAGTCGATGAGAGCACAATGTACCCGACGTACGAGCTCACGCTGAAACCCGGTTTGTTGTTTTTTTTGTCGAATCGGATAACACCAGCAGACGTGTCTTTTCAAACATTTCGCTCATTTCTTTAGAAATTCGTACATTTTAAGATGAAGAAGCTCGCGCGATCACAAAAACGCTGGAAAATATTGAGATCGGCTCAAAATTGATGCTGAAATGCAGCATGATCGCCAATGAGTTCGACAATCTCATATTCATGGCGGGAAGCGACGAAATCGGCGACGAGATTGACGCAACGAGGTTTTGTTGAAAATTGGGTTTTATTCATCAAAACGAATTAAGCAAACAATTCTTGATCGAGTCGTTCGACAAGAAGAATGCCGGAATGTATGAATGCGGAGCGACGCGAAAGTCCGACAAAAAATACCATTCGAGACAAATGCGAGTGTCGACAAAAAGAGAGGTAAAATGATTTATGATCGATTTTGGTTGGGGGGGGGGTTTTGTCAATTTATGACTGAAAAAAATGAAAGAATCGTGAATTTCAGAACAAATTAAATTTGCCGACGTGCTCGGCGGAAGAAGATGACGACTTCTGCGGCCCTCATGGCGCCTGCTTTCAAGACGATTCACGCAAAATCTGCCTGTAAAAAACAGACATTTTTGGAATGATTGGTTAAATTTTTGTGATTTAGATGTGACGACGGCTACATGGGCGAGAGATGTGACAAGGTGCTTATGGCAGCCTATGAGGGTACGCCTAACTACTCTATTCAACAAATCCGCTCGTTTCACTGTGAGACTTCTCCCCTTCATGTTTTTTTCTCTTTCTAACAATTCTCTATAGCTAACCCGCACTTTTATGATAGTTTTGAAAATGTTTAATTTCACTTTTTTTCAGTGAAACTACTCAAAGTTGTCGGCGGCACCACTACATCATTAAACATCGTCTGGTTCTTCTTAGCAATCATATTCGCGTTATTGTTCGTCAGAGAAAAGTACGAATTTAAAAATTTAAAGGTGGAAAAAAAATGAAATGTTTTGAAGGAGTAATACGCGGCGATTACGAAAGCAGTATGAGAGTCCATCGAATAATAACCACAAGGGAAATGAGGTTTATCGCGAGACGACGACAAGAGCCGAAGGAGAACAAGGCGACGAAGGACGAGACGGATTCGCGCGGAGCAGCATCAAGCGAATGCGGTTGGCACTGCACAGGGTTTGTCTATTTTTGAGAGATATAGTATTTCTAAATTTTCTACGGGTCGAAACATAAAACATTCAATTTATTATTAGTATACAAAGCATTATTCGATTGTCTTTTTTTTACCATATCTAATTAATATTGTTGTTAAGTAGAAGAGATCTTCTTGATAGGACCCTTTTTAATTGTCTTGCACACTGTTTAAATGTTTTTATCCGACGTTTCGATCTTTTGATCATCATCAGGGAAAATTAGTTTTTTACTCAAGTTTGGTTCAATTAAACAGGTTTGAGGTAAATTGACATTCCCTGATGATGACCTAAAGATCGAAACGTCGGATAAAAACATTTAAACAGTGTGCAAGACAATTAAAAGGGTCCTATCAAGAAGATCTCTTCTACTTAACAATAATCCACACGATGCACCCAAAACAAGTTACTCTAAAACTAACAAAACTAATTAATATTGGTTTCAGGCTCGCCTCAACGGTACTTCTGATTCCAAACCCCTCAATCCAGCCTAATAATTCGTCCGATGTTCGCAGGAAAACCAAAAAATGGTTGACAACAACAGTTGTGGATCTCATACGGAAAAAACCGCATCATAATATCAGAAAAGCAGCAAAAAATAAGTGCAAACATTTAATTTATTTCTTAATTTTTAAATATTTATTTATAATTAATAAAACAGAAAAAAACTAACCACCACGAAAAAAAGACAAAAACAAGAAAAAAAAACCCTAAAAAATGAGTTATGCACAGAGAATTAAGAAACATCAGTGGAAAATTTTTTACCCGTTTTAGGAAAATCCTAAAAAAAACGGTAAAGCAAATTGAAAAAAAAAACAATGGTAGAAAAAAAAAGTGCATAGATATATCGAACGACAAGAGGGAGAAGAGGGGGATACAATGAAACATGATCAAAACTAACAAGAGTAAAAACAAATAATGAAAAAAAATAAATATAATAAATTAATTTTAACAGCCCAAAATGTAATACTATGCAGATTTTGAAGGAATATCTAAAAATCGGTTTTTCGCATCATGCAGTGAGGTTTTTTTAAAGAATTCTCAAGGACCAATATCGGACTTTTGAGTTTATTTCGAAATCTGCATATTACCACTACAATCGCAAAAAAAAACTGAGCGTCCCTGATACATTCAGACGTTAATACAAATTTTACGCCTCCTTGTTAGCATCCTCGTTGCTTCGGCGAGTTCGTGGAAGCCCATCAAGCTGTACAACAGACTCAGCAGGCTTCGGCGGACGAACTTCACGTTGCATCGATGTCGGCACAACAAGCGTCGGCGAGAGATCGGATTCCAAATTCCTGAGTTCTCTTCCTTGAAAGGACGACCTATTTCGTTTGATTTTCTCAAGACGCACATTTCGAGCCAGAGCGATTGATTCTCTGAAATCGATTCATTACAATTTTTCCAACTTTTTTCAAATTACATCATTCGTCTTTTCATCTGGCGAACAGACTTCTTGGCAGCTGGCTGTTGTCTGAAAAATTGACTTTAAATGGTATGTTGCCGATGTTTTTTTTTTAATTTTTTTTTTGTTAAAATCAGTTCAGTTTTAAAGTTTCAGAAAAAAAAAACACATTTTGTTCGCTCACTTATGCGTGTTCTCTCCATTAAGCAGTTTTCCATTGGTCTTCGATTCCTCGACACCTTCTGATCCGATTGGCTTGCCAGATTTCAAACCAAGTTGTCCAGATTCAGGAGATCTAGTCGACGACGATTCTCCATTCTCACGCTTGGTGTACCTAGAATAAATAAAAGTTGAAATCAATTCCTAATGACAAAATTGTTCTCACTTTCTTTTGACGGGCGGCACAAACGTCGGCTTCTCCAAATAGTCCGGAACATTGCGACGAACCGGAGCTTTCGGAGAAATCGCGTCAGTCGTCATCGCTATTTGCAAATCACGAAGAGTTCGTACGAATTTCGGCCTGGAAATTTTCGTGTCAAACATGACCAATAAATCGCATGTGTTACTTGGGTGTTGAAGATGATTGTCTCTCATTTATAGGATTTAAAGACATCGCGGTCGAACTCGGTTCTTCTGTGGCTAACTTGGGTGTTTCCAGAGATTTCAAAGACGACGAGGATTCACTTTCCTTCTCAGGACTCTTCTCAACTTTTTTCTCGATCTGCTTCTTTTCAATCAAATTGTTCTCATGTGTCGTCACCCCATTTGAAATAGGAGTTATCTTCTTTCTGGAAAAAAAATTAAATCTAAGAATCAAATTTCAAATTTTCAGAGTACTTACGGTGCACTGGGTCTTCTGGCAATAAATGGCCGGTTGAAGACCTTCGAGTCCCTTCGTCGAGATCCACGCACTTCCGTCACATTTTCTGTGAGACTTGTCGCCAATTTTCTAAGCTCATTTTTAATGAGAGCCTGTTTAGCCTCATCCAAAACCGGAGGAGCTTGACTGAAATTTTTGAATGTTCATTAATAAACCATTCAATTGAATTGGTACCTAGTAGATGGTACATCGCGCGATCTGTTAGCTGACAACACTCGCGATTGTCCATTTGAGGTTCTTGCCAACGTGTTCTCACCGCTACGACGCTTCGCCGATGACGGAATGAGCATTTTATCAGTCAAGTCCGAATTCAATTGGCGTGTCGCAGCGCTAACGTGTCTGACTCCAAGAAGCTCCTGCTCAACGCGAATTCTAGACAATTTTGATTTGAACACTTTTGTTGTCACAATTTCGAAGCACCTGTATCTTTCCGCCGAACAACTCGACTTCAATCTCTCAAGCATCTCGTCTTGGCTCGGCAAGCAGCGGCTCACATCGAACCCAAGAGCAAGCGCCAAATCCTTGGTCACATATTTGTCGCGACAATGAGCATGAATGACGGCATCCGGCACACGAACCTCCAATTTCATGCAAATGCGACGGAACATTCTGTCGATTCTGAAAATAATAGATGATTTTGAAAACAATTAATTTTCTGAATTGCCTTCTCTGTCGTTTCTCTTCCTTCTTTTTAAGAATTTTTATGAATGCTCGTTCGATTGGGCGTGCGGTGAACTTCAGATCATAATCCCTTCGAGCGAACTAAAAAAAACAAAAGCAATTCGTTTTTTTTTTACATTTAAAATAATTACCGTTATGGTTTGACTCGCAACATAGCGCTGATCGATTGGAATTTTATTAGTATAAATGTTCAATCCCATCCAAACATACGATGCGATTTCGCTAGTAACCGGTATCAGAACACAGAATTCCGAGTTGTTTTCGACATTTCTGAAATGAATAAATCCATTATGCGTTTTTTCGCGTTTTAAAATTTACTTATGAATGAATGATCGCTCATCTCTGTGTTGCATTGCTTTCTCAAGAATGCTGGCTATATTTTTATCAATCAAGCCGTACTGAAAATGTTTGAATTAATTCATTTTCCTAAAAATTTAAATCGCACCTTTTCAAATAATTCATCCTCGCCTTTCTGACATTTCACAATGTGCGATGTGAACTCAGCGACTCTCATCACCTTTTTACTACAGACGTTGCATCTGAATGGCGCCCACTGAAAAAAATAAAATAAAATTATTAAAAATTGTTTAGAAAATTCCAGTGTGTACCTCAATTTTGCAAATTTTTCCTGAAAATGGTGCTCCGTGACGCTCAATGCGCAAATCCTCATGACACCTTTTGAGAACTTCGCTGAATTCGCTAATGTACTGTAACTCGTTGGTATATCGGCACACGATCGGGATCGGTTCACGCTTCGGCCACAGATTGTTCGTTTTCGCTAATTGTACCGGAACTGGAAGTCTGGAAAATTTGTTTCTTTTATTTTTAGCAAAAAATATTCGCTGTTTGGCATTTTCGCATGTCGCAACCTTCGAAGGTTACACTCTATTCCCATTAAAACCGGTCGGATCACTAATTTCGCTTCGGATTCTTTTTTCCATGAAACCTGATACTGATTTTCTAACACACGTACACTACGCTTTTAGTTGATTTAAAAAATTGATCATGTGACCATGTTTGGGCAAGTTGAAATAACTTACTCGATTCTGACGGTCTCGCCGTCCGGATGAACAAAATCCGGATGCTTCGTGCGAAAGTGATGGCTGATTCTTGCAGGGGCCAACATTTTCTTTTTCTTCTTGAAGATGAAATAGCATAGAGTGCATTTCAAACCAGAATAGTGATCCTCCAATAGATGACTATAAATGGAGTCCATCTGCAATGAGCGAAGAATTAAGTGAGCAAATTGGCAATTTGCAAAGCGAACGAACAAATGAAGGAGTGAGTGAACGAATGTAGTATGAGTGGGTCAGTGCGTGTGTATATGTGTGAATATCCCATAGGCATTTGCCACGCCCATAATTGGTCAGCGAGTAAGACTTGTCACTTCGCATAGGCACCCGCAGGTGTTCATTCATATTTTCTGACGCATTTGATTGCGGAGGAAATGACGAGAGATTTTAGTTCCAAACTTGAAAGGATCATTTTTGTTCATAAACACTAAATGTGTCAACACTAATACGTGAAGCTGCAAACATATTTTCGTTAATTTCCAGAATGGAAAACCCACTATTTTTATTATACAACGCTGAAAGATATCTTTAACTATATAATAGTACCTTAAAGATTTAAAAATATCGAAATAACTTGAAATGATGTTGAAACGTTTGAATATTTCACGTATCCGCATTTACTCAATGGCCGCGGGCCGCAAATTTATCTCGGCCGCCACCGTTCTTTTCGATGAGTAATGCCTTTTGCGAGCTTTTCTGGAGCCATTTCACAATTTCATCATATTTCCCTTGGAGTATTGTGAAAGTTCAAAAATTCTGCTTTTGTTTAATATATGAAACAAACCGAATTACAATACACTAATTAATTATAACGAGATGTAAGCTAATTTTAAGAAATACCAGTTTTTAAAGTAGTTTTGGAATATATTGCAATTTTATTTGACAAAAGTCTTTAAAAATACATTTCTTATAAGGATTATTTATCAAAATTCCGAGATTAGCCTTGCTGCTTTCAAAAAACATAATTGAAACTTCTTCGCTATGATCCTAAATTATGACCGCAAAGATTTGATTTCACAGTCTTTTTTTAATATCATCTTAAAGAGGATCATCAAATCTATAAGTTCCTAAAAAATGACAAGAAAATATGAAAAGTCGGCGATGAAAAATTGAAAAAATCAGCAAAAATGTTATTTTTATACGAAGACGGCAGCGACCGCGACGAATACGCGACGCGTCCCGCACTTCACTCACACACACGCCCATTTTTTATAAGCGATGTTAGCTCGCCCAATGTTTGGACGAAAATTTCCTGGCACCAACAAAGAAACGGAAAATATTAATTGGACGATTTATAGAAAAGATCTCGGCGAACAAAATGAAACCGATTTCAGCGAAATCCGTCGACGAAGAACCGAGATATTTCAAAATTACGATAAGCAGTTAATTTCACGAGTTTTCATAATTAATGAATTCAGTTGTTTGTAATTGGAAAGAGATGAACAAAAAACGAGGGAAAACTGAAGAAATTAGTGGGATTCCTCAAATTCAACATGATTTATTCGATGTTTTCAAACTGTTTTCGCTGTCATCGCTCCCATAAATGATAACAGTTGGAGGAATTGCAATGCATCATTCTTTGAATTCTCTAATAGACGAAAGAAATTTGCAATATTGATTGCAAATAAGCAAATCATTTCAGAATTTTGGAAAATGTTTGAAAAAAAATTAATTGATGTGATCCGACTAATTTAGAATCGAAAATTTGAGGGCGGCGACTAACTTCTCAAAGTTCGAAATTTCTCGAAAATCGTTTTATAGATTCTTCAAAATCTTTTCAAATCTTATGTGTTTTGGCAATGAAGCTTCTTCATTGAGAATATCAATTATCTTAATTACATCAATTTTCGCCAATAAATTCTTTTGAAATTTATACAATTTTTCAACTCTCTTCTTCTTCTTCAAGAAAAATTTCTAAAATTGAACTTGCAAGATAATTGTTGGTTTTTTCTTTTTGAAAATCCTGGAACACATAATCGTTTTTGAAGCAAACAATTCAAATCTATTAATTTCAGTCAAATGTTGAAAGTCTCTCACACAAAATTGCTATAAAAATCGCCGTTGCCCATACAATCCATAAAATTTCCGAATAGACGATTCCAATAAAAATGAGCAATTAATATTTTTAATACCTTAATGACCTTATTCGTTTTCTGATGTCATAGTGTCCCTATAAAGTAGCCGATAAGTTTGTCTTGTAGGCGTTTTGTCTCGCGTTCGCTATTTCCCAAAAAAAAAGAACCAATTAACAGTTCTAATTAAATATTGCACGAGGCATCCACAGTTTGTTTGCGGTCAATGTGACACGTGTGAAAATGGGGGACAATAATGCACGTTTGTACCATCATGAAATGAACCATCATTTTTGTGTCATCAGAGAAAGTTTAACATTTGGCGTGCGCCATTTTGGGGAATGTTGAGGCAACAGCATAATTCAAAGACACAGAATATTGATCATATCACGTGTAGAAAAAATATTTTCTAAATTCTTTACTCTTAAAAAATTAGACAACTGTTTAAAACTGGTTTTTTGCACGTAGGCGTGTTTGAGTTTTTTGATGGGGGTTACCAATTTTGGGTTTTTTCTTGCAAAAGTTTTCAAATATAAAAAAACTGTAAAAGTTGTTCTTATTTAGTCTTCTCAACTTTTTATATAATAAAGGGAAGCTCATCAATTCGTAATTTCTGAATTAAGTGATCATTTCGATTTCGAGAAAAATAGAGCATACTAGAAATGCTCATCTTTATCACAACAACGTGAACAAGATCTTCATCGAGAGGACATCCGCATCATGTCTAAAGTTCGGGATCCCCTACAACACATCACGAAGAGGAAGATGACCTGGGCTGGACACGTTGCTAGAAGAACAGATGGAAGATGGACTACTCTTCTAACGGAGTGGCGGCCGTGGAATTGGACCCGGCCAAGAGGAAGGCCTCCCATGAGATGGTCGGACTCGCTTCGGAAGGAGATCACTACAAGAACAGATGAAGGAGCCGTTATCACCCCGTGGTCCACCCAAGCCAAGGACCAAAAAGCTTGGAAAGCTGTGGTTCGCGCCTCAACAGGCGAAGGACGAACCGACTAAGTGACTAAGTAAGTGAAAAAAATGTAAAAGTTGTTCTTATTTAGTCTTCTCAACTTTTTATATAATAAAGGGAAGCTCATCAATTCGTAATTTCTGAATTAAGTGATCATTTCGATTACGAGAAAAATAGGGCATACTAGAAATGCTCACCTTCAAGCATTAAAAGAACCGAATAATAGATCCTATTTAATTTTATGAATCGATGAAAAGCGAATGAGAAAATTCACATGATTAATTTTTTCGAACATATCTGCAGAAAACAACTGTGATTTTTATGAATTGCAAATGAAGAATTTCTCGGAAAAAGCATATCGATATTTGATGGTTTATTCATAAAAACATCAACGGAAAAATTTTGCATTGAAAATGGAAATAATGTGTTCAAAAATGTAGCCATCAATTTTCATTTTTTTAACTGAAAAATTTGCGAACGTCAAATTTACTATGCCATTTTTGAGATTTGTTTGAGCTTGGCGATCAAATTATGCATAAAAAGCTAAAAATTATAAAATTTCGATATTTTACGACCGACCGATTTAGGATGCAAATTCCCCCCCCCCATTTTTCTACATTGTTTTCTTCAGCTTTTCTTGTCTATCAATGAAATTGATGAATTATTCAAGAATGAACGAAATTCGATTCAAAAAACCCCCCAAAAGGTTAATGATAAATTTAATACCAAATGTTTTTTCTTCACGTCATCAAAAAAGAAATAGCATAGCTTGTTTCGTTTATTTCCTCGAGAGACTCAAAAAATTCAAAATTCGCAGAATTGTTCTTTTTTATGCGAGAAAACTACAAAACTTAATTTTGAATCGCTAATGAAATTCGCACAAATTCTGTAAAAACTATAATACGCAGGCACATTGTATGTATATTGGGAGAGAAATCTGACAATTATTCTAATAGAACGATCGATGAATTGAAAATTGGTATGTTTCAAATGGACAATGTCAAAATATGGGCAAAAAACGTCGAATGCAATCTTTTCAGCATTCGATTTTTTTAGTAGTACGACGAGAAAATGAACAAGAAACACATTTAAAAATAATACGAATCGAATATCTCCGATTCATTGAATATCCAGATCTGTAATCGTAGCCTAAAAAGAATTTCGACTTTCGTTCAACACTGCTCCAGATTCGGAGCAAATGCATCAAATTGTTCTCATGGAGAAAAACGAAAATATCAAAATTATAAGTTTTCGCATTTTATTTTCTCGTCGTGAAATCGCTTCATTAAATTTCTCATTTTTATCGAAAATTAAAACAATCAGGTTTACAGGGTGTCATTTAAGTTCCCGCACAAAAGTTAGACGCCATGAAAAGCTTGGCTGTCGCACTTTTCGTGCACCAATACAATTTATTTTTGTTAAATAAGGTGTATTTTACTTACTTTTCAAGTTTCACTTCATTCGGATGTGTTTCCGAGAAATGGCGAAGGCTAACATTCATCGCGCTTCCATTATCGAACTTCATAAGCGAAATGAGCGCCCGACAGAGATCATTCAACGCCTCGGTGTGCCTCGTAGAACGGTTTAAGACACCAACAAACGTTTCAAGGAGCTAAATACGACCAGTGACCTTCCCAGACAAGGAAGACTCGTCTCAGTAACCACTCCTCAGAAGATCAACGCCGTCAAAACGAGGATCAGGCGAAAACCGCACAGGAGCATAAGAAAGATGGCGTCAGACATGGGAATGAGCATCTTCGCTATGGAACAAATCGTCAAAACAAAGCTTGTACTGACCCCATATCGTGTCCAAAAAGCGGCAATTCTATCGGCCGTCAACAAGCAGAGACGCTTCGAAAAAGCAAAACAACTTTTTGCTCGCACGCGGTCTGGAGAACACCTCGCCACTGTCTTCTCCGACGAGAAGCTATTCACTGTGGAGGCGGCATTCAACTCACAAAACCATTGAGTACTTGCCCAGACATCCCAGCAAGCTTCAGAGAAAGGAATAACAATTTATCCAGCCTCACATCCTGCCAGTGTGATTGTTTTCGGTGCCATCTGCTCAACCGGGAAGTGCCCCTGGTTTTCGTGGATCAGGTGGTGAAAGTGAACAAAGAAGTCTACGTTCGGGACATTTTGGGGAAGCATATGATGCCCTGGGCCCAAACGCATTTCGGTGGGAAGATATGGGTCTTTCAACAGGACGGAGCACCCGCCCCTACTGCCAAAACTACTCAGGAGTGGTGCCAGACCCATTTTCCCGACTTCATCAAGTCATCCAAATAGCCTGCTTGCTCCCCAGACCTGAACCCGCTTGACTTTTCCGTGATAGGGTCTTGCAGGAGAAGGTCAACGCAAAACCCCACTCAAGTGTAGAGACTCTGAAGAAGACATTACTGGCGGAGTGGGACAATCTTTCCATCGAATACGTACCACAGTCACATCCTACCCGAAGCGTCTCCGCGAAGTCATAGCTGCGAAAAGAGGCCGAATCGAAAAGAGTTAATAGATAATTATTTGTTGTACTATAGATAAAAAATATTTCGAGTCTCGTTTGATTTGGACTTTTAGTTTCAGAAATATACGTCTTCAAAGTTGTGCGGGAACTTAAATGACACCCTGTAAATTCGTGATTTTTTTTGTCTAATCTGGAAACTTCTCGAAGCTTTATTGTTTAAAATGAGGTTTCAAACAAATTTTTTTTAATTTTTCGAATATATCTAATAAATATGTAGATATTCAATTGCCAAAGGACCCATAAAAATGAGATATGGGACCAATTAAATATGCCGCCGAGGCGCTTCAAATTCGCTGAAATCTTCAAAAAAAAACACAAAAAATTAGAAATTCGCTTTTTCTAGTTTATATATATATTAAAACCGTAATTTCTCCAAATTAATATTATATGACCCAAAAATTTCACTAGTGAATAATATTTATCTATGCATTAAATATCGGATAACTCTTATTGGTACCCTAACAAAGGAATAATGCCATTATGCTTCTTTAATAGATGCATTGAACCATTGTAGTTTAAAATAAATTGATAATAGAACGATAATACTCACATTTAATTAAAAGAAAAGAAAAAAAATTGGTGAAATATCTCTGACTCATCGAATATCCGAATGAATTGATGACAAAACGTGGAATCAAACTCGAATATAAATAAAAAATAGCGCGGCAATCAGCGTTCGTCGTGGGGGCAAATTCGAGACAAAAAAATGAATATAGACATACAACTTGTTCTCTGCGCCACACTATTTCGCCGAAACTTGTCTGCGTCTCTTCGGTCAACAAGACCAATTTATTCAAAAAAGGAATTATAATTTTTTAAGAATACCGTGTAGAAATATATATTTTTTAATGAGATTGATAGCGGTTAATGAAATTTCTAAAAATCAATTTTATTTAGCAAATGCTTTGGATCAAATAGTTATTCATTCTTCAGATTTTTTTGTTTTATTTACACCAACAACAAAAAAAAGGAAGCCAAACTATTTCAAATACATATTTCCTAATTTGGAATGTGATCTCATTAATTTTCCACCAGAAATCAAAATATGTTTTGATGCTCAAATCACATTTTGTAAAAAAAAAATAGTTTTTTCTTTCACGGCTTTTTTTTGTTGAAAATTCGGAGAAAAGAATTAAGCTTCCAACGAGGTCTTGTGACGATTTATAGGGTAGATTATGGGACACAAACTAATCAATTAATTCCGGCTCACAATCAGGTAGACGAGAAAGTGTTTTATGTAATTCGATTTGAAAACTTGGTTTCAATTTAATCATCTTCAAAATCGATCAAATTATTTCGCATTTTCAATTTTGACATCGATTTCGATTGAAAACCAAATTATTTTCGAATCCGATCGATTTTCATTAGAATGGTTTGACGCTGAGAAGTGTTTATTATTTATTTAGTTCGAAATCATCAAAACATTTTTCGAACACTTTTCAAATATTCGCATTGGAGTGGCTTGGTCAAGAAATCGAATAAAAATGGGCAATAAATTGAAATTGGCGTCGTCGATGATTGGAATTTAAACGAATTAAACGACATAGTCGTCGATTAAAATGCATTTGGTGTAAACACGCTCTCGTTTAAACACTCATTTTTGAAATTGTGATTAAATTTCAGATTTTTATACTTTACGGTTCATTCATTTGATTTAACGATCGAATACACAGAGTTTCATACCTGAATTATTAGTACATATTATGGTCGCTGTGAGACCTTGTCCTCCGGAAACTCAAAATAAATCGGATCTGACAAAATTTGGCACCACAATCAACCCCAATAATGGGATGATAAGCTCGTCGAGTCCGATTTGCGTCAGTTCGAATCCGATTCGAAATTTCACTAATCCAATTGGTAATATTTGGTATCCGTTTGTAAAATTTGTCCAATTCGGATCAGATTTATTTTATTTGTTTTTTTTTTCGAACCGACCGCCATAATTTCTGGAAATGATGATTCTGAGTATAATCTGAAAATAAGCTTACTAATTATGGTGAAATTTTTTTTAGAAACAAAAATCGGTTTGGGAAATTTGGTTAATCTATTCCCGATGGCAGAAGCTGCAATCGCAGTTATGCAATGAAACCCACCGATTTGTTGTGGTTTCGTAGTAATTTAGAAAAAATCACGAATTTCTGACAAGAATTTCAATTGTTTCACGCAGATTTCTCATAATTTCGAAAAAATGGTGTTCGAGAACCCGGTAGTCTGTCGGCAGCTCGCTCTCTTATTTCAATGTTTCCACCGGAGGCCACAAAATTTTCGTCGCCAAATGCACATAGGACGAGTGTCGCAAAAACACGTAGGACAGTGTGATGTCGGCACAGGCCGATGGTCAACTGATAACCGATTCAACTCTTAATTATTTATCAATTTTTTTAGCATTCCTCCATTGATTGCAATGTTTTTTTAAAGAAACGAATTGATTATGAAAAAAATAAAGACAATTTTTTAATGGAGTTGATTTTATAAATAATCATTAGGATGATTTTTCTGGAAGAATAATTTCGAAAATTGTTTTTTTTTCAATTCATTTGAATGCTAATTTCAGAATATCATCAGATAGATGCTTTCTAAAATTCTGACATCATAATTCATAAAATCTATTTCGAAATTCACTCAAAATATCATTATTTTTCTTATCAACGTATATATGTATAATCAGAAGTCACAAAAGCAAAATTTGAAAGATCACTTGTATAATTGCATTTAAGAGAGAAAGATGTCTGATGAAAAACTACCGCTGATCCATAAGAATACCATCAAATACTACACTAACGACAAGGTTTCGATATTCGAAAGACGGCGGAGAAAAAAAGAATTGAAAGAGGTTTGTGGAGTCGCTCGAAAATTTAATTAAACCATTCAAATGTGTATTTTACAGTATTATAACCGTTTGGACCAACTGAATGAGCTGTACGAAAAAGATCGAAAAGTAATAGAGGATGTGAAGAAAGAAACGACGGTTGGTCATTTTTCTAGAATTTCAGGGTGCGGCAAAATTACGTGAGCATCGAATAAACGATATAATATTTCCAAAAAAGACCAAAACTCGTTCAACTTTTTTTTTTAAATTGAACATATAAGAATAACGAATTAATCAACATTGTTCGATTCTTCCTTCTCGATTTTTGATAACTTCCTTCAGACGCTTCGGGTAAATGGTGACATGCATTTAATTGACGTCCAATTTGCACCATTTACTCAAGGCTTCAAAAAAAGAAACAAAAGAAATATGTGAGAGCCGTTTAAGTCAGAATAAAAGTTTATTTGTAGTACACTGAGTCCCATTATTTATTTGAGTTGAAGTTGATGACTTGATTGTGCGTTCCGAATTTCTTTGCTGTAGGATTCCGAATAGACGCGAACCGCAACGCGCCTGACGACATTGAATTATTACGGTAGCCGCTATTTTTTGAGAAACGATTGTTAAACAAGCCTAACCATACGACTATATATATATATATATATATATATATATATATATATATATATATGCGGTTCATTTTTTTTTTAATATTTCGCATTTTTTGTTTTATTCCAGCATATCTGATGATACAATTTTATTCGAGAAAAATCGGAACAAAATTAATGGAATTTTAATATGGGAAAATCGTTTTTTTTTTTGTGAGAAAGCTTTTTTAAATATCTATTAGAAATTACGGGATCTCTTTGTAGAATTTTTTTTTTCAAAATTCACCGCAAATATTTCGAACAGCAATTCTTTCCATTCCGAATCATCTCAAATAAAAAGAATGAAAACTCATTTCTTTTCGAGACCCAATGACGCAATTTTCGAAATTTCCCAGTTTTATCAAAAAATTTTTATCTGTGTTTTATTCACATTTTCCATTGATTTCAAATTTTTTATTCGCCAAAATTGATCATGGCCGATTTCTCACAAATCTGCGTGGGTGTCCAAATCCCGGCCGTCTTGGTCTGAAATCATTTCTCTCGTTGGCTCTGCGAATATTCTTGATCGGCAAACCTTCCCGAAGAATTCGGATTCGTTTCTTCCGGATATTCCGCGTCCAATTGAGACGGATCACCATTTCCGGAATCAGCTAGAATTTGACGATTACGAACTCAAAATTGGCGAGATTGCGGCTTACCAATTAATGCGTTGACAAAGAATACAAGAATACCAAAAATGATCAAGAATCGCATGATTCGAATGCGATCGAACACCATTCGTTGAGATTATATAGCAAACAATTTTTCTCACAATTTATTTGAAATTTTAGTGGTTTTTTTCAATAGTCAAGTCACACTTTTCTCGAATTCAAATTCCGCATAAAATATGGGAGAATTGGAAAGAAATGATTCGAAACTTTTCGAAATTTTGCAGGATGAACAGGCCGCGGATCGTCTCATCGCGAAGCTCTCAATTGCGATGAACGTTGCCCTAATGTTCATCAATCTGCTCGCCGCTTATCTATCGGGCAGTTTATCAATTGTTAGCGCATTCGTCGACTCGATGATGGATGTAATGAGCGGAGTGATCATTGGAATATGTTTGAACATGATCGAAAACACCAACAGTTTCAATTATCCTCGCGGTAGAGCACGACTCGAACTCGTCGGAGTGATCTTGTGCTCGATTATAATGGGTATCGCAAACACCGCATTGGTTATGGAATCAGTATCAGTCATAATTAGCGGAAATGTGAGTCGGCGAAAATCTCCAGAATTATTCTAACATTCTTCAAATTTCATTTCATTTATTAATAATTCCTATACGCATATGTAACAATGCAATTTGATGAATCATTTCAGATAAATCCCGTCATGGATTTCACGACATTGTCCCTTCTCCTCGGCGGTTCGGCCACCAAACTAATACTATGTATAGTTTGCTATCGAAGAGGGACCTCCTCCTCACTCGTCCTCGCAATGGACATGCGGAATGACATCTGCACCGCAATGGTCGCCATCGTCTGCGCAACAATCGGACATCGCTATTGGATGTACGCCGATCCGGCCGGCGCCATTTTGGTGTGCGGTGTCATTGCGACATCCTGGTATCGCAATGCTTTGGAACATCTGCCGCATCTAGTTGGTCGTCGAGCAGCCGCTGAAAATCTCTCTCGAATCCTCAAAATTGTCATTGAACATGACGATCGAATCAAGTTGGTTGCTCAAACGAAGATAAAGCTCGAAATAGATATTTTCCAGAAAAATCGACCATGTGCTTGTGTATCATACCGGTTTGGAAGCTCTCGTCGAATTGCACATCGTAATGGACGAGCAAATGATGCTCAAAGAAGCGCACGACATTGCTCAGAGTTTGGAAAAAACGCTGATGAAGCTCGATTTTGTCGAACGCGTTTTTGTGCATTGTGATTATGAATGTGATTGGGATGGGTCCGACTAATTCCAGTGTAAATACACATCGAAATTTGCTCCCCGCTTTTCAAAAAAAAATTGTTGTCCATCCGAATGATGATTCAAAATCACACGAAAAGTGTCAAATTACTTGCCCCCAAAATTGTCGCATTGTTTATTTCTCGAATTTTCTTTATTATTTCTATCACATCAAACCCGAAATTTCGGCATTTCTCTGCTGCGTTCGTGATCCAATAGAGATTTCGATTTTTGTTTTTGGCGAACTGACAAGAATAGCCCATCGAACTAATGCCCAAATTTGTGATTAGCAAGCTGTGCTGCGGACACCGGCAATCCGAAATACATCCATTGACTCCAGAAGCAGAGAATGAGGAGCAATGATCCGACGAGATCGCCCAACGCGGTCAGAAATGGAATCGCCGAATTGTCGGGATCGATTCGCATTACCCACATGGCCCGGACGAGAATTTGACAGATGTAAAGGAGAAATGCGACCTTCAATTTGATATTTTTAAGCTAACCATCCAACATGAAGAATTTACCTGAATTGCGCAAACCAGAAGGAATGAAATGGTAAAACCGATCGTATTTGAAAACCCGCAACCGACGATGAAAATGATTTGAATAAATAGAAGATTCGAAGGAATCGAGATTCCGAGAAGAATTTGGGCGGCGAGGGCGTCTTCTGCTGAAAATCGCCGAATGGATTAGTTGCAAAGCGAAACAGAAATGCTCACATTTTTTGAAGAATGCTCCGATTGGGCTCAAATATTTCCACATTGGTTTCACTTCGATCTCGCGGTTTTTGCGAGCTCGATGAAGTTGAGTGCTGATACGAGAAGCTTGAACTCCCACGAGATTCCCACCAAGTCCATTGATTAGGGGTTGGAATGCCGCTATCGGTGGATATGCCAACATCGATTTTTTGAGGACATACCCACTTCCGGTGGTGATGATCATTGCGCACACCACCGGCCACCAGCCATTTTTCAAAACCTATTCGATATTATTATTATTGGATCTTCTTTCTCGAAGATACCTCTAATGTGAATTGGTCTTTGGACGCCATCACTGCTCCAGTAGCCGCCAAAATATAGAAAAGAGTGAGTGTAAAAAGGAGCATTATCACATGAAATTGTCTCATTTGAACGATCAGTGTGCCCACGGTTAACTGGAAAAAAACATAGAAGAATTCTCGGATTTTTGATGCTTCAAATTGAATTGTTGACTTGCTACTATAAAATTTGATTATTTACGAGAATTCGATTGTCGATGATGGCCACAAAACAAACAATCTTCATAGTTTCATCTTCTGAAAATTTTCAGCAAACTCACCAAAATGTACAATGTGGAGACATCGCCTAGAGAGGCTGCCACTGGTGTCGAAATATTGTCAGGATTCAGCTGAAAGTTGACAGTCGACTCGTTTTTTTTTAAATTTATTTTTACCTTATATTTCCTGGCGGCAATCACCACAACAACCATGAGAACTGATAGAACAAACGAGGCGAGAGAGGCAGTTGCGACGGCTGACAGAAGCAGGCATAGAGTATCGGCGAACGAGATCTGAAATCGATGTGAGATATCCCATGAGCTGATGGAATCTCACCGGCTGCTCTCCTATCAATAAGACCGGAACGACGGCTAGAGACGATACCACAATCGCCTGGCATTGAATCAGCGCCATATTCGACATGGCCACTTTCATTTTGTCTTTGCGTCGCTCCATGAACCCCAAATTCGCCAACGTCGATAGTCGCGACGACAACGTCATTTCGAGATTTCCTTTTAGTCCGACAAGCGTTGGGACCATGATGACAGCATCGGGGAGTTGAGTGAACAAATAGGAGCCCTCAGCATTCTCCAACAGGATTCCGGCAAGAATTAAGCCGAGTCCGGCGAAAAGGAATGGGATGAGCGATTGAACGAGGAACTCCTTTCGAGTTTCCTTATAATCAACGTGAATTACTTGCTGGTTCTTGTTCACGTTCATTTTTTGAATTGTGATCGCAATTGGAGCAAATATCCAATTCTCGACTATAATGTTTGAGACCGCTTCGCTGTTGCTCGCCTTTTCCGGCTCATTGCCATCAAGTCTACAATTGAAAACAATTGGGGTAGATTAACACAGAGACAAACAGCAAACGCGCTCTATTGCATTCAATTTCGAAAAATTAATTGTAAAAAAAAATAAAGAAGAACAGAGAAAACTGGTTGAATTTTCCACAAAAAATCGTGGAATCGAAAATTTGGAAAACGGAAAAAATTCCATGGCAACTTCGTTTAAGGACAACTGAAGGGTGAAGCTGGCTTTGAATAAAGAATGAAGAAGGATTTTTTGAATATTCACGATCATCTCAGAAATAGCCTATTTGGAAAATTTGCAGCTCTTTTATTGAAATCAATAAAATTTCGTGATTTTTTTTATTTTGACGCACTTCCCATTTTTTTCTCTATTTTACTATTTTTTAAATCAACATCTCATTATGAGCTGAAAACTGCAAAATTTTGAAATTACGCATATACATACAATGAAAAATTCTCATTTTTAAAATATTACATAATTAAACTTAATCCCAAAAATGGCCACATTTTGAATTGACTATAAAATAGTAAGAAGTTGGATTGATGAGAAATAAACTAGACACTGAATTGCGATAACGATTTTTGCTGGCTGGCATGGAAATAGTGTGCGTTTTTGAGAGAGCACAGAGAATTGAACAGCACGGTTTTGTTTGAATAATTCGTGGCAAAAATATTACCTTTTTATCGTTTCCGGTTGAGTTTTTGATAAAGTTCATAAAAGAAATTGTCTCGTCAATTGAATAATGCATTTTTTTCGGAAAAAAGAAAGATTTGAAAAAGAAACATTTACTAAATAAGAAAAATAATTAAAAAAAATATATTATCACATAATTTTCTGAATTTTGGAATTTTTTTCGAGAAAATCCCGAATTTTTGCTATTCAATTAATTTTTGTGCCTATCATAGTTCAATTTTGCTTTGCTTCATATTTTCAGCAAAAAATTCAAGATTGGAAGTTTTTTTTTGCTGGCTCTTTTAGAAGCCGAGTATTTTTTTTTGCAAATATTTGTATTCGTAGTCTTGAAAAACAACAATTTAATTTAAAACACCCTTTTTTAATTTCTCGTATTGTTTGAAACCTACAATTGATCAGTTGTCGTCGATGGCGGAAGTGCAGCTGTTGACGTTGGTTCATCAGAAGTCGTCGTCGTCGTCGTCGTCGTCATTTTACGCTTTCTGAAAAAATGCGCAAATCGAATGAGGGGTAAAAACGTATTAAGAGCGAATATATGTATTCACATGTATGATGCATTACACCTGTGTTCGTTTTTTTCAACCGGATTATAATTATCATCAGAAGATTAGACGGCGAGCTTCTCCTCTCGCTGAATTCACAAAATCAATTTATTTAGGCAGTCCCGCACGGCAGCGTCAAAAGCAAAAAAAAACGGAAATTGAAGCCTTCATTTGCCATTTTTTTCGGCCGACTTCTATGCTTTCTATGTGCATCCTCGAGTAGATATATAGGTTTATTTTTCAGAAAAAAAAGAAGGCGGCGGGCTTGACTTGAAAAACAAAAAGGAATGTATGAAATATGTGCATACATTAGTCGGCTGGAAACAAAAAAATAATGAAAATAATAACGAGAGTTTAGCAATAAATAAGAAGAGTTTTCGATTTTCACCTGCACTGCTTGACTGATTCGTTTGAAAGGTTGCCGCGAGACAGACATGCAGGGATTCGAAGCTGGGGGTCTCGAAGGGAAAACCTTCGAATTTGGAGTTCTCTAGATGCTTGTGAAATAGGCCAAATGAAAGTGTAAATATGTATGCCTAATGTTATTTTATTTTTCAATAAAATTTGCTCAGCTATTACGTCAGAATGCACAACTGCTATTTGGGTTGTAGTCCATTTTGCAGATTGGTTGGATTGCGCTTATTTGGAAAAAAATATATTTTCAGATGTGTCGAACGTCTCAAACTTGTTTTTTGGAGGAATATTGTAACTTATGGTCCGCTGGACATTTTTGCTTTAAAGACGTACTTTTAATTAATTATAAATTTGCAAGGATTTCTAGAAAAGAAAATTAATCTCTTTAAATTATTTTTGGAACTAAATCACGTCAGAGATTGGGCATTTACTCAACAAGGATCTAACATAAATATTTCTCTCATTTTTAATTCCAAAAATATTCATTTCGAAACTGCACGTTTTCATCAGTTCCTTTTTAAAATTTTGATGAATTTTGACGAAAACTCAAAATGTTGGTTTTATTTAGTTGAAAATATGCTCGATGAAAAATTGAAAAAGATATTCGAAAAAAAAGTTAGAAATGAAGTTGTGTCTTTTTGGCACACTAATCAGTGCATTCACCGGAATCTAATACTAATGACTAATGGCTATGAGGGAATTCACTAATTAGGCATATTGTTAATCATCTCTTCGCCAAAATTTAGTTCCATTTTCATATAATCATCTCATTTTGGACAACCCATGTATATTGGGTAAATATGTCAATATTTGAGAATCTCAGGCCAATTTTGAAGTCTAAAATGGGAATCGAAACTTGTATAAAAGGAAGCGCTCAAAAATGGAATATCAACAAATCATGTACATCTTCGTCGGATTGTCTGCCTTCGTCGCCGTCTTCTTCCTTCAGGTTTCTTCAATTCGCTGCTCTCGTCGGCTGTCTAGAATATATTCAAGCATTTCAGTATGACGGAGTGATGAGCTGTGCCCCGAAAGCGAACGCCAGCAATCCGATCGACGATGAAGTCTTGCGAGTCAAGCGTTCTGCGGAAGCGATCTCGATCATCACCGTCACCAACAGACCCTACAATCCGGAGAATGCAAAAGCCGCGATTGCATTGATCAAACAAAGAGTGCCGTCACACTCCGAAGCGTCTCATTCCAATCGAACAATTTGCAGTTCACTCAGCTTTCGATTCAGAATGGATTGAATCTCGAGACGGTTGGACACGAAGACAAATCGGTGAACATGGGCGGAAAGCTGGCAATCCACACGAGTGTTCCGGACCGGCCGCAGCGTTGTCAGAAGGGAATCGCGTAGGAAACGACGGCCAATTGAAAATCGAGTTTGATTTGATTGATTTTAATTTCAGTTTTCTCGAGAAGGCAAAGCCGGAAATCACGGAAATCGCTTACATCTTCATCCGATGCCCGGATGGAACTACTAAATACATTTAAATCCTTTTAGCTTGGAAGTTTCTTAATAAATCATTCTGCAAGAAATATTATATTTATTGAAAAGTGTTAAAGAAAACGACAATTGAATCAAATCTTGCTCACATCCGGAAACTAAAATCAACATGTTTCTACATATTCAGAATATCATTGGCATACCGTCTCATGTATATCGGTGGCCGTGGTCTAAATTGTTGTCTACGCATTCCATTGAAAAATCTTTCAAAACGTCTGTCTGGCCTTTTTGTGGTATAAGCTGAAAATTGGTATAATATTTTGGCACAGGTCATTGTCGAAATTACGATCATTGTCAGCAAGAATTCCATTTCCGAATGTGCGAGTTCCAGTTGGGGTAACAGCTTCTCCGGCTGCGTTTACTGAAAATTATAGAATAAATTATTGCCTAGCAAACGGCAAACCTGAAGAGGAAACCGCGAGCAGTGCAAATGCAATAATTCCCAAGAACAACTTCATTTTCAATCAACATTGCTGCGGACAATTTTATACACAAATCCGTGCCATTTTTATTTGTCGTTATTTTTCGGAAAATTCAAAAATGGAATTAAATGTGAGAAGACAAAGATCGACATCAATATCAAATCTTTATTTTTTTTTAAATAAAAATTGCCATTTTGACTGTGTTGTGTCCTTAAGTTCCGCGTGTATGGTGCCGAAGCGTGGGTATCGAAGTGAACAGTGATGTAGAGTTGGATAGCTTTATTATATACTTAGATTGAACACTACAATGTATGATGGCCGGGTTTTATACTAGTGGGGATGTGCTTCTAGAATGTTCTACAATGTGCGTGTGGGGATGTTTACGTGAGGGACTGGGTTCTAGAATATTCCATAACCTACGAGATTACAATAGTTTACGTGAGTGTGCTCACAACAACTTTATATTGCGCAGCAAAAAGAAACTCCGTAACGTCTGTTTTGGTTTTTCAGTGGCATAAGCTGAAAATTGAGCGAATGATATAATTGTAACCGGGAGGATCCCCTCGAGACACCCACACTCGTATTTTTTCTATATAATTTGATGAGCGGAAGTCACCTTGCTCAACACGATGGACTGGATCACGCTACACCGTCCTACTTTGCCACCACCGATTTTGAACCTTCGATCAGCAACGAACGAGATCATTCACGTGCAATTTCACACTGAACGGACAGCACGGATCCGATATCGGCCACTCGACTTCTGGGAATGGATTGGATTGCTCAAGACAAGCATATGTACAATACACTCGCCGAATCAATTAATGCCATATCGAAAATGCCCAAGTCTCATGATGACGCGGGAAGAATCAGAGTGAAGGGAAGATTGCCAAAAGATGAAGACTCATTTCGATAAGCATCACTAAGCTAAGCCCAAATTCTTTTGGAAGCTGTCCTTGTCAATTACTATCGCTCGAAGCAGAGTTGGATCCCCGGTACTATCATCCGCCGATTAGGATCGGTGAACTATTATGCCGAATGGCAAGGAGACAAATGGAAACGCCATGCGAACAAACTCCGCAAAAGATATCACACACCTGACAAAAGACACCAACATTTGCCGTTATTCGCGGATTTCGAACTGAATTTGCCGGCAATGAGGAAGCAACACCAAGGCCCTGCCGGGTACCCTCGACTACAGTAACCACGACACCAAATCAAGGACCTCTAGGTCGATCGACGCGAATCGTCAATCAAACGAGTCGTCTCGTCATTCAAGCCTATCTGAATTCTTACCAGTGATCTTCAACATCGAGGGAGGAGATATTGGAGCTGTGACCAGAATCAACATGACCGACGCCCTTATCAATTTAGGAGCGCTATATGTACATATACATAAGGAACACTTTTAGGTTCTCTTTTAGTTTTAGTTTAGTTTCGGTTTTGAGTTTTTGTCTAAATAAACGTGTTCATAATTTGGGGTTCTCCAAAAGACACACATGTCTATTTGTTTCATTATATTGAATGAAGTTCATATTCAAATTCACCCGCAATTTTGGAAGATGATCTACATATGTACCAACCTATTGAGTAAACATGTCAATATTTGAGAATCTCAGGCCAATTTTGAAGTCTAAAATGGGAATCGAAACTTGTATAAAAGGAAGCGCTCAAAAATGGAATATCAACAAATCATGTACATCTTCGTCGGATTGTCTGCCTTCGTTGCCGTCTTCTTCCTTCAGGTTTCTTCAATTCGCTGCTCTCGTCGGCTGTCTAGAATATATTCAAGCATTTCAGTATGACGGAGTGATGAGCTGTGCCCCGAAAGCGAACGCCAGCAATCCGATCGACGATGAAGTCCTGCGAGAGGCTCGTGCTGCCGACAAGATTCTGATTACCGCCGTCACCACACAAGCCTACAATCCACAAAACGCAAAAACAGCACTCAAATTCATTCAGCAAAAGGTTTCTCTCTTTCTCTATCGATTATTAAGTAATAGTTTTCAGTTCACCCAACTCTCGCAGCACATCGGAGTGGATTTGAAGAAGGTTGGCCACAAAGACAGAGTTGTGAACATTGGAGGAAAACTTGCGATTCGCGCGACGATCCAAGACAAGCCGCAACGTTGCCAAAAAGGAATCGAGTGGGAAATAGTCGGCATTTCATCGACATAATGTTTCGTTTTTTCAGATTCTTCGAAAAAGCGAAACCAGCGATCACTGAAATCGCCTACATTGTGGTGAGATGTCCAGATGGAACAACTAAACAAATCTAATTCATATCTATATTCTTGTTATATAAATTTGATTGATATGACTCAACAAAATGTTTAAAACAATTATCATCAATAACCAATTTATTAGAAATGATTTTCAAAAGAAATTTCTCTTTTCACTATTCATAAAAAGGGGACTGATCTCTCTTTTGAACCGGCGTACTCTATTGAATCTGTTTGGTGAAATGGGCATCATAAATCTAAATCTAAATCGATTCTCATTATTTAACATTATTTAACATCGTGTTCATCTCTGATATCGTTTTGGATGGAATCTTGAACGCTTCAATGGCCAGAATCTTCTTCGGTAACCAGGTCCAACCACCTTTCTTCTGTTCGTCTCGTTGGTCGTCTCGATCGCTTCAGTAGTCGTTTCATCAAGATCTGCAAAAAATGAAATAATTTGTTTGACTCTTACAGTCATTTTTAATTTCTGAACGTACTCGTATTGATTGGATCAAATGTGCTGTCAGTCGCTGAAATTTGGTTATATTCTTGTATTGTCGGCGTCAAACGACTGAAGAGAGCCGGGACCTTCAAATTTGCGAAATCAGTGTCGATTTAAATTAATCGTTGACTGAATATTAAATGCGCGTACACTATAATGCAATGTACGCAGTCTCGCGTACTTCTCGCTGCCTCGAGACGCTTTGGCACACAGCCAATAATTTTTTGAACTTCGTCCAGTCGTTTGACTCCGACAAAAGAGGAAAAAAACACTACTCAGTTGTTCATCATCATCATCCCCATCATCATCAGCATCAGCATCATCGTATTCTTGCTCTTCTTGTTCATATTCCTCCGGGGCCAATGTACTTTCTGTAAGGAATTCAAAGTTACTTTATGAATTTCCAATTGAAAACCGAGATCTGATGACGAATAAGGTACGTATTCATCAGGCGTATCATCATTATCTGCAATTAAAAAAATTTAAAAATTTCGTGATCCAGACATCGAAGGGACCACCAACCAGCAGCTCGGATGCCTAAAATATCAATGATTTAATATTTCACACATTCTTCAAAAAATACCCGACAGAAATAGGATGGCGGTTAATAGAATGAGCGACTTCATGCTCAACAATGTTTCGAATTGATGAATCGCATCATCTTTAAATATCGCGATATTTTTCTCAAGATTTATATTCAATAAATAAGTGGAACATTGGAAACACATCAAACTGATATTTTGTTGGAAAAAAACTTTGGCCATGAACACATTGCGCTGAAAATTACAAAGATTTATAGGCACAGTTTTATTTGTTCAAAACTTGGGAAATTTTCATTATTAATTTCAATTTTGAAAGTTTTAAGCATCATAATAACAATCAAAGAAATCGTTTAAAAAAATGTTATTCCCAGTTTCGCAAATGTCACTTGGGACCACGAAATTCAGCAACCGCACATTCCTCTCCTCGATATTTTCGATTTTCAATACGCCCAAAATCGCGTCCGACGAAATATGCCTACGTAAACCATATGACCTAGAAAGGGAATGTGAACCTAAGCAAGTTTCTTTCTGTTGCGCAATATCCAATTAAAAAGAGAAATTTCCAGTAGAAGATGAATCGGAATGCGAAAAAGTCGAATTTCAGACAAACATAAAATATTTGATAGAGGAAAATGTTGATTTCGTTCAACTAATTAAATGATTTTTTTTGGTAAAAAAAAAATAAAGATTTGATATTGATGTCGATATTTGTTTTCTCACATTTAATTCCATTTTTGAATTTTCCGAAAAATAACGACAAATAAAAATGGCACGGATTTGTGTATAAAATTGTCCGCAGCAATGTTGATTGAAAATGAAGTTGTTTTTGGGAATTATTGCATTTGCACTGCTCGCGGTTTCCTCTTCAGGTTTGCCGTTTGCTAGGCAATAATTTATTCTATAATTTTCAGTAAACGCAGCCGGAGAAGCTGTTACCCCAACTGGAACTCGCACATTCGGAAATGGAATTCTTGCTGACAATGATCGTAATTTCGACAATGACCTGTGCCAAAATATTATACCAATTTTCAGCTTATACCACAAAAAGGCCAGACAGACGTTTTGAAAGATTTTTCAATGGAATGCGTAGACAACAATTTAGACCACGGCCACCGATATACATGAGACGGTATGCCAATGATATTCTGAATATGTAGAAACATGTTGATTTTAGTTTCCGGATGTGAGCAAGATTTGATACAATTATCGTTTTCTTTAATATTTTTTCAATAAATGTCTTGCAGAATGATTTATTAAGAAAATTCCAAGCTAAAAGGATTTAAATGTATTTAGTAGTTCCATCCGGGCATCGGATGAAGATGTAAGCGATTTCCGTGATTTCCGGCTTTGCCTTCTCGAGAAAACTGAAATTAAAATCAATCAAATCAAACTCGATTTTCAATTGGCCGTCGTTTCCTACGCGATTCCCTTCTGACAACGCTGCGGCCGGTCCGGAACACTCGTGTGGATTGCCAGCTTTCCGCCCATGTTCACCGATTTGTCTTCGTGTCCAACCGTCTCGAGATTCAATCCATTCTGAATCGAAAGCTGAGTGAACTGCAAATTGTTCGATTGGAATGAGACGCTTCGGAGTGTGACGGCACTCTTTGTTTGATCAATGCAATCGCGGCTTTTGCATTCTCCGGATTGTAGGGTCTGTTGGTGACGGTGATGATCGAGATCGCTTCCGCAGAACGCTTGACTCGCAAGACTTCATCGTCGATCGGATTGCTGGCGTTCGCTTTCGGGGCACAGCTCATCACTCCGTCATACTGAAATGCTTGAATATATTCTAGACAGCCGACGATAGCAGCGAATTGAAGAAACCTGGAGGAAGAGGACGGCAACGAAAGCAGACAATCCGACGAAGATGTACATGATTTGTTGATATTCCGTTTTTGAGCGCTTCCTTTTATACAAGCTTCGATTCCCATTTTGGACTTCAAAATTGACCTGAGATTCTCAAATATTGACATATTTACCGAATAGATTTTTTTTGTCAAATACATTTATTCGATTACCTGAACTTTTCACTTTTGACACACAAACAAAAATAATGATATATTCACCGAAAATTTCATTTTTTTCCAAAAAAAAAACCAATAAACACTTGTTTTCGTCAAAAAGAAGGTGATTGCTTATAAAATTACTAGGTCAAACTAGCGAAACAACAATGAAAATTGATGAGATATATATGTAATAAAATATGCCGTTATGTACAGACAAAGGTTTGAGAAAGAAAATCAGGATTGTGTGCTGTGAGGCAAAATTGAAGCGCTGTCGAGATCTTTCTGATGACTAATTGAGGTCATCGTCTAGTGGGTACGGTATCCATCGGCGGCCTTGGTGGTGGATTCGGTGGCGTCGTATCCTTGAGTGGGTGCTGGCTCTTCCTCGGTCTCGTCATCATAAGAGGCTTCCTTGGTTTCAACGGCTGGAGCGGTCTGCTCGTATCCAGGCTTCTGCTCCTGAAAATAATTAAGTCAATATTCCTGGTGATGTCAAGAATGGTGCTGTCGTGGTTAGCGGCTCGACTCAAAATGTTAGTGACATACAGTATAGGTTTGTGCTGGTGGGACATATGGTGTTTCTGGTGCTGGTGGTGGTGGCTGTGGAGCGTCGGTCTGCTCGGCGTTTACGTCTTCGAACGATTCGGTGCTTAGCTCGTATTGAGCGGTGGTCACCTCCTCGTCCTCGTATACCTCTTCTGGTGCCTCGGTGGCAACTTCTGGCTCCGGTTCAGGTGCTGGCTGTGGTGGTGGTGGTGGTGCATACGAAGTGGTTTGGATCGCGTATTCAGTAACAACTGGCTCTGGTGCGGCAGTGTTCACCTCAGCAACTGGTTCCGGCTGAGCTGGCGCTTGAGTCTCGGCGACGACTGGCTCTGGTTGAGCTGGAGCTTCGGTTTCGGCGACTGGCGCGTCGGTGGTCTTTTCCTCGTAGACTTCCTCGACCTCCTCGGTAACGGCTGGGGCCGCTGGGGTAGCGGCTGGCTGAACATTCTCGTAGGTAGCGGTTGGGGCAGCGGTGGCCACAACGGGCTGTTGTCCTCCATATCCTCCCTCGTTGCCGGCTGGAGCTTCAGTCTGAGCGACAACAGAGTTGGTCTCTCCTCCGTATCCTCCGTCTCCTCCTTGAGCTCCTCCCTGTTGGGAGACTTCTCCTCCCGAGGTGGCGACTCCGGTCTCAACCTGGACGGCGGCTCCTCCGGTGTATCCTCCAGCAGATGGGACTGGTGCTACGGCTCCCTGGTTGGTCTGCGAGATGTATCCTCCCTGTACTGGGGCAGGTCCAGCTCCTCCGGCGATGTATCCTCCTTGCGCACCAGCTTGTCCGGCTCCAGCATATCCGCCTTGTCCTCCTTGTGCGGCTCCAGCGTATCCTCCTTGTGCGGCTCCAGCATATCCTCCTTGTCCTCCTTGTGCGGCTCCAGCATATCCGCCTTGTCCTCCTTGTCCGGCTCCAGCATATCCTCCCTGTTCTAATTGTCCAGCTCCAGCGTATCCGCCTTGTCCTCCTTGTGCGGCTGCGGCGTAGGCTGTCTGTCCAGCTCCCGCGTATCCTTGCGATCCGGCCGCATCAGCATAGGCTCCTCCGGCTCCAGCTGCGGCGTATCCTCCGCCAAGTGGTGCCGGTGGTGGTGGTGGCGGTGGCGGCGGTGGAGGCGCAGCGTATCCTACAGGCGCACGTGGATATCCACCGGCGGCGGCGGCATACCTTAAATTCGAAATGGGATGATTAAATGATGGCCAATTAAGCGATGGCGCTTACCCGGCAGCTGATGGACCTCCGCATGGATTGGCGCAAGCCGGTTGCGATGGCTGACAGCAGCCGCCGCCACCGCCACCGCCAAGTCCTGGAAGGCAGGCATAGGTGCTCGAAGCAAGAAGCGAGACTATGAAGAACTGAAAAATTGAAATGCATGTGGATCGGTGTTGGTTCAGCTATTTTATGAATTTCTCAAAACTCATTGGGTAGAAAGCGAGAGCATGAATCTATTCGCTTTTTAAGATCTCAGAACAAATTGATACCAACAAAAACGGCAAAAATTGTGAAATGAATGAATAAATGACTTACTGTAGCCATGCTGATTGGAAGACGACACAAATGTGAAGTAGCTTGACAAAGTCGGCTTTCAACACCTTATAAGTATGACAGCCGAGTGGGTGGGGCCTCGTCACTCACCTCGAAAAAATGCCCTTTTCACTATCTATCGGATCACGCAAGGCCTTGCGGAGACGCAGACAACGGATGCCACAAGCCGATACAGTTTTTGTCGAAGCCGTCGGGGGAGGTTGCCTCCGTCGCAGACGGCCGCAGTATGCTTCCATGGAGAGGGGAGGGGGCAGGTGGTTGAGGAGGAGAACGACAAGGCCGTCGATGAAGCTCGATTTCATGGCGTGCCATTGGAATCCGAGTGACCGTTCCGACAGATCGTATTGAAAGATTAGAACCGAAAATTTTTTCGCCGATTACGCAAACATGTGCGAATTTTATCGAATTTTTACAACGCGCGAGCGGAAAGACGACGAAAAAAAATGGAAATTGAATTTCTGAGATTCGAATCGCACGTGTGAAGAATGTTTCAAAATTGACAAAAAAAATCAAATCGAAAAATTCGCTTAAAATGAAGGGAACTTCTCAGCGGTATGCGACCCGCACATAAAACGCTGGATTACGGTACTCATTTTTCCGTGAATTTCTGAAAATGTTCGAGACACGTAAATCAACACACATTTGTTGTTACAAAAAATGGTTGTTGTTCCCTGTTGACTTTAAGTTGTAATTTGACGTCAGAGGAGGGAACACGAATTAAACTCCAGCCAAAAACTTATAACCCCTCCCAAACTTGAGTCTTATCTTTCATTTATTCACCGAAAAAAAGCTAAAAAATTGTCCCACCACGACAGCCATTTAATCTAGATAACCGTTGACATAAAATTCCAGATTTCTGGAAAGCTATAAAGTCGGCGACAGGTCTGATTAAATACATTCATTCATACGCAACGCGAGGTTGTTGAATACTACGTGTGTTGTTGCATGATGACAAATTTGTCTGTTAGAAAAAAAAAACGGGAATTTTTTGAAAATCCAATACGATTAATTAGTTCGTAAGGGGCAATTTTTGTTAACTCAATTATTTCAATGAAATTCTTGATTCGTCGCAATATTTCAATATGTTGCAGAATGTCGATCGCAAAATTTTCAATTGCATCTGTAAAAAATTAAACATAGATCCTCATCACTAATTAACGTAGAATTTTTATAAAATTAGATGTGAAACTGAGCCGCATTTATTTGTCATTCAAATTGCTTTAATTGGTCCCACCACGCGAAAAATGGGCACCTACAAAACTGGGCTCCTAACTTTGCTCTTGATATATTTAATCAAGCCAAACTTGCTCCTAGCAATTGATCCATTCGAGACCCAAGACAACAATTCAAATGATAAATCAATTGCACCCCAAATTCGTCCGTCCACAACAATAGCTTCTTTCAATTGTCTTGCTTCTTATTAAACGCTTAATTATGATCAATGTAATGGGATATACCTGTCATTCCAGTCCGTTTAAACTAACCGAAACAGCCAACCCAGGAAATGGATTTATTCAGAGGAACTAATACAATTGAAGTCTTCAAAAACTCATTTTAAGACAAGAATTCAATTTCATCTTCAGAGTTGTCTTCGAACTTCATTATTTCTGACCTTAACAAATTGTTCAACACAATAATTTCACTCTCAAAATCTCATTACGTTTATTGGTATTGCTCGCGTTTTAAACTATCACAACCTTCACCCGAAAAACGCATTTTTTAACCGCAATTGAAAAGTGAAAATTGCGCTGCGACGACAGTTGGCCGCCAAAAAAATATATCGTTGAGTATTATCCGAATTGATAAGCATTCCGATTCGCTTGATTAATCGACGATAGCGCAAGTTGCGCAAGCCGATGGGGGGGGGGACAAGCTTAATTATTTTCACTTTTCACGCGGCCCCTCGGACGGCTATCTTCTTTCATCCATTTTGCGTCTCGCTTTCAGATGGCAACCAAATTGCGCAACCAAATTTCAATTCAGCACCGAATGAAGTATTGTGTCTATCATGGAATCGATTTATCGAAATGTGATTGTCCAGAAGAAGGCGAATACGCTGAATGATCATCATGAACGCGCCGAAAACAATATTGGCGATTTTGACCGAAACCGAATGTGTAAAATTAATGATTACTATCGGTGTGTTAATCATACGAAATCCATCATAGTGGTATGATATAGAAGGTTAATCCGGAAAATCTTCTTTTCAATGTAGGTGTGACCAGAGGAAGTTTGATCTCTAACACGAAATATATCTGGAATCGGAAAGCAAATGTGGTCAGCAAAATGAAAAAAAAAAAAACGAAAAGTTCGTAGGCAATTCTTCTCATTGAACCACGTAATTGAAAATTGCAACCCAATAAAATATTAGGTTTTAGGTGTGCATATTGCTGGAAAACGGTAACTACGAAGATTTTCGATACAAGTCCTATTTATTTAAAGGAGCATTTCTTCTATTAAAACAAAAACTCCACATTATGAGCACCTAGCACATAAAACAACTTTCAGTAATTGCGGTATAATCGAATAAGGGACCATTTAGGGTTTACTGTGAAATGAAATTTCAGAAAACTCAATATTTTCTCTTACTTATTGAAGTCGACTGAGTTTCGAGCCTCAACAAACGTTTTCCAATATAAAAGGGAGGGTCCTTTTTTTTGACGCCCCAATACTTCAAACTAGTTTTGATTTTTCCATAAATACATATTCTAGTTATGTTTATTAATATATTCCCTGACATATGCCTAAAAATAAAAATTTTAATTCGAATGGTCTGCTTTAAGACTAAAACGCGCACAGTTCGACTATTTCACAAATTGTCTTCTCGAAAAAACTTTGTATTTTTATTATTTAAATAATAAAAATAAAAACTTGAAATTAAATGAGAAATTGAATAAAAATAGCACACTCTTTGTGACGTTTCCTCACAATTTAAATTATTTGAAAAATGTTGCTTTGATAGTTTTAATTTTTGTTTTTTTTTTGTAAAATAAGGCTCTGAAAAGTTGTGCAAAATATTTTTTGAATTTCAGCGGCAATTTTTATAAGAAACTGCATAAAGTCAGCTGAAATTTCGATAAAATTTTGCACATATACTCAGCAGAATCTGTGCAGACTTTCAGCAGACGTTTTTCCAATAAGAGTCTGCTGAAAATCTGAATTTCATACTTTTTCTGAATTCCCTTTTTTTCCTGTTTGAATGAAGAACTACCATATTTCAATTTTTCATTGATGAATATCTCATCGATGCGATCATCCGAAGCAACGGAAAGTCGATAATTTATGGTTTTCATGTTCAACCTGGTCATTTAAAAATCGCACCTCATAAATTGAAAATGGATGGTTGTAATTTTTTGCGCGATGAGAGAATTACGTGAAAGAGGATCACTAAAAACAACGATATCAATTGATTTTAGACGAAATCAAAACTAGCCAATGATAATCACATATGAATTTGAATTTTTAAAAAATTGTTGAATCATGTGAGATATTAATACGATTCTATTTCAGAAAGTTCTAGAGTCGGCTTCCGGTGACTGCTGTACGCGGGTAGATTTACGCGCATGCACCATGAAAAGGTCTCGCCACGCGTGAATGTTTTTTTTTGCTGTTTTCACGCGAACTGCTTCATTTTTCTTAATGAGTTTCGCATTTCTTGGAATTTTCAACGTCATTCGATTAAAAAATTATCTAACCACTCCATAAAATTTGAAATAACCTGTTAGTCCTCGCGAGACCATTTCGAAAGACGCATTCCCGTAAATCTACTCGCGTAAAGCAGTCGCCGGTCGCCGACTATAAATTAGTAGTAGAAAAAATATTTCAAAATTTTGGATTCAAAAAATAATATTTCTTTTTTTTACAATTTTCAATAATCCCAAAACTCGTCCAAATACTATAATTTTATATTCTGATCAATTCATATTTCGAACTGTGATAAGAACAAGGAAGGAAGTACAATCGCGCGCTTCTTCCATAAAATGTTGATTGAGCGTATCAATCGAAACAAAAACAAGATCCATATTTCGAGAGAGCATAAAGAGGAGTTGACTTGAAATGACCGTCAATCGACAAATTTCGATCCAGTTTCGCTTTAATTGGTTCCAATCTCGAAACCGCAGCTGATTCGAAGCAATAACATGACTAATGCGTCATTTTAAATGCAAATGTTGCGCACGCAGCATTAGGCGTCGCGCGGGCCGGCGGGCCCGTCTCGTATCCATTTCAGTGTGGGCGCCAAATGTTACGCGATTCCGCAAAAACCGTATCGGCTAGCTGATACCTCAAGTAAATGACCTTGAACACGCGACGCAATCAAAAAAGCCGGCTTCTTCCAAAACAAAAAAAATGCAGAAGCAGACGCGCGAAGAATCTTACGATTTTATCGCCACCGCGCGGCAAACAAAATCAAAACGAATATCTGGCGAGAGACTTTTTATATATAACAATTTATTTATTATGGAAATGTCGATGAATAAATTATTTCAATATAATAAATTATCAATTATTACAGATATTAGAATACGTGTAATATGCGCCTGGTTTCAAGGCTATGCTTGGCATAAATAATTTAAAATTGCACTATTTCTGAGAGCGAATTGACTGGTTGAGCAATTTTCTTTGGATTCGTTGATCCCATTTTAAACAATGAAGAATCGGCGATATGGATTCTCGGCGATCTCCTCGATTTCGATTGGCTTCTCAACTTGTTTCGTTTCAGCGGCTCGAACCTACAATTGAATCGTTTTTTTTTGGCTGATTTCGTTTCAAGAACCTTAGCGAATTTGCTGCCATATTCTCCTCCAGAAAGTGTCTCAGATGGAGTTACAGTAGTCTGCAAACAATTACAGTAATAATAATTACATGGTTAGGCGAGAAAATTGTAATTTTTGTGACGTTTCACGTTACACTGTATTATTTACAATAGAGGGGGGGGGATTTGAACGGTTCAAACATTTTTAAACCGGATCGGTGACAATAATTTCAGAAGAAGACAAACGTCGAAAATGATTAATTACATAGTAGACCTAGGTTCGAAAAGAAGATAAGGAAGCTATCGAAAAATTAAACTGAATCATTACAATAGCAATAAATAATTATATGCATACTTCACAACAACCAAGGCTTTTTCCCAAGTACTCAGAGTTCCCACAAAAATTAGTAATCAAAACTTCTAAATAATTTTCCTTTTTTCCATATAAGCTTCCCAAAGTTCAGAATTTGTTAGCTAACACCTCCCAGTGCCCACCTCCTCATCATATTCATTTCCATCAAAACTTTCAATTATTTGATTTGGTGGACTTGTCTGCAATATTTCCCTAGCACCTCATCACCACCCGCTTCCTACCTGCTCGAATTCGTTGCCTTCTTGAATCTCGGGGACGACGGTTTCTTTTTGCGAGGTGATATTCTCAAAGAACTGCGAGACTTGCGCCCCTTCGGCGGTGCCGTAGGTGTTCGTCTCCACTGGAGTAACTACGGTGGTTTCGGCGACGATGACAGCTGGAAGTGGATGGACCTCGATTGGCGTCTCACTATCCAATGGGAGCTCGGGCGCCGGCGATGTGACGTAGGCATTGATAGTGGTCTCCTCGACTCTGACAGCGGTTGGTTGCGGTTGGTAGTGCATCTCCTGAATGGCTGGGGCGATTGGCTGGATTGGGACTTGTGGGACAATTGGTGCAGCTTCCTCAGGCACTGGCTGAATTGGGGCGTAGCTGCTTGTGGCAACATTTTCGGCAACATCGACATGTGGAACGTCCTTACGATCCTCGTTCAATGGCTCCGAATCGTAATCGTCTCCACGGGTCTCTTCAATGATTTGCGAAGATTCTGATGAAACTGGCTGAGCAGTAGACACAGTGACTTGGTTGAAATCAAGATTTCCATTGTTGGTCTGCGTTTGTGGGGTGACTTCATCGAGAGTTGAGAGGAGCTCGTTGACAGTAGCCTGTTCGCTGCTTGGGACCTCCTGGTGATAGTTAGTTCCGGTCTGTTCAACCGACGTCTCAAATATATTTATATTTAATTGATTAGAAACAGTTAACTTACGATTTGTTCTTGTGGCTGCTGGAATCCTTCATGACTGTTGCTCTGGTATCCACCTCCAACTTGTGGTTGTTCTGTCTCAGCATGGTGAACGTACGATCCAGAAGTCTGTGGTTGTTGAGTTTCAGTCGGTCCTTCCTGGTTGTTGCTCTGATATCCTCCTCCAACTTGTGGCTGCTCAGTTTCTACATGATGAACATAAGATCCAGCGGCTTGGGGTTGTTGAATATCAACGTGCTGCTGACTTCCTGCAGTTTGTGGCTGTTGAGTTTCAACTTGTTCCTGACTTCCTCCAGTTTGCGGCTGATGAGTTTCAACTTGCTGCTGGAAGTTACCCTGTGGCTGCTGGGTCTCAATCTGCTGCTGGAAATTGTTTTGTGGTTGTTGCGTATCGACCTGCTGCTGGTGGAAATTGTCCTGTGGTTGCTGGGTTTCAACTTGTTGCTGGAATGACCCTCCGGTTTGGGTCTCCTGTGCGTTGGTCTGATATCCTCCTCCCACTTCGGGTTGTTGTGTCTCAACTTGCTGCTGGAACGTCGATCCTCCCGTTTGTGGCTGTTGGGTCTCGACTTGCGATTGGAATGTGTTTTGTGGCTGCTGAACATCAACTTGCTGTTGGAACGATCCTCCAGTCTGAGCTTCAGGAGCTTGATATCCTCCTCCAGATTGCTGTGGTTGCTGAACTTCAGCATGTTGTTGTTGTTGGAACGATCCTCCAGTTGGTTGTGGTTGCTGAACATCGACTTGCTCCTGGACAGTCTGAATTTGTGGCTGCTGAGGCTGCTGAGTGTCAACATGTGGAAGGTCAATTTGGATCTGTTGCAAGTGCCCTCCAGTAGATCTGTTGAGATCCTCATAAGTGTTTGGAACCGTCTTCACTAGAGTCGCATCCGGTGCGACACGATCAGCGACTTCGACAGACGTCTGGGAGACTGGAACGCGCACCTGATGACTTGGAACATGCTCTTGAGAAGAGATGGCTGGCGCCGAAGATTGTTGCTCATCTCCATATCCAGATTGTGTCAATGTCGAAACAACCTGAACCTCATGAATTCAATAGAGTCTTTTGCCCAAAAATTACATTCGAGGCGGCAGATGGCTGAACAAACTGCTCATCGAGAACAGCGCTAGCTGGCATAACTTTCGTAATAACCTGACTGGTGCTCAAAACCTGTTGCTGCGCTGTTTGTGGGACAACAGCTGGAGCCTGCAAAAGAAAACCGATTGACGAATGCATCCCTAATGTGTCTGTTCATATGGTTTTTATGAAAGGTGTTTTCGAGAATCGGATACCATCGCCGACAAAAGATTATAGGCATAATCGGCCATTCAGACATGTTTTACCGCTATCGTAGACTGCATATTGTATGAATATTGAATGATCAATGCATTTTCGCAGGAAAAACACGTAATGTGAAGAATAGAAAACCTATTCAATTGCAATAAAATAATATGATATGCAAACGCCGCAAAATTATTACCCGTAAAGAAAAGCTAATTTTTAAAATTGGGTAATTCTCACTAGATTTCATTCGTTTCTATTTCTTATGTAATATTATTTCTATACATCAATCTCAATAAAATTTTCGATTATTGTATGTCCAACTGAACATTTATGCTTTTTAGACACTATGAAATATTTACCATACTCAATTGATCTCTCGTATCAATTCGCACCACGTTTTTTTTCGATAACCAATACCCAATTTTCAATTAGCGTTCAAACAAGCCATATTCCCGCTTCAACTCAAAAGAAAACATCCATTATTCTTTCGCCCTTGGCTAATTTACAAAAAGCTTCCTTTCCCCTACAATTTCGCCACTCCACTCTTCTTTGCGTCATCATCGGGATAAACGAGGCATGAACATATATGTATACCTGCATTTCCACGGGTTGTCCAAGCAATGGCAGCGGCTGTACCGGTTCGCCTAGAAAAATGTGCTGTTCTGATGATCAAGGTCGATTTTTTGAATGATACCTGTTTGTTGTGGCTGGTCATAGGAGCCGCCTTGTTGTTGTTGTTGTTGTTGTTGTCCCTGAGGACCTTGGAATCCGCCGCCGATTTGTTGTGGTCCTTGCTGGAATCCTTGTTGTGGAGCTTGATAGCCTCCTCCTCCAATCGGCAGTTGTTGTTGTTGTGGGAAGAACTGTGGAGCTGGCGGAGCTTGAACTTGTGGAATCTGTGGGTATCCGGCGAATGGTGCAGCCGCCAATGGAGCAGCTGCATATACTGGAGGTGGAGCCGCTGCCGCACCTCCTCCACCACATGGATTTCCGCAGGCTGGCTGAGCTGGTGGACAGCACGCGCCGCCTCCAGCTCCACCAAGGCCCAAACCTGGGAGGCAGGCGAAAGATGTTGTGGCAAATGTGGCAAGCTGCAATTCTTATTGTTTAATTGAATGTCTTTATTAGATCTGGCTGGCCACTAATATCAATCAACTTAATTGTATTGTGTATGTAGCTAGATTCTAGAATGGACATTCCAATTTTACACATTTCGCGTGATTTATGCTTTTCGGACAAAAGACTCATACAACTTCTATTCTTCCGAGAAAGCGGTGAGACGAAAGAACAAATTCGGGAATCGATGGAAAATCAAGATGAGAGAAAAAAAAATACAAATTCATCTAAAGAATACGTTTAGAAATTAGATTTTCTTAGAAATAAACACCGGAATTCGGAAAAAAAACAGCAGTCATAATATCGTCTTTTGATCTATAGTCTGCGCTTATGTGAGAATGCTATTAACTATCAATGTGTTTATGAATGCTAATTGTCATACAACAAACCGTATGTAATATAATTGTATAGAATGAGAATGTTTTATACGCGTTTTTTGTTTAAGTAAAAATGGTAATATTTAGTTAAAATTAGAATTAATCATATAAATAGAAGAATAATAGTGTATATATTTTCATATTATTTTCTGTAACGATGATGAGCATTATCAGTTAAAAAATAATCATGTTAATTTTATATAGTAAGAGAGAAGTAATAAAAGCTTGGGCTGGAATAAATATATTAATATAAATAATAAATTATTATTAAAATAGTATAAAACTTAAGTTTTACGAAATAAGGAATAGGAACCCACCAAAATCAGTATCCTCGTCATCTTGGATGCGCGAATATTGGCTAGGCGATCGCTGGCAGTCGTCCTTATAAACGACAGCTCAAACCTTTGAGGCTTTGGAAACAGTTTCGGTTTGGCAGAAGCCGTCGAGGCCCCGCCCAGCGTTTCCTTTTGCAATCCGTCAGGTTCGCGAATCCATGCCACCACCTTCAACGACAAGGAAAAAACACACGGTGGGCGACGAGATGGTGTTGGAGACGAAGAGATTCCGAGCGGGGCTTCTCCTCACACCGACATCACTGTCTCACATTTTTCGATTCGGGGTTCAATGGGCCGCACTCACCACCGAACGATTTATCACCAATATTTCGAATGGAATTGCTTCAAACATTTTGATTGACAAATTGAATGCTTCGAAATTATTAAAGAGTCTTAAACAGATGTGATCAAGAGAAAGGGAACATCATTAATGAACATTTAAATCTCACTTTAATATGTCTAGTCTGGAATTCGACATTTCATTAAAGAAATGGGACAAATCTGTATAACTAATGTACCTATAAAGTGTTATGCAAAATTGGCACTTTTAGGGTAAAATTTGACAAATTTTACGTAATTGCATTTGGCAATAATGATAAATTGGACAAATTGACAATCACTGAATAGATTCATAAAAGGAACCGATGAAAACGGAAAAAATCGTTTCAAACTTCTATACAAATTAAATCATTACCACCTTCAACTTCCGATTAAAAAACAGAATTCAAGAAAATGAAAAACTCTTTTTTAAAAACCTTCAGCAGAAAAATTGGTTGTTTTCTTCTTCTTCTATACTGCATTTTTTGAGAAAAGTTGGGTTATCAAAAAATTATTTTTAAGAGAGAATATAAAACAAAATCCTCAAAAAAAATTAGCAATTATCAATGGAGCACGTTTGCAACATTTTTCGTTAAGTCGCAGAACAAAATTTCTCTAAATTATTCTTTTTTTGTTATAAATGTTAAACCTCGTCTTCTTATCCAATTGATCTTATTTTTAATGATGTCTTTATTTTTTTTTTTTGGAGAATTCCTTAGAAACTTTCCTCTATTCTCGGCGATCTCGGCAAAAGTTCGCAAAAGGATATTGAAGGTTTTTATGACTATTTTAAATCATTCTGGTATTTTTATGGAATTTTTCTTTAAATTTATAGTCGGCGAAGATGAATTGTATATTTTCTTAACGGTGTGTGTATGACACTTTTTTTTCAGATGGCGAACCACTGTTTTTTTGATGAACTATAAGTCATAGCCACAATCTTTTTATAGAATACGTCTCAATAAGTTTCCTCTTTGATTAAAGTTGGAGAAAGTTACAAAAGATAATGTATTCGTTTCAATTTTAGAGAAACTGTAGCTGGTATTCCAATTTGCCCATGCCTTTCATATCATTGCATATTCTAGCCTTTTCAACTTCCTCAACCTGATCAAAACCCTTTTGAAAAAACCCTCTTGCGCATCGTATGGCATATGGTCAAAAATTTTGTTGGCGTGGCAGTTCCAATTAAAACTCGTTACGGTCCGTGTCCCCGTGTCGTATTATTGTTCTCATGCATATACGAAACGAATCGAAGCGGGGCTAGTAGAAAAAAAAGACGACGACGACGAAGAAGAAGAAGAAGAAGCATCAAGCTGAGATAGGTAAACTGTGGTGATGGAAGCCAGGCGCGAAGCAACGCGAACATTGGCAGGCGCGAAATCACGCAATCGGGTTGCGCAATCATCGACGGATGACGACAAAGCCGCGAAAAGGTACTGCGACTGATATGATAATGAGGCCGGAATTGATGAATCGCTCGTTATAGTCTTCCTCTTTTTTTATTGCATGATTCCATGTGCTTCAGAAACGATGAGACTTTTGTCTTGATGAATCAGGGTTCCATATAAGAACAGAGGAAGCAAGTGGAAAAAAATGTTTAAACATAATTTAGGAGTCGGTCTTCTATTTCGAACCTGTTAAATCCGAATTTCACAAAACTTTTAACGAGGTCCCAGCTCGGTTATTATTTTTTCTTGACTTTTATTTACATTTATTCGATTTTCATCTTTGTTTGGGCTTTGTTTAGAAAATCCATGAAGGACCATCACAACATAATTTTAAAACATTCGAAACTCTTTATTTTTCGACTTCGAGCATTGCTTTTTTCATTTTATCATTGCATTAAAATTTTTTCACCAGTCTGTTGGTTGCATTTGTGATTTTAATCCAGTTTTTTTTTTGTTTTCGATGATCAAAAATCTTTAAAATATTCGCTATTTGTCGGTTTCTTTTCGTTTTTTGAACTTCGTCCGCTTGATTATCAACATCACGTTAATGATGCAACACAAAACAATTCCCCCTCTCAACCCGACGTGGAGTTCCTTCCTACTACTCGCCGATTGAAAAAAAAATCGTGTTTTCTTTTGCTGCATAAGTGTGATTACCCTATCAGTCGTCGTAAATCAGGCAATGGTCAATGATTTCAAGTTTTGTGTCCCTATTTTTTGCGTGCCATCGCCACTATCAAGGTTAGAAGGAGGAGATAATTGGATTGTATTATGTACACTAATGATCTGTTGACCGCAGCTTGAAATATCGTCTGAGAAATAAATGGTTGTTTGTGGGAAATCAGGGAAATGTCCTGTTTGCTATTTAAAAACATAATCTTCTACATATTTCACTATGAATACCAATTATCTGGAGTGATTCCACACCTATAAGCCCATATTCAAATGTGGCAAGGGTTATTCGAAGGAATTGGTAAATTACAGTGATTTCCCATAGTTTTGTGCGTCAACTTGAATGATTACATAAGGAAACGGCTTTCATCTACATTTATGCGGTTTTCACTTAATTAATAATCTGTTCATAGTTTATCTTAATCGTTTGATGATGATCTCACCGCGAAATGCGATTTATAAAAAAAACGTTGCACAATACGCCTCATTAAATTACACACAACTAGATTTCCATCAAATCCAACACATTTTGAAGAGAATTGATCGTCAATCGCTTAAGTTGATTAAAATCCATGACAATTTGAAAGTAATTTGTGACGCAACGTGATCCGAAACCCATTCTCCAATGCATTCCTAATATCAAATTTAGCATATTCTTAAATGGTATCGTCAAAAAACGGTATGTTTGATCGCGCAGCTTCATCTCAGTTCCTTTTCTGCTTCTTCTTCTTCGCGTCTTTCAGTTTTTTTTCTTGTATCCGAGAACACCATATTGGATTTATTGTGAATAGGCAACGAGCCATCATCATATCATGAATTCATGAATAAACGATGAAACGAATCATGCCTACGAAATAAACGCGCATTGTTGCAGATGAATCGCAAACATTGTTAGCATCGGAGAATAATGATAGTCAAGAGTTTAACGAATGGGGTGATGTCGTCGCATTGCAATGGAATAATTTAAAGGTTCGTGGGAATGTTACACACATTAAGGAAATCGTCTCACAAACCCAAATTACTGCCGCCATAAGTGTTGTTGGGTGGAGATGGTGATTTATTGGAAAAATTGGCCAGCCAATTGATACATCATGTGAAAATTAAAAATGCGATGAAATGAACAATCAAATGCTTATTCAGAAATTGAAGAGGAAAATAAACTGCAGGGGAACTTTTGATTGTAGGTAAAAACCAAAGCTGGCCGTGTTCTTCTCGACGGTGTCAGCGGATGCGCTCTACCCGGAGAAGTCGTCGCTCTGATGGGAGCCAGTGGCGCCGGCAAAACAACGCTTCTCAACACATTACTACAACGGAACCTCAAGGGTCTTGTAGTGGAGGGAGAGATTCTCGTAAATGGACAAAATGTTGGAAAAGGGGTGACAAGTGTCTCAGCCTATGTTCAACAAGAGGATTTGTTTCTCGGCACACTTACGGTAACGATGTTTTTTCGGGCTTCATTTCGAGTTTAACGCAGGTTTTTTTCAGGTTCGAGAGCATTTGGAGCTTCAGGCTCGCATGAGATTGCCGAGTTCAGTGACATCTGAAGAACGAAACGAGCGCGTGCAACAAGTTCTTCGGGATATGCGTCTGGTGAAATCGCAAAATAGTAAAATCGGAGTGCCAGGAATTGTGAAAGGAATTTCAGGTTTTCCTTTTTTTTATTTGGAGATTTTGTTTTCAAACTTACTCATTTTAGGCGGCGAAATGAAGAGACTTGCTTTTGCCAGCGAAATGATTAACAATCCGCCGGTGATTTTCTGTGATGAGCCAACAACGGGACTCGATTCGCACATGTCGCTTCAAGTTGTTCGGGTAGCCCCACACAACAACGCATTCAATTAAATTTTCGCACTTCCATTTTTAGACATTGGAAGCTCTCGCTTCTGAACGTGGCAAGACCATAATTTGTACGATTCATCAGCCGTCATCGGAAGTTTTTGAGATGTTCGACAAGGTTTCAATGCCAAAAATATTCATCAATGTTGATTTGATCTAGGTGGTTTTTTTGGCGCAAGGCCGAATTGCATTTCACGGCCAAATCGATGAGGCGATTTATCATTTTTCGGATTGCGGCTATTTGTTGCCGGATCACACGAATCCGGCGGACTATTTCATCGATGTGAGTATTAATTAAAAAATAAATAAGAAACTACAAAATTCATCAATGCACGGCTCGTCGTCACGCACGTGCGGCCTAGATTGGTGGATAATTTCAAAAATCAAAAAATGCATGTTCGGCACACAAAAAAGCATTATAGAGTTCCCCAGATTTCATTAAATCCCTGCAATAATCATGTAATATTCACTATGTGCGCCTACAACCGTAACATCTTTTTCGCGATTTTATTTTTTTAAGTCACGTTTTTCTACTTCTTTGTCTATTATTTTTATTGCTGCGCTTATGATAAATATTTCATGTTTCTTGCAGATATTTAATAAAAAACTGATGGCTTCGAAAAAGCTGTCCTTGGCTCATGTTTCATTAGTTTTTTTTCTATATATTCTTGCATATTTTTTTAGGGTTTCAATTAAAGACACATATCCATAAAATGTGGCCGTGGTCGATGCTAATTATTCAGAACAATTTTTCTAGGCCACATCAGTTTTACAGCGAGCCGTGAAATTCGCATGTAAACAGTTGTTCGTTTCGCGCTAGGAATTAAGACAGAATTTCACCTATACATATAATTTGAGTAGTCGAACTGCTTGTCTTCGGCAATAGCTTTTGCTGTTTGAGCGGCTGCTAGCCGGTGTGCGTGCGCGCTCGCTCACTCACTCATCTGTTCGCTCTTGTCGCCCCGTCCCCCTCCGCGCCTCGCCTCGCGCCCCGCTTCGTTTTTCTCCATTTGCGGTTAGGCGTCCGTCAGCCTCTATAGCTCAGTGGCAGAGCGTCTGTCTCGTAAACAGAAGGTCGGCGGTTCAATCCCGCCTGGAGGCAACGTTTCCTTTTGCAGATTCTCGCGATAAAACCGAACGAAGAGGAGAAATGTAAAACACGATGCAGAGAACTGTGCGCCAAGTTCCAAAAGAGCGAATACAACGCCAAACTGAAAACTAATATGAAAAAAGCTGGAAGGTTATTGGCGTTGAATCCTCATACGACTGCTAGCTATCCGTCATTACTACTCGCTTTGTTAATGAGATACACATTGGACAATTTTCGGAATCCGGCGATAATGAGAGCAAAGGTGATACAAAAACTATTCATGGGTGCTTTTATTGGAGCCCTTTATCTGAATCAGAACATCGACCAGGTAATAATCCAAATTATTCGTATTGAGAATCAATGAAAATTGTTAGGACGGACTTGCCGGATTCAAAGGCGCGTTGTTCTATTATATTTCGGAATTGACTTACTCGACCATTTTTGGGATTCAAGCCTTTATGCCAGCTGATTACCCGCCATTAGTCCGCGAGTTTGACGATCGTATTTACCCGATATCAGCGTATTATATTGCAAAGGTCCATTCATGAAAACTAACGTCGATAAAAAACACAAATTGTTTAGATTTTCTCATTCCTTCCGATTTTCACAATCGATGGTGTTATTATGGTGACAATATCATACATGTTTGTCGGCTTTCCAATGGAATTGATGACGTTTTTGAAGCAACTATTCACATGCATGATCATCGAATGGAATGTGGCGGCGTTGGGAATTGCAGTTTGCGCGGTAATTTAGAGAAAAAATTTAAGATTTGCATTTCAATTATCTTCTGCCACTTCTTCAGACTGCTCCTTCTTATGCGATCGCTGTCACCATAACAGGTCCGCTTTTGACGATTTTCTCATTGACTGGCGGTCTTTTCACGAACACGGCAAAAATGCACAGCTGGATTAGCTGGGTTCAATACCTTTCATGGTAAATTTTTAGTTCTGCTTGAACAATACGAACAACTAATTTTCAGGTTCAGATTTGGCTACGAGTCGCTGACAATCAACCAATTTACTCATTCGCAGTTTTCCAATATCTCTTGCACTCGGAAAAGTGTCAATGGTGGGATTGAAGCAGTTCCTGAAGCGATTTGTGAGACTCACGGCGACCAAGTTTTGGCGGTAAGCAAACATACATTTTTCATAAGAATCCGAAGAAAATATTCGATTTAGAATTTCAATTTCGATCCAATTAACTTTTATTTTAATTGGTTTGCAATGATTTACTTAACAATTGCGATTTATGTTATTGGATACGTCGGACTTGTGAGAAGAGTTATCAACGACAGATAGTCTGTTTTCGACATTGCATAAATAACACATAGTTTTCTGCTGTCAAAACTTCAATATGTTCTGCGGGGGAATTGTAATCTTCAGGAGTTTCGCGAGCATTTTTTGCACCGGTTATTACTGAACCCTCAGGAAATCGAACCCTCCGAGTTTTTCCGAGTTTTCCGCAAGTCTTATGGAATAATTCGTAAGTTGCCCAGAATTTTATTGTGTGAAAATTCACGAAATTTTCGGGTTTCCCGGGAAATATAAAACAACGATTTCCTGAGAAAAAAAAACAACAAATTAAATACCTGTTCGCGTGTATTTAAAATGAGAATCCTCTTAGTTTGATTTTGAAAAATAGAAGCTCAGGCCTGAGCTGAACCCATTAGATCGAGTTTCAAAAATCGAATAATGTTTAATTCCGTGTTTATTTTTAAATGCCCTTTGATTTTTTTTCGACTATTCATCATCAAAGAATCCAGAAGCTCCAGAAGCAGCGTGACTCTTCTTTACAACATCTTTCAAATCTTCTTCGTCTTCTACATCGCTAGTAATCCGCATTTCAGTGGAAGCTGCCTGCAAATTGTCGACATTCGTAGCCTCATCGAAAGCATTCTGAAAACCGAGATTTTGATTCCCTTCTCGTCTTCGACTGTCGCCATTGTATTCTTTCGATTCTTCGTTCTCCTGACATCCGCAGATAATATACTTGGTGGTTTGAGCTTCTTGAATATCATCGCATGCATGTTGCTCGCTTCCTGAAATCGATAAATCGTTCAAGAAAATGATTAATGAAAAACGGACCAATCCAATCGCCTTGACATCTGGAGCCATTTCAACGTCGGAATCCGGCGGCATGATTGAGAGCAAATAGCGCCTCAATTCATTTACTGTAGCCGGTGTGACTGGGCGTTCGACAAGCACTGTAAACTTGCCGTTTCTGAAATTTTCGGCTTTTCATTAATCAGGTGAACCGGTGTTGTCACCTTTGGAACTTTCCAATCTCCTCTCTAATGAATGAAGTGTCTCCAAATGGAATCGTTGCTCCATCGAAATCAACGATTGTATCGCCAAGTGCGAAAAACATACTCGTCAAACTATTTGGCTCAATCTGAAAATATTTCGCATACAATTTTCAGATAATATTTGAGACGCACCGACGTCAGAAGAGCGCGGTTCTTCACAGCTTTCACGGTCATTCCCATTGGTGCACTCGGCGAGAAATGAGCTGGCTAAACATTTATAATTATGCGCTATTATATTAAATTGCTTTGATTTTGAAATTTCAAAACGAGAAATGAATTACAAACCCGAATAGCAGTTACGACAAAATACGAAAATCCCGGTCTGATCAGTGCTTTGACTTTTGCCAATCGTTCGGCTGTCACCATTAGCGCATTCTCTCGACGACTCACTTCTAGTACGTACTACAATGACATGTTATCAATCATGCATTTCGATCATCGACTACATCTCCCCCTTTTGCAACTGTCGACATCACAACCTGCTTCTGTTTCACTGGCATTCCATTGATTTTTAGAATTCGATCGCCTAAAATCAAAATTTGCACCATAATTGTAAAATCGTTTTTATAGTCGACCCATAATTAGTCCATTGTGCATCGAAGCTCTTGATAGATGAGAGACCATCATATCATCTTCAACCTTGAACACTTCTTCGATTGGTTTTCCGACGTCGCCCTGGTAAAAATTAAATAAAATGAGATTGAAAAATTGAAAAAATTGAAACGAACATCATCAAGTCTGAAGCGAACTTCAACAACTTTCTGCTTCAACGTCTCCGGAATCGGCGTTATCTTGAAATCTCGTTTCGAACCCATTTAAACAATATGCTATTCCTCTCAAAATGAGTAATTCGGAAATGAATTCAATTTGACGTTTTATTTTCATTTGTTGATTAGAAATATTTGCGGCTTCAAAAAAAAAAGAACTCGAACACCCATAATTGTTTGGCGATAGAAATCGAATTATAAACTATCCGCGAGTCCTCTTGACCACCATCTGATGCTCTTCCTGCACCTTCTTTTTGGGCGGCTCATATCGTATGCTGAATATGACCTGAACAATATTTTGATTGAAATTGTTTCAATCTTATTGTCACCTTGTGTTGAATATCCCAATAAACGCAACATCCATGATAGAAGATTACCATGAAAACGTCAAAGTATTCGACCAACGCGAATAGCTCATATGCCCATGTGAAACACGCTTTCCAATAAAGGGCGTAGAATGTGGCAATGGCGGGAGCTGATAGGAAATATGTCAAAGATATCGCAATTTTGATGTAGTACGATATTCGACCCTACAATTTTAATTAGCTAATTATTGGAATATAATTGAGTTACATATGGATTCAAGAAATATAATGATTGTGAATGACAAACGGTATTTGAGATGAAAAACAGAAGGGCTACAACACCGAAGCTGTAGAATAGACAAACATGGACTACTGCAATTAATAGACTAATTAAGTAATTAATTCGATGGATAGCAATTACTTCCATGCTCTTTTTCTCCAACAGCAGAGAGGCCGGTGAGCAAAATGAGCTCAAGGACTCCGAATATGGCATATAAGTGCCGATGGAGTCCGTACCACCATCGCCAATGATCTTGAGTGTTCTCGAGTCGACCGTATCGGACCCCTAGAATTTGCGCAGAGTGTTAGCTGATTTCGTTCTGAACATATTACATCCTGTCGCGAGTTCGAGCAGTCGAAATGGGATATGAAAGAAAATGCACAATTGCCAGACGAGGCCCTCAAGCGAAAGATTGATAATGCGAGAAAGCGATGGAAGAAACGCGCGCTGAAAATTTGTGATTTTGAATATTGAATTGAGACAAAAATCACCCCACAAATCCAGACATAATTCGTGATCTTCTCTTGATGCAATAAAATCGCGGTTAGAATTGCAAAGATTGCGGCGAACAGCGGCGGAATGAAGCCGATCCAGAACAACACCGTTGTATTCAATTGGAAGAGCTCCTGCAGAACGGTCAACGCTTTTTCTACTTTGAACTCGTCGCAATTAAAAATTAAATTTTTCAATTTTTATCTAACAAAGGAGGAGGTCTTTTTGCTGTCCGTCTTAAAATTTTTACATTATTTGCATACAGATTTTTTAGAAAATTTTTTCCCGTCTGCGCAAACTTCTAGTTATCGATATATGGACCTTCAAAGTTTTAGCACCTCCCAACGTGAATTTTGCATACAAATACAACCCCATTTATGAAAAAATAATAGACACACAACTGAACCACAACTGCTTGCCAAATTAGGATATAAGCGCGATATAAGAGATCCCATTATTTCATTTCGAGTTTCCACACTTTTTTAGATCCAAAATTCACGTGGGGAGAGGAACTTTGAAGGTCCATATCTCTATAACTAGAAGTTTGCGCAGGTAGGGACCTAGTTCATTCGATTGGAAATTTTCTAAAGAATATGTATGCAAAAATTTAAAAAAAAATTAAGACGGACAGCAAATTGACCTAACTTGTAAGTCTTTTAACGAGAAAAATTTTAATTTTTATCCATATTTTCCTTTTTATAGTGGAAGCAATGCAGAAAAATTTTTTTAAATAATGAAAATTTCAAAGCAGAATGAATTTGATTTTTCCATCTGCGAAAAAATTTGTGTTTTTTGGCGAATTCAGAATATGTCTAAAACATGATTCCGAATTTGATTCTCAGGTTATCCGTAGTTGGTACTTAAATTCCCAGTTTAAATTCAAATTTGAATTAGCGCCTTCAAGAAATGAAGTCCTCAATTTTTCATGGTGTTTGTTTTTTACCGATCGTGTTTTGCGATTAACGTTATTTTTTCACGTTTCAATTTTGAGGAAAAGTTGAAACAGCAAATGCGAAAAATTCTAGAAACACCATTTTTTGAAATTTTTCACTACTTACCACCTGATTTGGCCTTATCCGATGAATACTAGGAAATCGATTTGGCAACATCGCTATGCAAATGCAGATGAGAACAACTTGTGGTCAACATCCAAACTAGGCCAAACACCCGTCAAATGCTACTGGTTTTGTCTGATCGCTCATCGAGATTCAGTCGTCTAATGTAACTAGAAGAAAAGGAAAAACTAATGATGGGCGGAGCCAAGTATTCAATTTCATTCACATAGAACCAATTATGTGAAAAATCGAACAAGAAAACACACGAAAAAGAAGGTGAAGTTACGGGATTGGGGGAAGGATGTTGGTAGAATGGGAAAAAAAAGAAAAATCATATGAAAAAAAAAAGAAATAGAAACGAATGACGCCGTAAAAAATGTTATACAATTTGAACGAAGGATATTTTCTAGCCGACTTTTGCATCAAAAAAAAGAAGAAAAAGGGCGGGGCGGGGCGGGGGGTTCGAGGAGCAAGACGAAATTAATGATCAGGTAAGGAGAACGTCGCAATTACTATCTAATGAAGGGAATAATGAATCTTCTGAAATCACAATGTACTAGATAAATATGGATAATAAATAAAGAAAAATTCCGGTTGGAGTGTTGAAGCAAGTTGGTGTTGTCATCATGTTCACATTGGATACGATTTAGATGTACTGAGACAGCCAACGGAATCCGTCTCCATATCCGTGTCGACGCAGTACCGAAACCATGAACACTTCCATTGGTCGCGAAGCAAGCTCATTGCGCGAAACGTCTCCTGAAACATTCGTCATTAATTTTCAGAGACGAACAAATTTAATTGACAAAAAGCCCGTTTACCATTTTTTTTTCTTACAAGCCCAATTTGATCACATTTTTTCAAGCGCGTCTGTTTAATTTTGAATGCATTTTATTTGACATATTTTAAAAATAACATCAGTGTGACGAAAACTTCCTTGAAACAGGAAATCCAATGCTAGTCTCTTTTTCCGTGACTTCTTACAATCATACTAGACTAGACATTAACAAAAAATGCGCACGAGGGAGATTCATTTTGTGATTAGTGAATTGAAAAAAAATTCGATCGCGTTGGAATTCGATTTGCGCACACACGTGACAAAAATCGTTAAACTACTCAGTATTTGTCACAAAATTGATATTTCGACGGGACAAATAGCAGGATTCCCGTAAACTAAGATGTTTCATGTTCACAGTGAGATTATTTCGAGAGATAGCATTCCCCAGGAAAATAAAACCCGTTTCAAATTCTCGCTTGTGAGCAAAAAATATATTCTTTTTGATGAAGGAGATAGGGATTCTATTTCTAAGACCATTAAGAAACTCTAGCGCAAAAAATCAATCATTAGCAACGGAAACAACGAAAATTCAGTAATCCACACAAAAATTGTGGTTTTTAGGGGACAATTTTCAATTGGAAAAAAATAAAACTAACCTTTTCCAGTGCACAAATGCTGTATGTTCAACTGCCACTTGAGTTGATCCTCACTCAGCGCATTTGGCTTATCGATTTTGTTTCCAAGAATCAAAATTGGAGCAGTAGCAACCTAATACAGTATTATGATTTCAACGACGAATTAAATAATGATTAAATACCTGCTCATCCTGAAGGAGAGACTCAAGCTCGGCGCGAGTCTCTGCCATTCGCTCTTGATCGGCGGCATCGACAAGAAAAACTATCGCGTCGACAGCTGGGAAATAATCTTTCCACACTCTGCGAGCTGTAAAAAATCATTGATTGCCTTTTCAATTCCTTTATTTATTGGCTTATAAACATATCAATTGGAACATCTACAAGAAAACGCCATCAATTGATACGAGATGAACGTTCGATTGCTTTAAAAATAAACAATCGACGTCGAGTACAATAGAATTTTTGAATACACATAAATGTTTTAATATTTGAGAAGTGAAATTTGAATTATTGAAAAATATAAATTGTAAAATAAAAAAAATCACGTGAACGATTGTCTTATCGTTGTGATCTAATTGATACTCTAAAAATAGTTCAATAATATCTTTTAAAAATGTTTATTTTCATGCGACCGCTTGACAAATATACTAAAAATAAGTATTCTTTGGACAATTTCAATAAAAAAAAAAACTTTGCGTTTTTAATATTCATGAAGTCATTTTCATTTTAAAATGTAAAAGTTACAATAAATGTGTATTTTTACAATCATGCATTGAAAAAATAATTTTTTTTGAATGAAGAGGACCATAATATAAAATCATTGGCTGAATCCATTAATTTTATTAAAACTTGAAAATTTTACCTTGAGCGTGACCACCAAGATCGAAAGTGGTGAACAAGATTCCACCAAGCGACAATTGCTCAGAAGCTGCAAAAAATCAATTAATAAACGCTACAAAATATTTTATTAAAAAACTCGTTTTTTGCGTCACACTGATAAGCAAGTCCCTGTCTACAAAGATCAGCTGATCAGGATTGTAGCCAAAAATGGCGTGACCTTGGCAAACAATACTGAAAGAGATAACGTACTTGGATGAAGCGTTGGAACATGCTGAGCGATCCGATCATCCTTTAACATATGAAGTAACGTGGTTTTACCCGCATTATCCAGACCAAGGAACACCAATTTTCCCTTCTTATTGGCTAATCCTGAAAAGAAAGAATGTCAATAATTTATGAAAACCATTTTTGAAAATGAAAACACTTACCAAGGAGGTTGAGAACCCCATTGAACCAATCCCAAAGGAACGACATTTGCTGAAAATCTGACAATTATATCGAATAGTATCGTATCGAAACAGTTTTAATAGTGCGGATTGGAGCGAGAGAGAGGGAAAACAGTGACACATTGAATGTTGTGGCCGAGGGAGGAGTGCAGAGCGCCTGCTGTGGTGTGTTGGTTGGCTGCGTCTCAAATGTTCAACACGCGTCGAGGTACGCAGCGGAAAGCGCTTCCACGTGTAACTGCGGGCGCAATACATTGAAACGTCAACGAAGCTTCGATCGAAATTTACGTATTTTTCATAAAAGAAACGGGAAATTATTATAGTCGTTCGTCTTTTGAGATTTATTAATTTAAATGATCGAATGGCAGAAATAATGCGCACAGACCAGACATATCATTAAATTTTTATAATTTATTAGATTTTTTTTTATGTCGTCAAATATCATTATTTTTTGGGAAAAAATGTAAAAAAGCTTAAAAATGATTTTTCGAGTATATCCACGCGAAAACACCGGCAAGAAATGCAAGTACGTGCTGGCCGCTAATTTGCTTACACTATCGGCCACGTTTGTGCACTAAGTGTGCTCGTTGCGCGTTCACTCTTTATACAATTTTCATTTAGTCACTTTACACTCTCGTTATTTCCTTCAGTAATTAATATTTATATGAGTTACGTAGTCTTTAAATAAAAATGTAATAGTCTTAATAGATAAAACAATTAATTAAGAAAATTTGCAAGCTAAATTTATTTCAATGAGTCTTTTCTACGTTCGTCACAAGCGATTTCAACATCGGCGGGAAGTTTTAGTAAATAATTAAAAAACAGTTTTCAATTTTAAGATTGTTTCTCAGAAACATTTTATAAATTCGTACACTTAATATTAAGATTCAAAAAACGAAAATAGAATTTCTAACATTCTAGGCACTTTTCAAACTTTCTAAATGGCATTTAAACAACAAATTTCTAGATAAAAGTAAAAAATAGAAAGGAAATTGAGAAAAATTCCAATGTCGAAGTGATCCGCGCGAGAATTGCGCCAGCGCGCTTTCTTTGGGTCAGTGCGCGTTAGCTGACGTTTTACAAAAAACAATTGCTCAGCATTTGAATTTAAAAAATATCACAAAATATTTACAACGATATTATTACTGTTTTTAATTTTCAATGAACCATAACGTGGAAATTTATCACATTCGTCGTTGAAACAGTTTAGTAAACTTGTTCGGCGAAATTAAATGATTTCTAAATTTTTTTCCAGCGTATCCATGGAAAATTGATGTAAAATTATCACAGCTCGATCTTTTGATTTTCTAATCGGTGAACACTGATAGATATTATTTCGCAACTCGCTAAACACCGCGCACTGACACAAACATTTCATTTTCGAAGTTTTTCGAAAAGAACACTTTAAAACCGCCCACTTTCGGCGGAAGGAGTCATTATTGCTTGTTCTTCTCAATCACACCAATACGATTTCTAAAAGAGAAAAATATATAAAGGAACAATTTATAGAGATGTCATCTCTAGTCAAATCATTCGGATACAATGTGAGCGGGCAGGTAAGCGAATTTTTACTGGAGTAAAAATTCGCGAATCAGTTTCAGCTTTTCGCGAGAATTATCTCGTTCGCAATTAATATGTATCTTCTAAGGGTCATCAATAATGATGTTATCGGACTAGTGAATGTTCGGTAAATGAAGAAATGAAATAGTGGAATCAATTAGATATATTCAGCTTGAATCTAATGTATAGCACAATCTTATTCCTAACAAGAGAGCCAATGAGAAAAGCGAATATTGATCGAGATTCGGTTCCTCAATTTGTAAATATTTTATGGCTCAGGTAAGAAAAATGTATGTTTTAAATATTGGACAATTTTCAGTCCGATAATCGCCACAATCCTAAGTGTGATTTGCTTGGCGATCTGGAGCATTTTCTCGACGACATCGGAAAATGTCTCGTTATTCGTTCTCCTTTCATTCCCATTATCTTCAATAATTGAGGCATTTGCCGAACCATTTGCCACGATTTCTTTGCGGTAAATTGAAATGAGAATATGTGAAAGAAAAAAAATGAAGTTTAGGTATTCGCTGGGTCGACATTTTGCGATTGGACAAGGTGTTTTGATATGTATGAAACGGATTTTCGTATTTGCGGCATTGTTTATTCTTCCCAATGTGTATCATTTGGATTTATTCGCCTACGCGCAGGTAATTTTTTTTTAATTCAATTGAATATTTTCTTTGACTATTTTGGAAAATTATATGCCAATTTTCAGTATTTCGGCTCGATTGTCTACTTGATTTTCCATGTTTCTGCTTTCCTCATTTACATGAAAGGCGAATCGTATCCAGAGCTCGAAAAATTCCAGGGATTCCGAAGCCTTCTTCCAGATCCTTCGTACGTTTTCTTTTTTTTTATTACTCTAAAAATTGGTCAATTTAGACAAGGCGTTGATACCGAGTCCGTGAAAGCCGTTTCTACAATGTTCTCGCATTCGATTCTAAAACAGTTCATCGCCGAAGGAAGCGCCTATGTGATGACTTTCACCGAGCTTTTGAGTCTCAAACAGCAAGCAGTCTACGATGCCGTCGAAAGAATTGGAAGTCTTGTTGCTCGCGCAATTTTGGCTCCTCTAGAGGAAAACGGATTCGCATATTTCTCGAATGCGATTCATAAGCAAAGCACCGTATTCAATAAGAGCACCAAGGAGCATGATGAGCTCATCAAGACGCTTTCTAATATTCTTCATATCGCTGGAGTCATTGGATTCGTCGCTTGCGCTTTCGGAGTTCCATATTCTCCTACCGCCATCTATCTTTATGGCGGAGATCTACTGTATTCGAATGGAGGTTCCGTTCTGCTATCCCTTTACTCTATATATCTCTTCATCATGGCGGTTAATGGAATTACCGAATGTTTTGCAATGGCTAGCATGAACAATCGCGAAGTTCTCACTCATGGAAGCTTCCTACTGCTCACCGCGTTGGGTCAGCTTTTCTTGAATTTCGTGCTCTGCTATTATTTCAATTCGCCGGGATTCATTATCGCCAACATTGTGACCATGATGATCAGAATTGGATACAGGTAAACAATTATTTTCAAACGACCTTCTTTTTTCGAACTCGCATTTTCAGCTGGAGGCATATTTCGAACTATCTTGGTCCACGTACCCCGTCATTCTTCACAATTCTGCCGACGTTTGACACAATCACTTTCATTTTTGCATCATTCTTCGCAACCAGCTTCTCTTATTTGGTAATCGAATAATTGATATTTGTTTTGATGGATGCATTGTTCAGATTTTCGGCACAACTCCAGGATTGTCGTATCTGTTCTCCCACCTGGCAATCGGCGCAGTTCTATTCTCTCTTCTCGCCATGAATATTGCCCAACATGATCCAGTGTTCGCGAATATTGTCAATTCGTATCTGAAACCCCATAACGTGTAAATATATATCATATAATTTATTTTCTTTTACTTTTTTGGTTGGTAATGAATTCTTAACGAGCATATTGATTGTCATTTTATGGGGTGCTTTAAAAGTTGCAGTAGAAAAAAAGAGAAACGCAGGTGGAAACCAACAGCGGGCGCAGAAAATTTTCGACTTTGGCTATTCTCATCGAAAAAATTCGTTTAATCAAAGATTATCCTAAAAATACAAATATGTATTATTATGCCCTTAAAGGGTCTACCGCACATTTGTTTGCATTTTGCGTTGAATAAATAGAATGCGTGTGGTTGTTTCTACGTTCCGAAAAGAAATTTGCCGTTTCTCGCCGCCATCCCAGAAACGCAAAAAATTTCACACTTGTAGCAGTCCTTGATGCTCTCCGGCGACCAAATTGTATTAGGCAAAGACACAATTTGCAAGAATACACAAATATGGAATCACAAGGAGTTTGCGGTTTTCTAGGAAACATTTTGCAATGGGTTTGGTTTTGAATCTCATCAAAACAATTGAGAATCAATTCGGGTATTGACAGAAATTTTCGCGAAATAATTCGAAATGTCGTTTTCAAAAATCTATTTGGCACAATTCTTGTTTAATTTTTTATTTGTTTTCCTTCTAAATTTTTTCTGAATGGAAAAATGTAAACATTTTTCACGAATTTTCATTTTTCATTGGTTGGAAAAGTTTCCCGAAGCGACTCTCACTGTCACCGTTTAAGGTCTTGACACGAAGAATTTTATATGCATTTCTATGCTGAAATCATACATTTTAGATCCTAATGACACTACGCAGCTTTTGGGATAAACAAAAAAGAACCATAGAGAACCCAATTTTCAATTAACTGAATCCTCTTTGAAACAGCATTATGAAATGCAAAATATTATTCTCATGTTTCAATTTTGTGCTCGTTTTCGTACATTTCCTCCGCCAAAGCTCCGCCCATTTTTGTTCGAAGATAGTAGCAGCTGACGGACGAGCGAGTCGGCTCCTCCCCTCCGTGTGTCGAACATTGCTCTTTTCGTTTTCTTCTTTCTTCTTCTCCTTCAATTTTTTCCCGTCCGGATTCCTTCTGTGCCGGCTTGTTTATTTTTTTTACCGCCACCAGTTTTTAATTATATTACTTATAAATATATCATATCAGTGAATCGAAGGAGACTCCCCCGTGTGTTGTTCATTCGACAATGCTACCATTATGATCCGCACCATTTCCCTGTTTTTATTGCTTCCGGTTTTCGGGCTGCTCGCCGAGCTCAATCTTGAGTGCAAGGTAGGCGAAGAAGCTGTGTGTAATATTTTATAGGATAAATGTTTTCTGCAAGTGAAGAAGTGGCATTTTATGAAATCTAGCCCAAAATATTGAAAATAAAAATTTCTAAACAATTCAATCATTTTTCTTAAAATGGGTTTAGATTCAAACCTTTGAAAAAAAAATCCTTCGCTTGAAAATTAATTAAGTGCTATCGTATAATCTTTCTTTTTTCAGCGTCGTCTCGGCGGAATTCCATTGCCATTGGGAGTATTCACCGTTCAAAAACACGGTTTTCCGGATGCTCTTCCACCGATCCGCACAGCACTTTCCCATGTTCACAATAGGTCCTGCATATTACAAGGATATAGGCTAGAAATGATTGTCAAAGATACACATGTGAGTTCTTACAAAAAATGTCTTTTTTCCAAAATATTGAACCGAAATATTATGGGGATAAGCAGCTTTAGGAAAAAAAGAGCTCAAAAATGAGTTAAATGGAATTTTTTGGATATGACTTTTTTAGAATGTTTTATTCAGTGTTTTAAGAATCTGCATAGTACCATCATTTTCAACCCAAGATGTTGATCCATTAAACTCGCTTTTAAAAATATATTTTGTTTTATTTGAAACAGTAATCATATTTATTGAAGCGTGATATCAAAATATTTTCCAAATTGTCTTTTTTCGAAGTCAGTAGGTTATATTTAAAACGAATCATCTCTGGACGATTCCTGAATCCTCAAATTCTTGAAATTACGCTCTCAATAGAATAATGAGACTTGTCTAGACATTGCAAACTCGAAAAAAGTTCCCATCGTCCCGTCGTTACCGCCTTAGTTTTTATATGGTTTCCCACTAACATTTTTCTCGACCAAATATGGAATCGGATCCACCCGAAGATTTGAATAATTCACCAGTCGGCGATTATTCAAACTCGCGTCGCAACGCGCCAAAAAAAATAATGGACGTAAGGCACGCAAAACGATTTTCAAACAAGAAAAGTCAATTCGAGAGGCAACAAGAAAAAAGAACTTTTGACAAATCAAATTTGATTTTTTTTGTCAACTCTTCGACGAAAAATTTCGACGAGAACTCTGAAAATGTGAAGCCGAAATCTTGAATTATTTGAAGCTTCTGAAATAATTCAAAAAAAAAAAATAAATTCAACGCACACCTACCAATTTGAAGAGATGAGCGTTTCGCTGTGCAATTTTTTCTACCAACCTAATGAAAAAAAAAACAAAACAAAAGCGGAAAAAAATTGAGTTTGAGTATAGATGGGGGGGCGCTGCTCTTCGCGTTAAACGCATGAGTGCTCTAACTAAATGGGCTCCGAGTCGCTTTGTGCAGTGCCCGTAGATGGGATCGACGGCAACAAAAAATAACGAATGTCTCGACTCATATATGCAACACACAAAATTTCGAATAACTCGGGAAAAAGATCGTAAAAAATGATGAATTATGCAGTTTTTTTGTATTTTTGCAGTGTAAGACGTCTCAGGGGATGCGAGCGCTGTTCGATTTGATCGCGTCGAGACCACGACCAGTGGCGATTCTTGGAGGACAGTGCACACAGGTGAACTCACAAAATTGATGAAAAGCTGAGCATATTGATTGGAGATTGATTCTTTTATCACAATCATAATTGCACTTTAGAAATTTAAGCAAATTTGCTTCGATCTCGCACGGACAAACTGTCTATTTTGAATTTTAGAGGTCAATCCGTTAATTTTTAATTTCAATGATATGAAGAATTCAAAGAAACTATATACTTATCAAGACAAATTAAAAAATTCACGTAAGAATTTTCAATTTAGCCTTCACGTGTGACGAGACCATTTCGAAAGGCGCACACCGTAAATCTACAACAAGAAGTCGACTATAACATAATTTGAGATTCATATAAAAATACAAATAGATTTTCTATCTCATTTTCAGATTTTAAAATTTTTATTTGTTAGAATAATATTGGAATAACAAAACGAGCATGGATTCCATTGAAGCTTAAACCCCAAATCTTAAGATTCTTTGCAAAATTTCACATGGAAACATTTTTTTTGCAGGTGAACGAACCGATTGCAATGGCGCTCAAATATTGGCAAATCGTGCAATTATCGTACGCCGAGACTCACGCGAAATTTGCGTCTTCCGACTCGCACGAGGTCCCTATTTCTCTCTCTTCTTTTTTTTTAATTTATGGCTTTTGCCTAAAATGAAATAGCGGATAATTATGATGAAGGGCGCTACCGGATGTCGTCGACAATAGGACGCGATGGCCAATTTTTTTGCTCTTGCCGAGAATGAGGAAAAAAAAAACGTTTTCCTTTTTTTGAGAACAGGGAAATTCATAAATTTTGAAGTGCATTCGTCTGCAAAAATATTCAAAAATGAGGCAACATTAAATAAAATGAATAGAAACATATTGAGATGGAATGATTTTTGCAAACAAAAAATAATAATAATTTTTTCAGCTTTTTCCAACGTTCTTCCGAATTGTTCCCGGAAGTCGGAACACAAATATGGCGAAATGTAAGCTCGTGAGCCATTTTGGATGGAAACGCGTCGGGACCATCAAGCAAAACGATCAGCCCAGATATGCACTTGTAAGTTTTCGACAGCGCACCGCTTTTATTATTTTGCGACAAGCTGTTTCCCACAAAAACTACGCGAAAAAATGGCGCATCGTCGAATTATTCATTCATTTTCGTATTTCGGACCTGGTCGAAACGGCGATTCGAAATAGCGCGGTGCGCACTCACAGATAAACGGCGGCATAGGCACAATGGAAGCATAGTGGAACGGCTGTGGATATCATAGGAATCTTATATGCAAGTTATATGGAAGCATAATGGAAGCATTTTTTTGCGGAACCGCGTGTTTCGTATATGGAATGAGCCGTATGCCTTCCATATGGGAAAATAAGAAAACAATTTGATTGCTGTATTCAAAATTTATTTCATATTAACACATTTATTTAATTTAAAATAAAAAAAAACAACAATGAAATGAATTTCAATTAAGATATAATCAAACCATTAGTTACTGGCAACTGCCGAACTATTCGAATCATTGTCAGTACTGACATCGAGCGGGACGCTGTAATAAGTAGATTATAATGGGCCTATTAATTTGAAAAACTTGTAAACCATTGTTACGTAAACTAAATTTTTCGAGAAAATACAATCAGTTTTTTTACATCAATAATTTTCTTAAAAATAAAAATAATTTATTTTTATTGCATTTTTGGAAACCCTTTAGTGCACAAAATAAAAAGTGAATTGGCGGAAGAAAGAACAACTCCAAAATTTGAAGCAAAAAGGCATTTTGGTTAAAATTTCAAAGACATATGAATACTCACATCTGAGGGTTGCTGGTAGAATCAAGCAGCTTCCTTAATTGCGCCGCGAGCGCTTCCGGCGCTACACCAAATTTCCTTTAAAGTCGTTGGCGCATTCTATCGCTTAATCAAATAAATAAATTAATAGTCATAGCTCAAAATCTTACAGAAGATTATCCATGACTTCTCGAACCATGCGTAATGCTTTCGCTTTGAAGTCATTTGTCGGTTGTTGCCCAAAACCATGGATAAGAACATCTGTAATATAGATATTTGCAATAAAGTATAGGATCTTTATATAGTCGGCGTCTGGCGACTTCTGTACTAGAGCCTCACTTAAAAAGATAAATGCCACTGAATGATATTGGTACGAAGGCTGTACGGCAATCGGAAATTTCGGCGATTCGGCTAATGGCAAATTACCGATCGAAATTTTCTTCGGCAATTTGAAAAACCGGCAATTTCGGCAATCGGCAATTCCATTGCCGCACAGCCCTGATTGGAACCAAATAATCAACAAGCTTTAAACTTAGGAAGTACTTTATAAAGACTTCATTGCGCATATTTTTCTAATTGAAACCATTTCTGGAGTCGAACAGGCCAATTTTTGATGATAACAACTTACAAATTGCGCGTACGAAGGTTTAGGAATTGGCGTTGATTTTGTTGTTTGTGAGGACTGTGGAGAAAAATTTTTTTGCTGAGTTGGCGAGATGTTAAAGTAAATAAAAATAAAACGGATTCGATGAGAAATTAAACACAATTCGATTGAGAAAATATTTAAATTCGATTTTAAAAGTGTCGGAAACGATTTGAAAACATCGTATCGATTTTAAAATTTTCGAATGCTATCAATTTATTTTTGGTTTCGATTTTGATGATAAATATGAAAATTTTTCCTTTATTTTTTAAAAACATTTTTCCTTTAATTTTGAAAAAAATTCTTTAATTTTTGACAAAAAAAAAACACAAAAAATCTTGAAAATTCATTGAGAAAAAGCAAAAGGACAAAAATTTTGAAAACGAATTTCGAAAATGTGAGGCGTGGCCGCATTGTGCAAAGCGGCGCACGGTTTTGCAATGCTGCGGCACGCCTCTTCTACGCGCGTCTGCTACCAGTTTGGAGCAAATTGTGAGTAGTTTGCGATGCCAATTTCGGAAAAACCGGCAAAAATATATTAATACGACTAAATTGTAGTTGGCAATCTTTAAACAAAGTGAGGAACAGTTGACTGAATTAACATAAATCTGAGTAACATAAGTCATTAAATGGTAGAAGCTAAATTTCGTCCGTTGTGTATCATGTAATTTTCAAATTTTCATTGTTTATATGATAGCATAAGTTTTTTGTATTGATTTTTCTAGAAATTGTCTTGGTCTGCCGTCCAGACGCCAATTGTATAATGTTTATTGACATATGATTATTTTATCCATATTCCATCCATATTTGTTCCACGGCTCGCAAACACCGGAAGCATATTCATCCCGTTTTCATTCCATCCATATTCGTCCCATAATTCTTCCACAGCCACTAAGAATTACATTATGCTTCCTATATGGAAGCATTATGCTTCCGTTCCACAGATTTCCCACAATGCTTCCATTATGCTTGCGTCGCGCTTAATCAGTGCTGGAGACACCGCCGTCGTTTTTGCGCGGTCACAACATTTTTTTTTGGGGGGAAGACATGAAATGAAGTGACATTTTGGGATTAGAAGCAGCCGCCTTCCGACAAATCTTGTCTTTTTTTTAGGCCGTTCACACGATATTTAGAAGAAAATTGGTTATTTTTTTTTCGACTAAATGAGGGATGGGCGAAGTGTATGATGATCGCCGGTGACGTCAAGATTTCAAAGAATAAATTGCTACGATTTTTACGATTTTTCAAAGAATTGAGCAAATTATAGAATATTTGAAGCAATTTATTGAAACTAGTGCGACACGTGAAGTTAAATTGGTGGTTTTTTAATTAAGAATTATAGTCGAGTGCTGTACGCGGGTAGATTTACGCGCATGCGCCTTGAAAAGGTCTCGTCACGCGTGAATGCTTATTTTGCTGTTTTCACGTGAACTGCTTCATTTTTCTTGATGAGTTTCACATTTCCTTAAATTTCCAACGTGATTCGATAAAAAAATTATTAAATTATTGAACTGGTTCATAAAATTTGAAATAACCTGTTAGTCCTTGCGAGACCATTTCGAAAGACGCATTTCCGTAAATCTACCCGATTACAGCAGTCGCCGGACGCCTACTATACAAAATTACGAAATTGAAAAATACAATGCGATTTTTGTTGCGGTCTTGACAGAAATACATTGAAATAAAAAATTGAAATGATATTATGTATTGTCGAAATCAACCGACTTGACGAAATTTAAAAAATGATTGGCTATGTGCGTCTCGAGGCAGCGAGAAGTACGCCGTGACTGCGTACATTGCATTATATCGTACGCGCATTTATTATTCTGTCAATCATTAATTTAAAGCTACACTAATTTCGCGAGTTTGAATTCTCCGCCTCCACACACACACACACACACAAAATTTAGTGTTATGATATTTTCGAGTTTTCTTTTCAAAATCTGAATAGCAATATGGAAAATAGTATATTTAGATTGCGACACTAACATCTAATGCCTATGGATTTTTAATTTTTTTTCCTTTCAGTGAAATTTAATTTGTCAAAAAAATTAAAGAACAAAAATGATCAACCTTAAATGGGCGAGTTGCGATAAAAATGGACCTGAGGGGGAGATTTAAAAATTTGCTGAGGTCCCGAGAGCTCCGAGAGCGGGTCCCGCTCATTTTCACCGTGCCGTTTTTATCGGCCTATTCGGAGATGCAATTTTGCACACATTGTCACTTCACTTCTATTTTTTTTTTAAAGAAAAAAAATGGGAAAAGAAATTATTTGCAATTCGGAAAAGTTTCGTATTATTCAAATTTTAATTATCTCAATAAATTGTTGGTTTTTTTTTTCAAAAATGTGGGCGCTATTCGAACTTTGGAAAACTCCTAAATTTCATTAGTGTATATCGTCCGGCGTTCTACTGTACGCGGCTATAGTTTTACGGTGGATGCGTCTTTCAAAATGGTCTCGCGCGGACTATCTTGTTATTATGCATTTTATGAAGCAGCTCGATAATATTTAAATCGAATGACATTGGATACTCAAAAACAGTCAAACTCATCTAGAAAAAATAAATAGTTCAGCAAGATAAGCGTACAGAGACCATTTCGAAAGGCGCACGCCCGTAAATCTACCCGCGTACAGCAGAACGCCAGACGCCGACTATACTTCACGATTTTTTAATAATATAGAAAATGGTAGCTCAATTTTTGAAAGGAAAATTTCAGAAACGATTGAAATGTGTTTTTTTTTTTCAATGAATATTCCGAGAAAAAGTGACCCACATAAACAATCAAATCAATTTTTTCCATTGATTTGCGAATATTTTGTAGAACTGGTTTTGTGTTTCAGCCCCACGAATCATTGACCAATCGTCTTGAGCATGGCTTCGGCGTCAAAATCATTCACACCGCTGGCGTTAACTACGAACAAATCGAGAATGTTGGAACAGAGCTCGACGAGCTCAAGGTCGGTTTTTTTTTGTGTTCTCGACGCGTGTCACCCGCCTGTCGAAAAAAAAACATGAATGCCGTGGCGCCACGGATAAATAATGATGTTTTGTCGCGAGAAAGATGCGATTGTCGAGATAACCGCTGCTCGACATGGTCCCACGGGGATGAATGTCACTCGACAAATTTCTTATTATATGTCGAATTCCATCCGGCGGCGGGGCTCGCTGGCCCCACACAACGACAAATTCAACACGACGAAATATACGGCGATGGGGGGATCAATTGGGTTTTGTTGTAGGCGCGTGACGCCCGAATAATCATTGTCGACGCCGATTCCGAAATGACAGCCAACATTATGTGCGCCGCATTTCATCGAGGAATGTTTGGCGATAATTATGTGTGGATGCTTCCCGGATATCATTCCGAATCGTGAGTCATGAAGCACTTCGACGGTATTTCCCAAAAAATCCATTCTGCAGATGGTTCAAAAAAGCGCACAAAAATTGCACAGAAGAGGAATTGCGACGAGCGGTTCGCCGGCATTTCGCCGTTCAATTCTCGCTATCGAGACCCGACGAAGATTTTCCAATCGTGGGAAATTCGGCAAGAAATCTCGTCCGATCAACAAAAGGATGATATTTTCTGTTTCAGCGCGCCGGCGATGTCTGGCAGGAGTTGTCGGCTCAAGATCCAAACAATACCTGGCGCGGATATCTCTACGATGGACTTTGGACTTTGGCAATTGCTTTGAGCCGCTCGATGGGCGACAATGCCGAATTCTCACACCATAAAATGGTGGAAGCCATCAATAACTCGTCATTTCAAGGCGTTACGGTTCGCGCGTTTTGAAATCTCAAAAAATTATTGTTTGTTTTGAGGGTATGGTGAAATTCGCCAATAATGAACGATTGGGTCTTGTCGATATTTTGCAATGGAACGATGAGAATTACGTGAGAGTTGGAGGATATGATGGAGCCGAAGACGAGTTCTCAATTAATATGGATAATTTCAAAAGTGGGAAAAGTGACACGACGAGACCAAAATCGAATGCCAATTTTCAGAATGGAACCCTCCTTTGGATTCGACAGTAACCGAAAGACGTCGTGATTATGTTTCGTCACTTTTATTCATCGCAATGTCATTTTTGGCGATGGTTGGAATCGCTTTAGCACTTATATTTCTCCTCATCAATTTTCGATATCGAAATCATAGGTGCAAAAAATAATAATTCGAAAATAAGTTTCTTTTTCCAGATTCATTAAAATGTCGTCACCAAATCTCAATAATATCATCATCGCTGGCTCAATATTCACATTTGTGTCTGTGATACTTTTGGGTGTCGATACGCGAGTCGTCGAAGAAGCCAATTTCGTCAGATTATGCTATGTAAATTATTATCCAACATTCAATACAAATCATTTTTGTTTAGCTTAAAAGTTGGACTCTGTGTCTCGGATTCACCCTCGCATTCGGCTCAATGTTCTCAAAGACATGGCGAGTGCACTCGATTTTCACGAATATTAGAATGGATCGAAAGGCGATCAAAGACTCGAAGTTGTTCATGATCCTCGGCGTCCTTCTCCTCATCGACGTTGTCGTTTTGTGCGCCTGGGCAATCATTTCGCCGTTCTCTTTCAAAGTCATCGAATTACCTCATATAGTTAGTTCATCGAGAGCAAAAAATGAAATGCCGAATTCAATTGCGCAATTTTAGGCCGAAGACAATATCGTAATAATTCCTGAAGTCGAAAAGTGCCATTCGCCGAATTCCGGCGTTTTTCAAGCAGCCCTTTACGCAGTGAAAGGGATTCTGATGGTGAATTGAATATTTGATTCAAAAGCGACTCAAATATTGGTTTCCAGATTCTTGGATGCTTTCTGGCGTGGGAAACTCGCCACGTGAATGTTCCAGCACTCAATGATAGCAAATATATTGGAATGAGCGTTTACTGTGTCGTTGTCATGAGCGTGTTAGGATTGTCGACATCGGTTATTCTTCAGGTATGTTTTTCAGCAATTCTATTCAATTTTTAAACTAATACATTTGGAATTTTTGGCTTCCAAATTTGAGTCGATTATTCATCATTTTGTTTAAATCCTCCCTCAAAAATAAACCAGCGCAAATTAGAAGAAATCAAACTACAAAAAATGGAAATTACAAATTTATTCGATGTCGGAAATATTGGGCAATTAATGAGATTTTTGAATTGGCTCAAGTTACATTCCAAAAAATTGATGGAAGAATTAAAAATTAAACGAAACTTTTTAAAATGTTCTGAAGTCTCTCAAATATGAAAGCATTTACTAAAAATTTGAAGTACTGTCTCAACTGGGAAAAAGACAAAAAATGGTTCAAAAGTAAATGGTTAAAACCGTAGAAAAATCAATTTTCTACCCGTGAATTTGTTGTCCCTTTCCCAGTTACAGTACTGTTGAGGAACAGGCCTGTATTCTCCGTGTGGAGTACACAAATCTCCGCCATGAGACCATCAACGATCGTTTTGCCAATTTGTATTTGAAGAATTGACGAAAATAAAAAAAAATAATTGGCTATTCGAGGCAGCGAGAAGTACGCAAGATTGCGTACATTGTATTATATCGTACGCGCATTTAATATTCAGTCAACGATTAATTTAATTTTTGTAAATCTGCACTGATTTCGCGAATTTGAAGATCGTTTGACGTCGACAATACTTTTGATTTTGATTGTGGGGCTCCCGAATTCCCACTGTTTAAATTCAAATTTAAATTACCGCCTTGAAGAAATACGATAGTCCACAATCACTAATATTAAAGGACCATTAAAATGTAAAAAAAAAACAAATACAAAAATGTGAAATGAAAATGAGAATTGGTGTTAGGAGCGTGTCAACGAGATGTTCGCTCTCGCCTCATTCTTCGTCATATTCTCGACAACACTGACACTGTGTCTTGTGTTTGTGCCGAAGATCATCGAGCTCGCTCGGAATCCGATTGGCAACGAGCCGAGAGCATATCGACGTGGTCTGATGAAGTCGGTCGTCGCGAAATCATCGCAACAAATGTCGCCGCAGCAACGAGCGTACGACTCCCGACGATTTCGTCGTTTGGTTTTTTTTTCTCATAACTTTATTTTCTAGTGATAGCGCTGGCGATTTGCTATCGAAAGCTGAAAGTGAGAACAAAATTCGAAGGCGCTACTTGCATCAGAAGTCGGCCCAACTGTGGGACCTCATTGAGAAGCTCAAAGCGCGAGGCGATCATCAATTTCTGCAGCAAGGTGAGTATAGTTTATTGAACCCGTTTCAAAATAAAATCAGGAGGGGCATTGAAACAAAAAAAAAATTGATGATAATTTTGGACTAACGGAAAATTAGCAGAAAAATTAGAAAGCCGACAAGATTCGCCGAGTTTCGAAGTGCTCCGCTGAATATTTGATCGGTGCTTATTGTGATTTGAAGACCATATTTGTCATAGACCTGAACAATTTGCTGGCAATTCGATGAAACCCCGTGTGTTCCTACTCTTTTATGGTTCACATCGTTGCATAAGTCGGTGGAACAGCAGCAGAATTCCGAATATTTCACTGATCCCGGATTGCTTTTGGCGTGATGTTTCGCAAATAGATTCTGAAATTTCGCATTCGATATTTTTTTTTGCTGAATTGATTTTGCCCATTTTTTGTCGAAAATTTCCGGATACGTGAAAAACGCGAAATTCTATTTTATTTTCCAAGACTTCCCTAGTGTGACATTGTTTTTTTCGGTTTCTTGAGATTAAAATTAGAAGTGAAACTAGTGCTACCGTAATACTTAAAAATCAAACGTTTCGACGTCGTCACCCTCAATCAATTTTTGGATTTTAATTTTGCAATTCGCACTATTTGTTTGATTTCGCTTCAATGACCCATGATTTTTGTCATTGCACTTGCTAATATAAAGAAAAAAAAGGGAAGTGTTGAATCAAAATTGAAACAAAGCGAACTAAAATGCTCAACCTGCATTTGCTCATCGAGATCGATAAGCGTCGGGCAACTCTCGTCGATTCCGCGATAAAGGCAATGCGATTTGTGAACACAAAATCGATCGTAGTATTGGCGAATGAGACCACTTCGATTAATTGCGTAGTATTCCGAATAGCACATCTGCAAAAACAACCGAATAATTATTTTTTTTTTTTTGATATTATTATTATGATTATCATTATTAGATTATTGAATGTGGTAATGAGAGAAAAATAAAACAATCTGTCTAGGCCAAAAATCATTGGGTGTCTATTTTCACAAAATTCAAATTTCGTCGTTGACACCGGAAGTTGAATATCCTGAATATATATTTTGATTGGATTTTGTGGTTGAGACCCAATTGAGCATTTCATAGTACAGTAGCAATTGATTGATAACTCCGACAAAATTCGGCGCTGGAATCAAACTTATACGATTGGAAATTCAACGGGTAAAAAATTGTTAAATTGTCGGATCCGATTGGTAATTATTTGAATCCGTTTTGTTTTAATCTTTCAATTCGAATCCGAACCGACAATTTAACAATCTAATCCGTAGAATTTCCAATCGGATAAGGTTGATTCCGGTGCCGAATTCTGTCGGATCCGTTTGGTTTTCTTGTTCTCGCAAAAAAAAGGACCAGAATTCGCTGTCTATGTAGATCATAAACCATATTTTGAAATTGAATTTTTTCTTGGAACTATCTTTTAATTGTTCCGTTCTCCCTTGAATTCTATTATAAAAGAAAAAAAACAAATTTCATTTTGAATAATTTATCAAAATTCAATTTCCAAATATCAATGTTCCCTTTTTTTGGGCAAAATGTTCGTTGCCATTTGCTATTTCAGCTATTTCAGCTTGTCTAGCTTGTGACGTCTCGAAAATCCAAATCCGCGCAGCGCTCTCTTCTACGCGCAAAACTCATTAATTTCTCGGTGCGCGGAAACCAAAATGTTGCATCCTTCTTCCATCCCATTTTTGGTTTTTTTCGATGCACATCAATTCTCGAAAGATAGATGATTTGTAATGCATACAACTTTTTCTTTTTGACATCTCCACTTTCGATTCGTCAAACAAACAAAAAGAAATGAAAGAATCATAATAATGAAAATGGCCAAAAGTGTCGAGTTTCGATGAAAATTGAAACTTTTCGCACATTTTTCAAAAAAAAATAGAAATTTGAAAATGGAGGTCTCGATGGGGTTTTATTATATTTTGAATGAATTCGTACTATTTTTTTGAGAATGTAGGTTTACGATAAGATTAGTCTTAATTTTATTTTTTTCGAGTCCTCATTTTGTTTCAAAAAATTGAATCATGTAATCATTAAAAAAAAATTTCTGAATTCGGGCAACTATCGAGTTGGGTCTCGCAACACACAAGCCTTAACGCCACGTGGCTAAGTAGTGCGTTGTTCGTGTGGAGTACACAACGCGCGCCTCGTCTTCTCGAGACCATTTTTCTGGCATTTCGCCAATCGCGCGATTTCGACAATATTTGATACGAAAATGTTATGACGACAGGCTTAGAACAATTTTTTTTAATTTTAGAAAGAATTAAAGCCAAAAATAAATTTTAGAAAATCCATTTTCTAGACTTATGAATTCAATATATATTGAAAATACTTGTTTGGCATATATCGAACATTGGCGGCTTGAAAATAAACTGAAAAAGTACATCATATGTACTGTGGAGTTATTCTTCAATTTCTAAAGAATTTTGGTTCCAAATGCGCATTTATTATTATATGTTTTCTTCTATTTATCCCCCATATCATTATTTTTGCTTTTTTTTTTCTTCTTTTGGGTATATTTTTGGAGGTATCGACACAACAAACCCAGTGAAAAAAAAGGCAATTCAAGTGGAAATTTGCGACATGTCAAAATCGTTTAAGCGATGTGGTTCAGTGCATATTACTCACCGGATTTGTGCGTTTTCGATATGTCTTTTTTTTTGCGCGAAAACCTTCAATTTCGAAATGAAATCGAATTCAAACATTTTCGCGATTAGCACCGTGTGATTAAGAGGAAATCAATCGGAGCAGAAACATTCATTGATTCGAGCCGATAATCGGCTTTTTAAATATATTAGTCAGCGGTCGATGGAGGCGGCAACGGCGGAAATATGATTTTCTCGAAATTGGTTTTTCCAAATTTGGTGCCGGATGGCGACTGACCGCCGCCGCCGCCGCCGCGCCCACAATGATTATTTTATAATTCGACTTGCAATTTCGTGTATGAGACGAGAAGAATTCATTCGATGAATTATTCAAATAGTACATTCTTTGCTTTCATGGAACAACGGTGTAATTACGCTAAAAACCGAGCTCGTGGGAACTCTGAGGTGAATTGAGTTTCAACCTTGAAAATGTCCGCAGATGGATTGAATGAAATGCTATATATGGGGGATAAACGGTCTTAGCAAAATAATAATTAAATACGGTTTTCTATCATGACTCTTATGTTTGCTAAATGCCAAAAAACCTATAGTTGATAATTTCGGGTAAAAATAAATGTGTAGATTTACGTGCTAGGTTAAAGGCGCACAGTCTTTTTTTTGGAATTCAGCCAATTTTCCCTTTTTCTCAAAAATACTAAATATAAAAAATGGTATGCTAATATTTTTCTCCAAAAAAAAAGAATAATTATACATTAGCAGTGATGTTCGGCATAATTTGTAACATTTTTTGAATGGCTCTGTGATTATGAGAATCCGTCACAAACCTGATCTGGTGCGCATTCGGATCGCCGATGCGGCACCGGATACGACGAATCGTAGCATTCCAAAGCATCGCCAATTGGGCCGAGTAAAACGACAAATTGCAGAATGGTGCCTATCATCGGCGTCTCCATCGTCGTCAACCGAACGCGACTCGTCGCTTCTGCTACTTGGTCAAGCGTCGAGCAGCAATAACAGGTAAGCGCCGAGCCGAGCACGTCCGTCCGTCCCCGCCCCCCCCCCCCAAAAGAGCCCGCCCATTTTATGTGCGTATGCCTGCGCACATACTGCTCTCCGCGAAAAATGGGAAAGGAAAACGAGTTGTTGTGTAGATGCATGTTGTACGTGTATGCATGTGTGTGTGTGTTGCCTTTTATATTTTGATATGCTAATTGAGGTGAAAGGAGAAGTCGAGAATGCGGAGACGAAGATTTAGTAGTTCACTTGATTGAACTTTGTTTTGCTTTTTTTCGTCTTCTCCAAACTTTAATTTATTAGCCTTTTTAGTGGAGGTGGCGAGGATTAACATTTGAGAAAAGAAAAAGGAATGGATAATAGGCTTAAATTATGCAACGCATTTTTGATCATGTTCAACAAATTACGTAATCACGAAATATTTAAAGGAGCACGAAATTAGTGGGAATGATTTAACGCGATTTTTAAAGTTCGGAAGTTGGTTCTTGTTTTTCAAAAAGAGCGCTGTTTTTTTTTTTGATTCAAGACAAAATTTAGAAAAAAAAATTGAAATTTTTGTTAAATTCTTGTTTCGAGCCGTTTTCTTGTTGTTGTTTTCGAATTCTTTATTGCTTTTTGTATGGTTTTTGATGTGATGTCGAACAAATTAAGAAGCGGGGAAAACATAATGGAAAAAATCCCAACAGAATATACAGTACTGGCCATAATGATGTTCGCCTAGTGTTTTTTGAGCATAACTTGGCTCAAACGCAGCCGATTTGGCTGAAATTTTTACTGTAAACGCTAAACACAGTTGCGCAACCTTGGAAACATTAAAACTGCCTCATGTTGAAAAATTAATTTTTTAAAAATTTTTTTTGTTTTTTTCGATTTTACCAATTTTTCATTTTTTTCAAACTTTGTCCATAAATTTTTTTTATTTGAAATTTGGACCTGAAACATGTTTTTAGTAATTTTTCAACCTTCTGGAAAGAAAAATTTCACGGCGGACGTTCAAAAAGCCATCGTTAATGGTCATAAGACTGGGTCGTCCAGAAGCCTTCTGGCTCAGCAGTTCCTGTGCTCCCGAAGAGGAATCCAAAAAGTTTTGCAACGATTAAGACAAAATGTACGATTTTTTAATCATTCTGGACTATTTCTAATCTATTGGGCTGCATTTTTGTTAAGAAATCACATGGCAGACCTTACAAAACAACTAGGCTCCAAGATCGGATCATCTGTCGTGCTTCAAGAGAAGATCCTAGACGGACTTCAGCAGATATCCAGATGCTTGTGGCAACGCCAAATTCTTCCATTCCATCCAGAAGAACAATTAGACGTCGTTTGTTGGAGAATGGACTTCATGGAAGACTCCCGGTGAAGAAACCATTGATCAGTGAGAAGAACCAAAAGACGAGAGTGGCATGGTGCAAGGATCATCTGAACTGGGGACGATGTGAATGGGTCAAACACATTTATAGCGATGAATCGAGGTTCGACTTGTTCGGAAGTGATGAAATCAAGTGGATTCGACGACCTATCGGAGCCAGATTCATGCCAAAGTACCACCTCCGAACGGTGAAGCATCTTGCAGGATCTGGAGCTGCTTCTCCGACACCGCCATGGGACCGCTCCGACGTGTAAATGGAATCATGGATCGGTACCAGTACAAGGATATCCTGGAAACCACAATGAGACCTTGGGCATTAGCAAACGTCGGACGTGCATTCGTTTTCCAGCAAGACAACGACCCTGAGTGCATGTCTGGACATGTAAAGAATTGGTTCCAACGTCGCCGAGTTGATGTTCTTGCGTGGCCATCACAGATTTCTGACCATAATTCGATCGAACATCTCTGGGAAGAACTAGTACGCATGGTTAGAGGGCTCCGAGCATCAATCGCCGACGAGAAGTTCGCTCAACTCGAAGCCGCATGGAGTGCCATTCCGATGCAGTGATCCGTAGCCTCTTGGACTCGATGCCTCGCAGATGCCAAGCGGTTATTGATGCCAATGGATTCGCAACAAAGTATTGATAAATTTTAAACCGGTTTTCTACACATTTGTAATATTTTCGTGTTCCTGAGACTTTCAAATCACATTGTGTCATTTTTTCCATTTTCTGCATTTTTATGAAATTTGTGATTTTTCGAAAAAAAACTTTTCTGCAGTATGCGATATCATTCAAACGCATTTTCAACGCGTTTTAAAGATATGGTAAAAATTTCAGCCCGATCGGCTGCGTTTGAGCCAAGTTATGCTCAAAAAACACTAGGCGAACATCATTATGGCCAGTACTGTATGAATATTTTTTTTAGGGAGGAAACGAGTCTCACTGTCGCTTATGACAATTGTAAGTTGTTTTTTTTTCCGATTTATTATTTTTTTTAATAAGGCAATTTCATAAAATTATAAACTATCGGTTCAATTTTGACTTAAAGTTTACAAAAATCCATTTAAAAAAATAAATAAGCTCATAGAAAAGACTAAAAACCATACATGTTTTTTAAATTCGAATTTGAATTACCGCCTCGAAAAGTGCGATGGTCCACAATTCTTAAATGGGCTTATATTTTAGGGTTGGTAATAATTAAAATATGTTTTTTTTTTTCAAAAAAATAATTCACTCTCTGTTTGAGCATTTTGTATGAACATCCAATTTTTTTTTAATTTTTTAAAAAATCTGGTAACTTATCGGACATTAATTGTTTTTTTTTTAAGATTTTTTTTTTCTGATTAATGTCTCGAGGAGGAAAAACATTTAAAAATACTAATTTTAATAGATAAAAAAATAATTTCTTAAAATTTGCATACTATCTTATACAATGCCCATAAATTATGGGTACAGTCTCCTAAATTTTTGGAGTTTTTTCAGTTTGTAATCTTCTGATAGTTTTATACTATTGTCGGCGTCTCACGACTGCGGAGAATTGCCTAAATGCCAAAAAAATTAAGAAGAGGTCTCGGTGTGCGCCTTTAAACTTTCCTTATACCGACGCCCGTAAATCTACACTACTTTTTTTGGCGCCAAGACCACTGACACTGCTTTTTTGGCATTTTGCCAATTTTCCGGAGTCGCGCGGCATCGCCAACAGCTTATGGCCAGGAAAACATTTGATATTGCAAAAAGAAAGTAACTGAAGACACAGTTCGTGAAAAGAGTCCAAAAGACAATTTTATGTTCAAATTTTTGACAATCTTTGAATCACTCTTTAATATCCATTTTCAGTGGATCGCTCCGATTGGCCTTGTTGGGTGGATCCGGACGAGCCAAGCACAAAACTCTAATTTATTGCATAGAATTATTAATGTATATACAACTCCAATAAAAAAAGATGAGATCTACTGAATAGTGCATTTACAATAAGAATGAGTATTGGCAGATTCGGGAGTAATCGGACAGGCAGGAATTGGCGGGAAAGATGATAGTGTTGAAGTGGAATCATTGGTGAGTGACGACGGATCGACGATGATGATTGGAGTCGGAATCGGGTCGGATTCTATCGGCACCTCTTCCAGTTCGTCAAACACACATCGCGGTTTGCTTGTGACGCCATTGATCGAACAGCTCGGTGATCTGACGCTTCTCTCGGTTGTATTGCTGTAACCAGGGCACTGTAAGAGACGGCCTACGCAGGTCACAGTCAAACCTCGACTTTGAAACGAGCATCACTGTCGATCAGATAGCCCCTCTCATCGACAACTCGGCAGCTTGGAAGCTCAGCGACATTGTAGGCCGCCATCAATTTTCTGCACAAATTCAATATATAAGATTTGGTTTTTTCGGACATTCGATATACTCAATGATTGGATCTTTCAATGGAATGACGGCGAACGAGAATCCGGCTTTTTCGTAATAATCCTCCATTTGGAATCGCATGTAATCCTTCGAGACGAGAATCACTTCGATCGGCTGATTCGTTTCGGCAATCTTCTCCGAGAGTTGCTGCAAAACTTTTGATTTCCTCTTATCATCACCTTCCCCTCCCCAATGTTCCGTTTGATTCTCGCAAAATTGATAACGCTGATTACCTTCATAAGAGGAGTGAATTGACGGCACGGATTGCACCAACTCGCAGAGAAATAGAGGACGACGATCTGCAAAATGGTTTTTGGGTGCGCTGTGATTTTGGCTGATGCAATCGCTGTCTGGATGATGAGCATTAACGATTGGTTCATGCTGATTTTGATAATGCGATGCGCCTTTAAACATCACACGTGTGGCTTTTGATTTTTGCCAACTTTTCAACAAAATTGATTTTTCATTATAAAATATTTTCACAATATTTTTTAGCAACTTTTGAGCGGAATAATGTCCGCAGAAGAATTGCAATACACGACAAAGCTAGCTCAATTTTCATAGGTTGCGAATTTGGTTTATTCCGACTAAATATTGCCACAATTGCATTATTGATGTGTTTTCTGCTCAAAAGTCCAAATTTCGTCCAGCACCTATCATTCTCAATCAGGTAGTCTCGTGGAAAAAAAAGTGACGATCTTATCATGTGTTGATTAGGTTGACACGTGAATGAGATGAGTCCTCATGATCAAAATTGAGGGTGTGTGTATTGCAACGAAAGAAAAACGGAAATGCCGGATTATTCTAAATTAGACGAATTCTTGGAGAAAATCAACAAATCAATAATTCGTTGTGAGTCTCACCAAGAAAATTTTAACAAAAAATTTAGATATCGTACCAAGTGAAATTCAAAAGTACTATGCAGATTTTGTGAAGAAACCTCGAAAAACTCAAAATTCTTTCGCAATATGAATTCGATTTTTTGATAGTTTTTAAGGGATCCATTTTGATTTTTTTTTTGGCATAATCTTCATAGTACGATTATTTTTGTCTGGTGGTAGATAAAAAAATAGAATTTTATTAAAGGGTTTCGATTTTTCCTCGATTTTTTTTGAAATTAACCAATTTTATTTACTTGTGGGTCAATGCAAAAAAAATTCAAAAATTCAAAAAAAAGATTTTTTTTCTTATTGTTTTTCATTAAAATTTTCCCCCAACATTTTATTGTACCATTTTCTCCTATTAGTGCTTCGCAAAACTGGTAGAACTCTCTTTCGGACCCCCTAAATCGACTCACCTTTCCTCTAATATGGTCCCGCGCATTGACAAAAGATCCATCCTTGAGTTTCAATTGAGTGGTGTCGAATCGAATCATTTCAAGAAGAGCTTCAACCTCGTTGTCCTCTGAAATCGCTATCTGCAATCATTTCCATTTTTTAGGCGTCAGCAATCCGATAAGACGAAAAACAAAGAATAGAAATGGACAGGTTTACTACCTCTGTTATCATATGGAGCTTCTCATATCAGCAAATTGGCTTATATACACCACCGCCGATAATACGTTTTATTGACCATTCAAATATGGAAGACAAAGAATAGTAATAAATTGGAAATGGCTGATAACAGAAAATATACGAAGCAGTACAGATGCACAAAAAGTAGCAACAATCATCAACTGATTAAATTTTTAAATTTCAAATGGCAACTTCAAATTGTGCAAACTGTATCAACTTATAGGCGAAAGTCACGTCAATTTCAGTTGGTTTTGATGATTCCATCAATAAAAAAACCCGTGAAGTTCATATTTTCAATTGATAATTAGTGATAAATGTTGCGGAAAGTTTCCAATCTTTCCAATTGTTTGAGAATTGAGTCAGAAGCTTGAGATTTTCCGCAATCTTAAATTGTCTAAGCCGTTAAATAAGCTGAAAAAAAACGCGATAACGACACCTTTTTTATGTGTTAAAATTTTGATAATTTTGGACGTAAAGTTTCTTTATGACCTTCAAATATTGGAAAAAAAGGAACTTGAATTCAAACGACATTTAATTCTAAAGATTTCCGATAAGGGAAATCAACCCTAATCAACGAATCATTTTTTTTAATGATGTTTCTCTTTTACAAATTAATGATTACGGTAGCGTCTACTTAATTACAATATATTGGATCACATGATTTTTTTCACCTAGCGTCGCATTGGGATTGACAATCAAAGTATCTGATATTCAGGAAAACAATAATTGGCAAACCGCCAAAATATACTATGGGACAGGCCTTGGCGCAAAAACTTTAAAAAAAAACAGAAAGCTCGCCAAGACATATTATTTAGTGATATATTTTCTCTTTCCGTCTATTTTTTTTCATTGAAAAGTGTTTTTTTTGCAAAGATTGACTCTAGCCTTCAATACTACATATTTAAAGTCTATTACTGGCTCGTTTTAATCTCAGAAGCTAATCTTGCTCTAATCAAAAGGAGCCCTTTTTTGCGCGAAACATTTGCAGACTAAGTTTGTGATAAAATCAGTCATTAAAATGGGTCCATAAAACGGTGTGACGCTTTGATTTTTGGGTTCGGCACCTTTTTGCAAAAGATGAAAAAGATAGAGAGCGAGAGATTGCACGATTTCGCGCTTTAATCATAAAAGGATGAGCCTATTTAAAGGGACATTAACACTATCTAAGCGCATAAGACCTTAATAGCCAAAAATCGAACAGCGATAAGAGAAAAGCACCAAGTTGGTGCGTTTGACAATAAATTATTTCAAGCGTGTTTTATACCGATGGTTGCTCATCAAATGCTCAACCTACGCAAAAAAAATCACACTCATTTGTGTGTTTGTTTTTTTTAGAAGGAACTGAAAATAGAATGAAAACAGACGGAAATGATGTTGGCTCGCCGGAAGTGTCGATAAATTAAATAAATAAACTGGAGGCGGTTTATCGATCAGAAAATTAACGGGCCTTTTTAAGGGACCATTAGGAATGATCGATTGATTTTAAGAATGTCAAAATGAAATTTCGAATTTCGAATTGAAAGCATTTAGATTCGAAACAATGATTTTCTATGATCTTGTGTAAAATTTTAAGTTATTTCAGCGGATATTAGAAAACTCACAATTCAATTTATGTTGGAGAGAAACTTCGAAATTGTCATAAAAAATAGGAATTCCTTTTTGTACCCCAAATTCACCTAACGGTAGTTGATCTACTTCTACACTGAGAGCTCTACGTAATCATCCGCTGGTTTATCTATGAATCTGCAGAGAAATAGCCTTCAGATTGAGCTCGGGGTTCAAAGGGGGGGGAGGGGTTAATCGGAAGGTTCTTCCGGCAATCCAGAAAAGCCATGCGTGACATCGGGCTTCAGATTTTTCCCTATGTATGTAAAACAACGGAAACGCAAAAAGAAACAAATGTTTTGATTACCGGCGAAAACGGAAACGGAAGCGAAATTCCGTAGTGTCAATTCTAGACAAACCGGACTCTGATTTAACATTATTTTAAATCAGTTGATCGCTGAAAAATACATAAGAAGAAATGACGCATTTGCAGAGCATTAAACAGAAAAAATCATTTGATTATAATAGGATTACTATTTCCGCATGAACTAGGATGTTAATGAAGCATTAGCAATTATTTCCATTTTAAATTTTGATATAAATATAGGAATTGTGATTTATGCATGAACATTTGATCTTTTTAAACTATCTCACTGAATATATATTATTTTAACTATACATAAACAGGATCTTCAAAGAACACTTTCATTCAGATAGCCTTGAGTATACAGTGCGCGTCATAATGATACGCCACCCCCCCCCAAATTTAGCAGTTTCTCGAAAACCATATAAATTGGTGACCAGACAATTGCATTTGCGAATTTAGGACCATTGAAAACATATATGTGCGTATTTTCATGAGGGTCCGTTGGTCCATAGTGCACAGAGATTTGCTAGAATGGTTTCAGCAAACAAAAATTTTCTTTTTGTCAGATTTATTAGAAAAAATATATTTATTATAATTTTATAATGGGATCTAGCAAAATCATTTTACGAGTCAGATTGGAGAAAAAATAAAAAAATGAAGAAATGATCGAACGAATTGCGAAACGATATAAGGGGAAAATTTGATGGAAGATGATGAAACTGATTTCTACTGCAATCTGCGACTGCAATACGCGGGTAGATTTACGCGCGTGCGCCTTGATGAGTTTGGCATTTCTTGAAATTTCTAACGTCGTTTGATTTTAAATAAAATCATCGAACCGGTCCATAAAATTTTAAATAACCTGATGGTCCGTGCGAGACCAAGAGAAAACATTCCCCGTAAATCTACCTGCGTACAGAACAGGGCTGTGCGGCAATGGAATTGCCGATTGCCGAAATTGCCGAAATTGCCGATTTTTCAAATTGCCGAATTGCCGAATTGCCGAAGAGAACGTTCGATCGGCAAATTGCCGAATTGCCGAATTGCCGAAATTTTGATTTTCGGCAATTTGCCGAATTGCCGAATTGCCGAAATTTCCGATTGCCGCACAGCCCTGGAACAGAACGCTGGACGCCAACTATAGGTTTCAATGAAAAGCATGAGCACAATTCAACTATGACATCTCATTTTTTCAATTTTTCATTCAATTCAATCATTTCCTTAATTTTATATTTCTTCTATTGTTTTTTGCCATAAATGGTGTTCATTCGATTGAAAGTATCCCTAGAAAAGAAAGGGAGAAAAGAACAATGATTGAAAAATTCGATTGCGGTCCAAATAATAACTACATATTCGTATATATTTGATTGTAAATAAACGAGTGTGTGTGTGTGTGAATCATGAATAAATGATGAGATGAAAAATAAACGCGGACCATCAAAAATTCATTTCATTCATATATAATTCCCTCGTCTTTTCTCTCTTTTTCAACCTCGCCACTCATTTGCTCAACGGCTTCGGACGGGGGCCCAACGATAGCCAATTTTTTTGTTTTCCTCACAAAAAAAAAACATTTCATTTTCAACAGCTTCTCAAATTCACACTATGCGTTTAATCAATTTTCAATTTTAATTGTCTGCTTGGAACCCTTTTTATATTTCAAACGTACCAAAAATTTTAATTTTGATTTTGTAGACTAATGGGTGCGGCTTTAGTCTCGCACGGAATAACCGGGGCATTCAAAATTATTCAATTTCAATTATTTTTTGAAATACGACACAAACTAAACTACAAATCTTCTATAGGAAATGAGCATTTTTATGAGGCAAAACCATAGGGAAATGTGCAGTGGAAAAAAAACTCGGAAATACCGAGAAGACGTTAGGTATAATTGGTGCCACAAACCTACAAAATAAACCTAAAAAAGATGGCCCAAAAAAACTTGTTGATCGTCTGAAAAATCAACGATCACAACAAAATCCGTTCGAATCACAGACTTTCAGCAATCATCTATCCAACTTTCAAACACTACACGATTTGCTTTATTTTTTTTTTCATTAAACAGCGAAACTCATAATTATTATGTTCAGTATTTCTGGTAATATCATTTATTTTTATTCCCTGACTATAATATTTTAGATTTCCATCAATAAGCTTTAGAACTCATTTTGAAATCTAAAAATGCATTAAGAATCTTTCCAAACATTTTCAAAGTGTATTCAATCTCAATTAATTTTATGAAATATTATTGTTGGCGTCAAATGTCTGAACGAAAAATTAAAAATATTGACTATTTGCCATGGTGTTTCGAGGCAATGAGTGTTTGCGTATTCTGCATTTTAGCGTACGCGCAAATTATATTTAGCCCGTGCGTAAATTTACTACACCGATTTTGCAAAACTGAATTTCTCATTACTGGAATGTCGTTCGACGCTGGCAATATTAAACTTGACAGTTTCTTATAATTTTTCAAGATTCTTTATAAATGTTTAAAAGTTATTGTCGACGCCGCGCGATTGCGAAAAATTTGATAAAAGCCAATTAAAAAAAAACCAATGGCAATGGTCTTGGCGCAAATTTAAAAGTGTAGATTTGGTGACTAGGTAATAAGGATAGGTTAAAGGCGCACACCAAGACTTATTTTTAAATTTTCTTGGCATTTAGATGATTTTCCATAATTTTCGATAGTATATTTTTGTTACCAATTTTTTTAAAATAAACTCCTCTAAAGAATATTCAAGCCCTCGGTTCGAATCATTAGCAAATCGATTGTTATCTTATCGATTTCTTATCGTTAGCTGACTCAGTTCTATTACACCTCCTTCGAGGTTCGACATATAACACACCCTTGCAGAAATGCTGACTTCATCGGAATTGCACTCGAATTCCCTAAAAAGGCCGTTAGAAGCCGATGCGGTAAGAGATTTTTTGAATCGTTGTTGGAAATCGAAACGATTTTCAGCACGACCAGCCTGCTACGAAATGGATGGCTCAAACGATACCATCGGCAATCCCGCAGAGTTATTTGAGTCCGGTTTCAGATCATACACCTCTAATTCCAGTTTCGATAACGAATAATCCGGAAACCGCACTGCGATTGTTCGACGAGCTCTCGCGGAGTCAAGTCATCCAAGACTATATTGCTCGTCGCCACACGATTCCACTTGTAACGCCGACGACGATGAATGTGAGTTGCACATAATAATTCATGCGAGAGAATGAGAGCCCATGTTTTTCTCGTCACAAATACGATAAAATTAGATTCATTGAAATGAACAGTTATGAATAATTAACAGAAAAACATTCAAAATGTTGGTGATAAATTATTCTCAAATATTTCCGAATCTTTAATTTTGACGAAATTCGAGGATTTTTTGCCAAATTCTTTAAATAGCACTTCTTGGGCAATTCTAGAATATTCGTTCGAATTACCCATGACTCTAATTAGTAAACAACTGTCTTAATCAACGACCGCACATGATGTTTAATTATCAATGCATGACAATCAAACAAATATTATTGTTTAGGCTCAACGAGTTGCTCAGCCGCAACTGGTCCAACCATATATGGCCGGTGGTCCTCAGCTCCTTGCTCCGCCTGTCATTCCTGTCTCAAGCCCGGCGCCGATCAAACTTCCATTGGCTGAGCCAGTAGCCAAACAAGTTCACATTTATATTCCGCCGTGCTTCGAAGGTCCGAATGACTCGATCTATCGGGTAAAGCGCTTTGCATCGATTTCCACAAATGATTAAAACATTTCAGACATTCATTCTTCAAATTAAAATGACGGCAAAATTTCTCGCGGAAAATATGAAAGATCGTTGATTGGATATCAAATTCTCAAATTACGGATATTTGTATACATAATAATTAATTTTAAGTACTCTGATGGCTCAATTAAATTGAAACATTTCAATAAATGTTGCAAGCAGATTCAAATCTCAATCGCATCCCATATTTGTCAAAAAAAAGACGATGGGTAAAAAATTCAATTAGTCGAAACAATGGTCGCCCACGGGTAACCCCGACGCGCTAAATTGAAGGTGATGTCTAATTGGAGTGTCGTACTGTTAGTATAAAAAACTTGGGCACGAGCACTGATATTTTTTTTTGGAAAATCTGAAAAAAAAGCGAAATTTGGGTTTTTTCATGCGAATAGAATTGAACTTGGTAATACCCGAAATGGAAGAACCTCACTTTTGTTCTATGATGTCGTCAGCTCATCTCATTAGGTTAGTTTGCGTAATCATTAATCATTCGTATTTGCAAGCTCATCTCGTCACGTAGAAAAAATATGTTTTAAAAAGGCACATTCAGTCTTTTGAAATTATTAGATCAGAATCAAATTTAGTCAACCAAAAAAATGATTAATTTTATTCGAGTTCCCTCTTCTATTTATGTTATCAGAAATAAATCATATTTTATTTCAATTGTGTCTCTTGAATACTCATATATTTTCTCTAAATGTTCCAGGTGATATTTGGCTTTCAATGTGTGAACTTTTCCAAGTCGATGGACGACTACTATAAGTTCAATTATAGTAAATGCGCTAGAAATCACAATTTTTTCGAATCATGGAAATTCATGTCATATCCGCCGCACGCCATATCCATTCTCGTCGTACCCCTTCAAATTTATGCAACTTTTCTTATTTGGACCAAATCACCGCAAAGAATGAAATCTGTAATGATACCACTCAAAATAATGCATTTCTGGTAAATTGTTATCACAATGATATTCTAATTTTCCGTTGAAAAATTTTAGGACAACTGTAGTTGATATTTTGGTATCGATTATGCTTACACCATATTTGTTTCTACCATGTGCCTGTGGAATTCCTCTCGGAATTTTCCGCCTACTCGGAATACCCACAATTATTCAAGTGTTCATTGGACAAATATCGATAACAAGTAGGAAATCATATTGGTTAGATTCATGACCAAAAATCATGGACTAAAAAAATTGAGTTATTAAGCCAAACATCAACAAATCTTTGGAATCTCCTTTCACACATTTCTCAATGAATTTCAGCGTTGGTGACTTCGATTGTTGTTCTTTTTGAGAATCGACATCGAGCAATTGTCGACATCAAATATGGGATGAGTCGAAAATCGACGCGAATCGCATTCCATGCTTTCAATTACACATGGGGTGTTTTAGTATTCTTTCCATATTTTATAGTAGGAAAGGATGAAGAAAAAGGGAAATTGGCGTTTCTAAAAGTGAGTTATTTCCGCTCTAGCTGTTTTTACAGATTTTAAATAAAAAACTTCGAAAGAAAATAAGAAAAACCAGCAAAAACAAATAAAGAAAATTTTGAAACGAAATTAAAAAAAAAACTCCGTAAATCGCTACGAGGATTACGGTAACTGGTTATTTACATTGCGTACAAAACGCAGGATCCCACGACACCTGGTTACATTTGTCATTTCTCAACATTACCAGCCAAAAAAGTGCATAATTTTGGGGTTTTTGAGGGTGATTTCTCAAAAATTTACTCGATTGAATTCAATTTCACATCGCGCATTGAGGATTTTAGCTAATTTTATTGGCATTTAGCCAATTTTTCGCGGGCGCGCGACTTCCACAATACCATTGAGAAATACTCTTTCAGATAATGAAATTTAGAAAATGCGAATATCACCTCTAAATTTTATACACCCAAAAATCCGAGAAAATGTCGATTTATTCTTACATGTATCTTTGAACATCTAATAAAAATTCTTTGAGAAATTATATGGGGAAAACGGGACGATTCACGTCTATCACTTATATTTTCATTCAGCAATTTCCTTGTCCACCCGAAGAATTTTTTCAACCTGAAAACTTTCTGATGACCGAAGATATACTCCCATTAGTTATTAGTGTCATTATTTTTGCGGTTTATGACATCTCATTGTGCGCATATTTCTTTATTCTTTCAATGTTTCATCTGCAGTGTCGAATGAAGAAATCTCAGGTAAACGACCGAAATCTTATTTCCACCTGCAACTAATTTCACTATTTCAGATGTCTATGAATACTCAGAAGATTCAGAAACGGGTATTCCTGAGCATCACAGTTAGCGCTTCAATCGTTGTCGTCACGCTTTTCGGGCCTATTTTCATTTTATCACTCACCGTAACCTTTTTCAGCTTTTATAATCAAGGTCCTTTATCTTTAATTGTCTTCTAATTTCAATGATTTTGTTAAGTTTATAACAATATGTTGGTAAACTTATTCACAACTCATGGATTATATTCGACGGTTACTCTGATAATTGTCAACGAGCCTTATAGGAATTATACGAAAAAGCTTTTCTCAAAATATAGGCTGGAAAATCCGTCAGGTAAGCTTCTTAAAAAAATAAAATACTCGAACGGTTGGAGATCCTAAACGTTGTTCACAAATGATTGATTCAGGACGTTCTCGCAGCAATGTGATATACAGCATGTCGAATTATCATACATAATTTGGAAAATGCGCCTTTTCCAAAGATCACAACCAATTATTAATATTAGGAAATCGAAATAAATATTGGTTTTCCATTTTTATTAACTATCTATACACATATTGAAGAGGCAAGGGAAAGAAAAAAAAAGAATCGTAAGAATCGTGCTTCAAACCGTAATTATAAGGTGATTTTGGGGGGATGAGAGAGATCATTTGCGTTTTAGCCTAATTATTGAATGAAAAAAAAAACGGAACATACTATGAAGTCATCATACCTATGGGTATTTTGTGGATCTAAAGGTCCAAAGGATAATTGGTTACAAAGGCGTGCAGACATACTTGCAAATTTCCGGGTCGACCCGGGTCAGTCAAAAAATTCGCGACCCGCCCCCGCCCCGCCGACCCGCAACGACACTCCAAGTTTACAGCGAGGCCCTTGTTTAGCGAAAAAAGAATTTCGAATTACATTATTTGAGTAGAATTAATTATTCTCGCAACAAAAATTGTTCAGAAGTCCTCAAACAAAATTGATTGAACCAACTTTCACTGTTTTTGTTTCGTTTTCGATTTTTTTTAATAAACTTTTCTTCAAAAAATCTATTAGCGGGTCGAGCGGGTCGGGGCGGGTCGGGGCGGGGCGGGGCGGGTCAGGGGCGGGTCGGGGCGGGTCGGTAGAATTTTCACTCTGACCCGCCCCGCCCCGCCCCGACCCGCCCCGTTGCAAGTATGCGTGCAGACGATTTTAATTTTTCTTTCGTTGAGGAAGCAGACCCGGGCGCATATACCTGACATCAATATTATCACTATTGACATAAAATAATAGAAATTCTTTTAAAAATTACAAAAAAAAATAACAATAGAAAACAGCAAAGGGTTCCATTCGGGCGGACGAAAAAAAAAAGAACTCTTACAAAATAACTAGTGGCGAAATGGGCGGTGTTAACTCAACAGTGCGCGTCATAATGATACGCCACCCCCCTCCCCCCAAATTTAGCAGTTTCGAGAAAACCATATAAATTGGTTGTTGAAAAAATTATACAAAATGCACAAAAATCAGCAAGAAACATGCAAAAATGCCGAAAGGAAAGAAAAAAAAATAGGGGGTTGAAAATCCAACTTTTTTGGACTGTTCGGATCAACAGACCCTCAAGAAAATACGCTCGTATTGTAGGTTTTCAATGGTCCTGAATTCGAAAATGAAATTTTCTTGTCATCAATTTACAGGGTGGCTGAAAATTACCCGGACTATATGAAAACCAATGTATTTCAGTGAATAATTGTTCAAACACACTCAAATTTCATATTTAGCTTATTTTTACAATAACAAACATAAATAGATTATCGTTGTTCGATTCGATCTCCGCGGTTTCTGATGACGGCGCGAAGACGCTTCGGATATGCGTCGACCGTGGCGCGCAGGTATTCCACCGCCAATTTGTCCCATTCCTCGACCAGCGCTTTCTTTAGAGAGTCCAAATTCGGGTGGGGCCTAGCACGGACCTTACTCTGTATGACACCCATTCGGAATAGTCCAACAGATTAAGGTCAGGAGACGTGGCGGTCCCTTCTGTTGACTTGATGAAGGAGGGGAAATTGTTGGCGCACCACTCCTGCGTAAACTTTGCAGTATGAGCTGGCGTCCCGTCCTTCTGGAACACCCATCGTTGTCCACCAAAGTGTTTTTGGGCCCAACGAAGCAAGTTCTTCTTCAGGGTCTCATTGATATAGTAGTACTTGTCGATTTTGACTCCCTTTTCCACGAAAATCAGAGGACATTTGCCATTGGAGCAGATGGCACCGAAGACCATGACGCTGACGGAGTGCGACGAACGATGAATTGTCCGGCCGAGTTCTGAAGCTTCCTCGGACGTTCGGGCAAGCACTCGATGCTTTTGCGAATTGAATTCGGCCTTCACGGTAAACAGCTTCTCTTCCGAAAAGACCGTCGACAGATGTTCCCCAACCCGCGCGCCCGCCAAAAGGAGTTTTGCCTTTTGGTGCCGTTTGAGCTTGTTGGATTGAGAAAGGATGACCACTTTTCTGACACAATAAGGAGTCAACTTAAGCTTCTTTTTGACAATGGTTGTCATTGAAGCTCGTGACATATTCAGGGCGGAAGCCATCTTTTTGATGCTCTGATGAGCATTTCGTCTGATTCTGTCTCGGACGATCTTAACGTTCGAAGAAGTCGTCATCGCAGTTTTTTTTCCTCTGCCTGCACGGTCCTGGATTGTGCCAAGATCCTTGAAACGAGAAATCGCATCGTAGACGGTGCTTTTCGGAATTCTCAGATGCTTCCAAATTGCATACGTGCCTATTCCGGACTTGTGCAATGCGATAATTGCGGGTCGGTTTGCATTTTGCTTCGCCATTTTGCTAAAACCGAACCAATTATCATGAAAATTTGAGAGATAGTAAAAAAACATTGCTAATTAAAAAAATTTAAAAACATTGCGCTGAAAAAGCACCAGTGCGCCTCACGAAGGCTCGAAATTTTAGTCCGGGTAATTTTCAGCCACCCTGTATATGGTTTTCTCGAAACTGCAAAATTTTGGGGTGGCGCATCATTATGACGCGCACTGTATATTGCCAGCGACAAACGACAAAAGGGAGGCGGAACCGTCAAATTCGAGAAATTTGTGAAAATTTAAATTAATCGTTGACTGAATATTAAATGTGCGTACACTATAATGCAACGTACGCAGTCTCAATTTTCGCTGCCTCCAAACGCATTGGCACAAAGCCAATAATTTTTTTTTCAAAATTTCGTTCTGTCGTTTGTCGCCGACGATAATTTTATAGTAGGAAAAACCATTCGAGAAATATTGTCTCCGGTCCAAAAATCCGGAAAATTTCGTTTTTGTTTGATTCTTAATTAGCAGTTTGAGTTATTTTTTTTACTAAAAATCGGACGAAAGCCCATATGAAAACAAAAACCAATGCTTGGAACAGAATACCGAAAAATTAAACAAAACCAACATAAACTTAATTTTGAGAACACGCAAATTTTTTTGTAAATATTAAAAATTGCTCATTTTCAATTGGCGATGTTCGGCTATTCGGCAAAAACCAATGTCTGGCTCAATTCGTTCACAATAATTAACATAATTGTAATTCTTTACGTTTACTGGTAGTCTATTCAAATAATGCTAACCATATGCCATTGTTCAGGTTCTTTAACACCGATTGGTATTCGATTCTGGCCAATCTAGCCGTTCCGCTAGTCGTTTGGGAGGTGCTAATGTTCGCCGCGTTCGCTGACGATGATGTCATCGCGGAGCTGATCGGAGAGGACAATCTCAACTCATACCGAGTACTGCCAACGGTGAGCTCACTGCACAAACAATGCGTAATTGCAGAGTCTCATTTCATCGCGGAGTTACCGTACCCCCCGTCGCGTCCTTCTCTCATCAGGCGACTACTAGTCAAGCGACAGGTGTTTCATTCATAATATTCATCTGATGAATCCACAGTAAATGTCAGTATATACCATATAAATAATAGCTAAACAAATAAAGCAATAATAGCACAGAATGGGGAAAAAAAGCAATTATCGGGAGGAATAACACCAGATAGGAAATAGACCGACGAGATCAGATGGGTTATTTGTTACAATAGTTATTCGAGTCTCTCCAGAAGATCAATGATCTTCTCGATCGCTCGACATCCCGCATTACCGCCCTTTTTCTCTAATGTAACTTTCATGAAATCCAAGAAGCGCTGAAGTTGTTCAAGCATCTTCGCAAAGCTTCCGTCAGGCAACTCTTTTCTGACTTCGTCAACGTGCTCCTAAAAATTGGAGGATACATTAAAATTAATTATTTATTGGATTAATGTTGGAATATTAAATGAATATCAAATTTACCTCATTTTGCTGAAGAAGACATCCAATTAATAAAGCGAGATACGACGCAATAATACTATCTTCCATATGAGCATGAGCCTGAAAGTTCCAATTTCAAAAAAATAAAATTAAATGGAAGCAAAGAATTTAAAGGTCCATGAAGAAAAACACGAAGGCGGTCCATATCCCATCAATAAATAATCAATACAGTGAGGAAAAAAGAAAAATCTTTTTTTTTTTTCGTTTTTCTGCATTGAAATATTGTATATTTTTTCTACATTTCCCCATTAATGCTCTTTTAAACGAGCGAAAAATTTTACGCATTTTATTATTTCTTTTTTTATTTATTAATTCTCTTTAAAAATGCATCTCTTCAAAATTATTCTTGAAGAAAAATTAATTTAGCAATATATGACGTATCTACATAAGATTTTAGTAGAAAATCTCCAAATTGAAAAAAAATGTTGAGAATTAGCAAAAAAAAACATAATTTTTTTAAAAATTTAAGTTCACCTTAGTCATGACTTGTTGCACAGCATTAACCATATCATCATCGTTCATATCATCCATTTTGTTTCTGTCAAGTCGTCCATCTTTCTTCGCACCGTCTTCATCATCGCTACTACCATCATCTTCATTTTCCTCCCCTTCACATTCCTAGAAAATATTTTTTAATGAATGTAGGGAAAATATCATAGAATACCCACCTCGAAAGCCAATTCTTTATCCAAATCTTCGTCGATGGTTTTTGCTTGAGATTCATGATGAACGAATAGCTGTAAAATAGCATTTATGATTTTTTATGAATTTTTCTCCGATTCTAACTTTATCGTATTTAATATTTAAATAGATTTATGAAATGATTAGTTTTGAAAAATATTTTAAAGTCCACAAAAAATTTTGAAAAATTTTCACGCATTTTCGTCGGAAAGGAATGCTTTAAATGTTGCTTATTAAAAGTATTGAGCTTAAATTACCTTGGTTATTGCTTGAAGTGACTCTGCTTCACTAACTTGCCCGTCAACATCACAAACCTTCAAAGAGCTTATTAATGATTTGCCGAAAATATAAAACAAAAATGAAACTCACTTTAACATTGATTCCAATTAGTTTTTTTCGATTCACATTACACCTTTCAACAAGATTGGTTAATAATGAGGACATCTGAACAATAATTTCCCTATTAATATCCACATTAAAACAATTTGAACCTACCATAACATATATATCAAATTTCTTGTCATCACCGGCATATTTCGGCGCCAAATATGTAAATGACATGAGGCAAGCGGGTAAAAATCCATCGATTTGACCCAATTTTGAGCAACACAATTCTATAAGTAGTTTGATTTTCGATAAATTTAGAAAGGAGCACAAATACCATTTTCATGCGACAAATTGATGAGGACTCTTGCCATTAATGCTAAAACCGACATCAATTTTTCGGCGCGATCTTCAGAAATTTTGACGGCTTTCTCGTGCATCAATCGCAAGCATCTGCAATTTAAGTCGTCATAAATAATTGAGGAAGGCGATAATTGCTTACTTGGCGAGCATGTTAATCAAAGTACTTCCACGATGGGAAATCAAGAATGCTTGATTCTTTTTGTGGAGCATCGAGCAGTTTTCAAGGATTCTGAAGCATCGATCGAGTGTCATCACGGCAGCGGTTTCATCCTCATCATCATTCTCCAATTTGTTCACCATCGCTTCGACTTTGGCGACGATCCATTGGAGAATTCCCAAGTTGAGAAGCTCCGTCTTGAATGCTTCGTCGTTCGAACATCGAGTACTAATGAACACCATTGCTTCCAAAACAAGCGACGATGCGCAAATATTCTCTTTCTTCATTTCAAATGTCACCTTTCTTCCTCCAACTTCTTGTTTCTCAATGTAAGTGTTGAACACATCCCAAACCTGAAAAATCCCCAATATTGCAGTTTCAGCCAAACAAGAAAACTTTCTCTAATTTATTCGCGGTTTTATAATTTTCAAATCCCTTTAATAATGTGTTTAGAACCTAACTTATGGAATTTTAAAGTCTTTATTTTAGATCATGAGTTGAACTCCAAAAGAATGAATAATTTGTATTCCGTTTCCCGGGTATATTACGTAAGCCTTTCGATGATTTGCATATTGATACGGATGATTCCCACCACTAACCATATTCAGCATTCTCTCCCTTTCATCGCATTCCTCTCCAAGCGTTTCGACACGCAACAGCTGCGAGATCAATTTCAACGACGGAAAATCGATTTTGACCGCGTTGAAATCGCGCGACAGCAGATAAATGACGGTGGACGCGGTGAGCGCGAAAATCTCATTCTCGGGAGCATCTGCCAATGCGCGGAACACGCTACTCCCCATTCCCTCGCTTTTGATAAACTGCCGAAACTCGGGAATGACGCATTTACGAGCCAGCGAGATGGCGCTCAGACATTTGACATTCACAGCAGACGATTTGTTGCGCAATGTGCTCAGAATGTACACGATGTCTTGTTTAAAATCGTCATATTCGCCAGACTCGAGGATTTCGTTCGGATCTTTGACGTTCTTAACACGGGATTTCATGCGAAGATATGCTGCAGACGAGGAGGAAGATGATGATGACGACGAGGAAGGTTTCGGTTGACGGCAATAAATGGGACGTCTTGGTTGGGCAGATAGTACTGGTTGAATGGGTTTTCGTTCATCGAAAGCAAATGAATCGGATTTTGAGGAAGAGGAAGATTGACGTGGAGGTGGAATATCATCCTCATCTTCTTCAGCGTCATCAGAGTTCCATCTATGATTATATACTGGCTTTTTGTCCTTTTTCGGAATGAATTTTGCGCCAACAATTCCTAAAATTTCGAGAATTGAATAAAAATATGAATAAATAATTTGGATTTACCTTGCGGTTCCTCCTTTAATTTTTTGAAATTAGGCTGCGCAACTCCGTCGTCTTCTTCAAACTCATACGGCCTCGACTTTTTTTCTCTTATAGGCTGTTCTGTTGTAATTTTGGAAGATTCTAATTTTCGACTTAATGAACCCGTTGAATTCTGACTTGATGCTGGTATATCAGATTCGCTGTCTGAACTTGAAAGATTCTGAAATTGGCATAATATAATTTGTGAATTATTCTTGAGAAATTACAGTGTCTGCGTTTCCATCTGACAATGTTTCTGGAATGCTGATCGGCGGTGAGAAAACCTGCGCCCGGTTATGCGGAGATGAAGAATCGTCTGAGACTGAAACCTGGCAATGATTACCGCAGAATTTTGATTTTCCACAAACCTGATGGAAGAACGGTATCGTCAGTGGTTTCACTGAGATTATGCTGAGCAATAGTGTTTTGGAATCTTCTGCGAACAACCCTTAAATAAAAGAAATAATCATTTCTCTAAAAAAAATACATACGGTTTTGAAAAAGCATCGTCAATTGAGGATGTACTTGAAGAAAAACCGGCTTTGAACGAAGCTGATTTGTGTGCCATCTGGAAAAAATACTTTCGACACATTATATTTAAAATGAGCAGCATGTAATACAACAATATGGCCAAATGGTTATCGACAACAGTGGCAAAGTAATCGCCCGATAAGATAATCAATACCCTTGAATTTTTACAACCGATTCTAATAAAAAATCATGGTAGCATTCCACTATTATATACAAAAAAATTATATTCTTATTTGCATTATTTTCTAACTTTCTAATTTTTTAAATTTATCTTTTTTCTCCAGTAGAGTTTAAAGAACGTGAAAAAAAGCAATTTTTCGGAAAATTATTTATTTGCGTAAATCGACAACATCGGCGCATCGCGGCGAGACACCCTGCGAATCTAACTCGCTGGCAACATGCCAAACGGGCGTGGCCTCATTTGCGCGCGCTTTTTGAGCGTCTCTCACACATGACGCTTCTCTCATTCCTCTCCTCGTTTTCCGCGTCTTCGGCACATGCTGTCGTTTATGTGACGAAAGTCCGCTCCGCTGTTTCGTTTTACGCACAAATTCAAATAACGTCTTCGCCGCGAAAATCCTAATTTGATTAAAATGGTTTTCGAATTGTTTTTAATTCACTTTTCACCCAAAAATTCAAGCGTTTTGTTTTTAAAAAGGCTGTTATTCAACTAATTTTCGAAAATGTTAATCTCACGTATTATTTAAAAATAATAATAACGATAACGGAAAATAACTAAAAAATGCTGCTTTCAGCTAAGAAAAAATGGCCGGAGGCAAAGGAAAAGCTGGAAAGGATTCCGGAAAGTCGAAATCGAAGATTGTTTCGCGAAGTGCCCGGGCTGGACTTCAGTTCCCTGTTGGACGTATTCATCGCTTTTTGAAACAACGCACCACTTCCAATGGACGTGTTGGAGCTACTGCTGCCGTGTACAGGTAAAATTTTTGTTTTTCTTAAAACAAAAAATCATTTTGAATTTATAGCGCCGCTATCTTGGAATACCTCACTGCTGAGGTTCTCGAATTGGCTGGTAATGCCTCAAAAGACTTGAAGGTGAAGCGCATCACCCCGAGACATCTCCACCTTGCCATCCGAGGTGATGAAGAGCTTGATACTCTCATCAAGGCTACCATTGCTGGAGGAGGAGTAATTCCTCACATCCATCGCTACTTGATGAACAAGAAAGGAGTTCCACAACCAGGACAACCGAAACCACCAACGCAACAATAAATAATTTCAATCATCTAAATTTCTCACTAATTTGATTTACTTTCATTTTGGCTATGCAACAATTTCAGGCCCTTTACCTCGTTCACTGCCTTTAATATTTATTTTTAATCACCGATGCGATTCGCATTTCAATTCAACTTTGTTAAACTTAAAACCTCAATCAAAGATACTCGTAAAGGAAAACTTGGTTTTCACCTGTATTAACGTTTTAACGAGCCACTTTGCGTATTTTGTACACATTAAATTATGAATTTATTCCGAATAAAAACGATCTCGTATGGTTTTTTGTCATTTTCATTTCGGCGACAATAAGTATAAAACAACAATAGCACAAAGGATAGTTAAAATTGCGATGCAAGTTGTATTGATTCTCGTTGCTGAAGAGACACAGAGTGCGAAGGGGGCCGCATGTAGGCAAGCAACGGTGTCTCACTCATACCTTTTATGTTTACATTTCAAAGCTGTGACTAAAGTTTTATATTTTAAAATATACGCAAATAACATTTAAAATATATTAAATCACGTCTGTGCTCTATTTTATCTATTTTTATAGGATGCCTCCTCGGGATGCGTCATCGACAACAACTCCGATTAGTGCAGACGTAAATGAAGGAAGAACGCTTAAAAATCGGCCAAAAGGTAACAATTTATTAAATATAACAATTCCGAGACAATAGCTTCACTATTGATTCATATTTTCCTATTTCTGACTCCATGCTTTGTGCTGAATTCGCAAAAATGATGAAATCGACGTTAAAAATTTTCGTTGGCGTCACTTTAAAAAAATATTTCCATGAAAAATCAAAAAAATATCAGCTATCTATTTAAATTTGCTTTACAAACCGACAGAAGATGGATTTAACTGAAAATGTCAAAATTAAGTTCAACATTTGTCACTAATCGATATTCGGCACAGAAATGAGTCATCGTTTTTAGAATTTATTAACTCAAAACTAAACAAATAGGAATTTCCCAAATTTTAAGGATGAACCTGAAAAAATACCAATCCAATATGAGCAAATTCGAATCAGATTCATTTTTTAAGAATCGAATACGACAAAATTACAACATTGTTGAATGGTGCCGGAAAAATTTTAAAAATTTAAATACATACTCTGAAAAGTTTTTCAAGTGTTGAAATGAATAAAAATGCATTTACTTTCAAAAATTTGTGAAAAAAAACTGATTTCAGCTAGCGCACTTCGACAGCAAAAGCTTCCTGCTTGGCAGCCGATTCTAACAGCGTCCACTGTCATTCCGACAGTTCTCGCTATCGGCGTGATTTTCATTCCAATCGGAATCGCGCTGTTTCTCGCTTCAAATTCGGTTCATGAAAAGGAAATTGATTACACAAATTGCGGAAATCCATGCTCGCTGTCATTCAATCTCGATCAAGATTTTACTGTAAGAAATTGAATTTTTTTGTTCGTCTATATTTTATAATAATGTGTTCAGGGTGATGTGTACTTGTATTATTATCTCGAAAACTACTATCAAAATCATCGACGATATGTGAAGAGTCGAAACGATCAGCAGTATTTGGGAAATTTAGATGTAGTTGACGAAAATGATTTGATTTGGACTTGATTCTTCAATTGCAGAGTACTTCTGACTGCGCTCCATTTGACAAAGATGCTTCTGGAAAACCGATTGCGCCTTGCGGAGCCATTGCGAATTCAATATTCAATGGTAGGTTGTTGCATAAATATGCAAACATTGAAACTAATACGAATTATAAAGTAATACAATTCCTTGGGCATTTTTTAAGTATAAATATATGAAACATTTTTTTGTTTTAGATTAAATTACAATATTTTTTAAAAATTGTTTTGTTTTAGCGTCATTTGATATATCTCGAAATTAAAAAGTTCTCATGAATATCCGGTGGGTGTTCAAATGAATTTACAAATAACGTTTATATATATTTTTAATTTAAATAATTTAAAATAAATAGCTTGGAGATTATTTTAATTGCAGATACGTTCACTTTGACATACGCCAATGGACTATCTGTTGCTCAGGTGCCGGTTACAGCCGAAGGCGTCATATGGGATGTGGACAAAAATCGCAAATTCAAAAATCCTGACATTCCACCCGGTGGTGATTTGTGCACTGCTTTCGCAGTAGGCGTAGAATATGAAAGATTCCAACTATTTTTTGTCAATTTTTAGGGAACGGTCAAGCCACCAAATTGGAGTGTTGAGCCATGCCGAAATGGAGGATTCGAAAACGTGGATTTCATTGTTTGGATGCGAACTGCCGCTCTACCAGACTTCCGAAAATTGTGGAGAATTTTGGATCGGTCTTCTCCGGTGCCGGCTGGCAGTCCGAATTTCCAGAATGGTCTTCCAGCAGGATCATACGTTTTGAATGTGAACAACAGTATGAAAAAAACAGTGGAGGATGTTTGAAGTTCAATTGAAGAATTTTCAGATTATCCTGTTAAATTGTTCGGCGGAAAGAAAAAGTTCATCATCTCCACTACTAGCTGGGCGGGAGGAAAGAACAGCTTTCTCGGGATTGCTTATTTGGTTGTCGGATCGTTAGCAATCGTGCTTGGAGTGGTTTTCATCATTATTCATATCAAATATGGGCACTCGTAAGTTCGAAATTATTTTTTATAAGAAATATAATCGAATATATTGTCGACTTTGTGGAACTACGGAAAATTTGCTCAATGCCAAAAAAAAAACAATACCAGCGGTCTTGACGCAAAACTGATAGTGTAGATTTACGGATATGAGTATCGGAATATTTTAAAGGCACATTAAGAGTTTTAGCTATTTTTTTTGGCTTGTAGCCAATTTTCCGCAACCGCGTGACATTGACAATACAATCCAAAAAATTGGGCCGGGCTTGAAAAGCGCTGTCGTCGTATTCGACTAAGAGCCTATGAGAGAGACAATGTGAGGACGTTTTGAATTTCGAAAAATATTTTTTGTATGCGGTAATGAATGGCTCACGCATTTTTTTACACCGAGTCTCGCAGAATTTTTTTCTCGGAACAGACTATATTTGGCTTTTAAATTAATCAAATTTTATACAAAATTCCAAATTTTCAATGACGCGCGAAAAAAAAAATAAACCGGCATGTACGTTGCGAGACCCAACTCTACAGTAGACCGCATCCGACTTTGGAAATCAATGTCCGAAAAATTATCAGATATTTTTTCATACTGCACCGGTCCCCACAGAATGCTAAAACAGGGCAAATTAAAATTTTTTGAAATAGTCGAACATTGATAAGAAATGAAATCATTCAGGGTGTGGCCACCAACAAAATATTTTTTAAATTCAGTTAATTTGTTGTTTATTTTCAGAATGAGCGAGCTGAGCAATATCAATGGAATGCACTAATACCATTTTGTTCATACTTTATTAACACGAACTTTTCAATTTATTTTTGTGCCTTTTTCCCAAACGCATGCCGTCCAACCTTGATTAGCAACATTCATTAGATCTACCGGGTATGATTTACTTTTTTTTTGTCCAATTACTATAATTCTCTTGATTTGTTCAATGTATACATCGATGAATATATGATACATAATTGTGATATTCTGTATAAGTTGTAATAAAAATTTTGTGTCGATCGGCAAACTGTAATAGGATGAGTGCCTATTAAAACCATTTTCGAGTTGGAATGATAAAAAGAGAGCAAATATGATGAGGGTTTCTTATCATGATTGCCATTTGCGATCAAATTCTCTGCCAGTATGACGGCGATTCTGAAATTCGCGGCTTTTGCAGGTTATCGCTATAATCCGAATTCGAATGATTACTGTTGACATTTTGTTTAGTGCTCACTGTCCTTTGTTCTGCACAGTTTGGAACTGATCAGTGCAATCGAATTCAATTCACAGCTTGCAATTCGCAACTCGGCGATTTCTGGAGAGCTGAGTGAGTTTTTGAGTGAATTTGTTTTGGACCATATTCATTGAAATATTGTCTTTTACCAAAAAATGAAAAAAATTACATTAAATTTGCAGCCGTGCATTCTGTGTGATTTTTACAGATTTTTGCATGAATAGGCTATTATTTTTTAAATTTTTTTTTGAAATAAATAATTCGAGGTATTCGAATTATTCTTTAGAAATCGTTAACCTTTCATTGAGACCATTTTATTTGTTAAAAAATTTATTTTCTATAACCGTCGTCCGGCGACTATTAATTATATTTCTAAACTAACCAAATAATCCAAATACAATTGGTTTAATATTTTCAGTACCACAACCGCGTGGAAAGATTTGAACACTTTGGATCGCATCGTGACCTCTCGTTTCGTCACTCCATACACTATTGATGGATTCGTCAGTGTGTGCAAGTAAGTTGATCATTATGAGAATTAAAAATTGCTTCATCTGTGTTGTTCTAGCGGTTTCTCGGCATTTTATGGATGTCTCGGACAAGACCAAATCCGCAACTGCCTCGGAGTCGTCGGACAAATCGGATATGGGCTCTCGTTGAATGATGTGAGCATCGAAATTTTGAATCGTATCCAAAATGATCTTTCTAGAGTTACGCTTATATGGGATTCTTGGCCGATTGGGACTTCAAATGTGGAGCTGGATTCTGGAGTAAGGCCCTAGAATTAATCAATTTTTAAAGAAACCCTTTAATAAACGAAAAACTCGAAATATCATAGTAAAAAAAATAGACGATTTCAGAATCGGTTTCCGTGAGACTCTGTTTCAAAAATGCATGATCCTTTAATTACCGTATTTAACAAATATTTTCGCAATCCTAAAAACCACCCGCGTTTTGCGTCCGATTTTCATTATAAGGCATTTTCAATAAAAATTGTGAGTAAACGCAATTTTATCCCGAAATTAAAAAAAATACATCAAATAATTAAAAATGATTAAAGAACCATAACGCGATAGATCGGCTGAGTCAGATGGCGAAAACCAAACTCAAACCGTACATTTCAGACAATAATTATTGTTTCAGCGATTTATGAAAGAAAAGTGTTGGCTTCGTGCGTCGCGAACACCTATGTCAATTATCAGCAAGAAACTGGAGCTGCTCTTGATACCTATCACAAAGCTTCTACCGCTTATCCGAGCAATGCGTGCACGTGAGTGAATTGCAAATACATAAATTATTAGACGATTTCGAAAAAAATATATTCCAGTTATGCGCAAGATTTGATGAACTCATTCCAGAAGATTTATCAAGTTGGACCATGCCGAACTGTTAACCCTGTGAGTGTTTCATATAAGTTTTAAATACGTTTTGCGAATATGAGATCGAGGGGTCTAAACGAAAGGATAGGTTCAAAGCGGCTCGTCGCGGCGAGACCTCTTGCAATTGTTTTTTGACATTTAGCCAATTTTTCGTTGGTCGCGTAATACTTTTCCTCTAATATATTTAAAAAAAAACCAACTACTACTACAATTCATGAAGAGTTCAGGCGCAAGCGGGATGGTTCGGATGCCAATCTGCTAGAGAATGGTCGAATGCCCAATTCACCCATTGCCGACATGTGACAAAATGCGCATGTAAGCTGAAAGCCTATTCATTTTCTTGACGAATTTCAATTTTCAGCTCCACAAACTGATTCAGCGTCGAGAATCAATAAGCAAACAGGCAAGACCGAATATGAAACTCGTAAGTGATTTCAAGTTTTTTGAAAAATTTACTGCCATGCTCAAAATGGGCAACATTTTTCAGTGAAATTCTTGTAATTCGAGGTGATTCTTATGTGAAATTTGAATTGAATGAAAAAAAAATATCATTTTGCAGTTCCCACGTTCCGCATCGTCGACGGACGCGCTGTTCAGCAGAACGACGCCGAATGGGTTTAGTCATTCGACACCATTTCTTGATAACAATTATATTATAATGATAAACAATTTTATTCGAATTGCACACTCTCCATCCAATTATTGCACTCTTTTCGACGTTTTCCCCGTTTTTTATAGGTGTCGTCTACGCGCTCCATTATCGAAGAAAACTCCTCCGTCAATTGCACAATACCTTAATTATTGAAATGAGTATTCGATTCCGGAAACGCTCAAAACTTGCTTTGGACAAATTCCAGCTTCTCCAGGTCGTCCGGCGATTCCTGGCTCGCCGGTCTCACCGTCGTTTCCGTTCTCGCCATCTTCTCCGTCTTTTCCCGGTGCTCCTGGCGGTCCTTGCTTGCCGTCTTTTCCGTCTCTTCCAGGATTTCCCGGCTCTCCTGGTTGACCTGGCGCACCCTCTTCTCCGTCCTCTCCTGGTGGTCCCGATTCCGCATCATCAATGATTCCCGGCTCTCCGTCGTGTCCGTCTGGTCCTCTCGGTCCAGGGATGCCATCAACTCCCGGCTTACCGGGCCTTCCCGGTCTTCCGTCGAGCCCATCAAATCCTCGTCGCCCCGGCTTCCCATTCAGCCCATCGTTTCCTGGCGGTCCTTTTGGTCCCTTCTCTCCTGGTGGCCCTGGTGGACAACTGCATGGCTTGATCATCACCGCATCACATGGCATGTCCTCGTTCTTTCCCGGCTCTCCAGGCTTTCCAGGGGCTCCAGGAGCTCCGTGCTTTCCATGCCGTCCAGGCGGTCCTTGAACTCCTGGTTGTCCAGGAAGACAGCAACCAGCGCACGTGTCCGAGTTTCCTGAAACGGATTAGAATTGGAATTGACGAATAGGAGTTACCTGAACCGTGAAATTTGGAGGATATTTGATCTAAAATCGGAAAACAATTAATTTCCAACTAAATTTTTTTCATTTTCTTTTTTTCTAATTTTTTTTTAGTTTAATAAAACAGCCAAACAACCCTATCGAAATGACAAGTGTTTTCGGCTTGCATTTCAAGTCAAGATTTAGTAAATCTTTTTATTTTCAAGATTTATTAAAGAAGGATCGAAAGAACAAAATTTGTCATTTTATTTTTTCTTTTGAGAATCAAAAATTTAAAAATAGCTTATTGTTAGCGTCAAACGATTAAAGGAAAGGGATGCCTTCAAAAATCAGTGTCGATTTAAATTAATCGTTGACTGAATATTAAATGCGCGTCGGCTATAATGCAATGTACGCAATCTCGCGTACTTCTCGCTGCCTCGAGACTCATTGGCACATAGCCAATAATTTTATAATTTCGCATAGTCGTTTGACTTCGACAAATAACTACAATTGGGCGCATGGGAGAAGTCGCCGACTATACTTACCTTCAAATGTCCGTTTCGATTTTTTTGCCGCTCTCACCGTTCGATTCGAATTTTTGAGCACATCGCTGAATTCAACAACTCCTTTGAAAAGTTCGTCGACAACAAAATTACATTCCTACAACAATATATTTTTTTTTTTGAAGAACTAAATTAAAACGAATTAACCTGAAACTCTTGTTCGAGTGCAGCTCTCATTTCATTCAGATACCTGTAGGCCATCGGCAAGCTGATCGTGGCGGTGGCCATTAGAAGGACGGCAAGGCTAGCCACCGAATAAGCGACGAAGCGAAACACCCGAATATTCGTTTTGTCCATGGTACGTACGATCTATTTCGCCACATGATATCGCATTTTAGATGGATGGCCAACCGGAGGTGGGCGCTCGCCGAAAAAACGACTGAAATCCAAATTCTGATCGTTATCGTTGCGAGCGAGTCGCGCGCAGCAACAAAAAAGAACACCTTTGGGTTCCGAGGTGCTAATAATAAGCGTTTTTTCTGAGACAAATGCTTGATTGAACGAATTCATCAAGCAAAATGGATTGCCACGAACCGGTCGGTTTCATTTTTGAGAGTTTGGAAGAAAAAAAAAACAAACGCAGTGTTAGGAAAAACTTAATATGTCTTACGAAGCCAATAAAACCCAATCTGCATATTTATCTGACAAAAAAACTTGGCAATACTACATACATTCTATTTATGGGAATTTAAGGTTAAATTATTATAACCTTGAATTCCAGTTTTCAGTTTTCAAAAAAAGTTTTTTGGAATCCACAAACATCGACGCCCCTTTCTTAAATCAATTTTTTCCATTTGAATTCACTACACACACGTCGAAAAAAATTAAAAATTAACGCGATATCGTAATTCTCCGCTATTTATTTTTAAAGGCTCACGCGAAAAGTTGCGCAGGTCACGTCGCGAAGTCGGTACTGTAATTTTTATTTTTCATTTTGTGTGCTGTTTTTCCGTATTTTTCGAAAACTTTGAAGAGAAAATGAGTAACGGGTTGAAGAACGAGAAAACAATTATTGTTATAATTACTCCTAATTCGACAATATAATCTATTTTCGTTATTTAGATACTAATTATTATGAGAAATTGTGATATTTATGTTGATTTGATGCAGACTTTGCTCGATGACGCTTCTAAAAAATCTTTAGCGTTGATTAAACAAAATACTTTCACAGAATTTGGAAAAAAACCGTTTTAAACGCTCAAAAAAAATTTCGAAAAAAAAACAGCCATTAAAAAAATACAGTATCGACTTCGCTACGTGACCTGCGCAACCTTTCGCGTGCGCCTTTGAAAATAAATAGCGGAGAATTACGATATATTGCGACGTGCGTGCATAGGGAATTCAAATGAAAAAACTGATTTTAAAAAGTTTTATTGTATGAATAGGTCCATTAAATTTTAAAATTTCTTCTAACAATTCATTTTCGAATAATTTTTGCTTCGTCATTTTAAGAAATTATCCATGATTTTTTGTACACAAACTTTATTGCTATTAATTTGACAAATAAAAAACGCAATCAGTATTTACCAAATATGAATGCTGGGGGTATTTTTGGGGAGGAATCTCGAATAGAAGCCATACAAAAAAATTTTGGGGAATTGGTCGATCAGTTGTTTCATTTTTTTTTTGGGAATGATGATGCGGGAAGAAGGTGAGTAGAAATGAATCGAAATTGACGAGATATGTGGGAGAAAAAAAAACAAACAAATAAAGCTGACATGGATTCTCCAAAAAATGTATAATACGTTGTATTAATCGAAATATTTTTTTCTCAAATTCTCATTATTATATGCATAGTTATGTATGGAACAAAATTTGCAATCGAGACTCGTTTTAAACAAGTGCGAGTGCGGTAAGAGGGCAAGGAGCGAATGCGTTGTGCTCGGTTCGGACCATCACCTTTCCCTCCATCAATGAATCCGGCTGAACGAACACAATCTGCAATTAAATGGCTTTTTGCAATATTTTGTCAAAAATATCGATTTTTATTTTCTTGTGGGCGATTTCTTTCAAAAACTTTTCAGGATTCCTCATTTCCGGTTTCCAAAAAAATTGAAAGCAAATACCAAAATCTATCTAGAATATTAATTTCCTTTTTTTTTATTACCAATTTCCGTACATTTTTCAAATAAAAAAAAATTTGTGGACGGATTAATGAAAATGATTATCCGACATCTTATTCCGAGCAATACGTGCAATAAAATGGAGCAAGTAATTATATAATAGATTATGTGAAATCCTCGATTCTCCGATGCAAAGGATTATTTGAAAATCTCTACTTCGCCCACCTGATCTCTGTACATGCGCAGCTTCTGCTCGGCGACGAAGACATTCTGTAGGATTCGCATCGCCTGCTCACCCGGCTGCATTTGGGCGACACAAGTCGCCGGGAACGTGAGCAGAAGCTCCGTTCGATCATGGTATCGGAATCCGTGCAGCCAGTCGGGATCACCGTTGTCGACGACACGGACCTTCTCGCCCAATGTCAACGTGGGACCATTCGATGGCGTGTACTCATGGATCACAATGTAACCTCCAGAATGGACTGCAAAATTGAATCTGTGATTATTTCAAATGACTCAATAATCGTATTTCCGAAAAATTTGCACAAATACGCATTTGTTAGTGTTTTGACGCAAAAAAAAACTCACGCGCTGATGAGCTGCTTCGTCGACTCTTCACCACCGGCGAGCATGAGCGTTCGGCATCGGAAAAGTCCGACGAACCGTTGATGCCGGTGCGTCGATAATCCCGCGGAACTAGCTTGCTTCCTGGAAAATTGGATTAGGACCCTGATTTCATTTCAATTGCCCTACTCAGTGGACTGCGAGTCGCCGAATTGATTCTTGGCGGCATATCCTGACAGTCGAGCGACAGCGATTTCATCTGTTGTGTGAGTTTCGGCGCACGGCGTCGGCCGACAGATCGACCTGCAAAATTGAAACATTTGTTCGTCAAAAATGTCCGCAGATGTTCTTAGTCATCAAACAACTCGAATAGAGGATCCTTTCTGATTTCTAAATTGCATTCTCACACAACATCCCACAAAATCCCTTAAAAATATTTTTCATTAATTTCAAAAGAACAAATGGCTTATGAAAAAACCAATTATAGGATCAAGGTAAGCTGGGAAAAAGCTTTTTTGTAGAAGCCATGATAGACAAATTGAATCAGAAAATCGGCTGATTTAATTGAATAAAATTTCATTCGATTTGCTGATTCATTGCTTGCCTGGGTTCCAAGACCATCGGACCATTCAAGAATAGGATTGGAATTGTTTGAAACACTTACAAGCTCGCAAGGATCGTCGCGCGGATAGCATGGCGAGCACCTTCTGGACGGCGATAATTTGAATGGCACATTTGTGCATTTTTCGCCTCCAAATATATGTATATATTATTATTTAATATCGCCAACACACTCGGGGAATTAATCTCGCGTCGCAAAAGCCGAACGGATTAGCGAGCGTCGGAGCCCCTTGCGCGGCGCCTTATTCGGACGCCGGCAGCGCCACACTCAGACTCCGTCCACTAAATTTTCATTCGCCCCACTGCATCATCACACTTTTTCTCTTATTTTTTCTATTGATTCGAGAGCTATCGATAATGCATATAGTTTCGAGATTGACGTAAAAAAAAAAACAAAAAACAAATAATCGGAAGGGTGGAAACAACGGCGATATTCGTTGGATTCTCTACTACACCGTGAGAAACTCATTTGTCAGATTCGAATTCAACGAACAGAATCAACAATTGCTTCTGATTGCTCTTCGGAATGCGAATAATATGGTTGAAACAGCTATCTTCTTCACTTCAAGAGCCTGCTTTGCTATTAATGATTACTGTAGCACAAGTTCCTAATATGAAGAAGAGAAAAACTAAAAAAAGAAAATCAATATTTCTTTTTGAGTTTTTCTATAAAATTCCCAAATAACTGTTTTGATCTACAATCGGTAATTTTTATATAAAGGCGCATACGCGATATCATGTGGCGAAAAGAGATTTGTACAAATGGTTCGCCAAGAATTTGCAACAACCAACCCGAAATAATGCCTTCACATCTCAGGATCTTTGGAGTCTCGAAACGATTGTGTCGAAATGGAATTCACACGTATCTCTCGCGCTCATTTCATTTTCGCTGATTGAAAAATTCGTCCATTTTAGGCGAATAATTGAGAAGAAGCGCATCGTGACAAAACAGCAGCAGGAAGGAAGGTGATTGAGGGGGGGGTTCGGCTAAAAATAGGCAAAAGCGCGCACAATTAACAACATCCAAAAATGGAATCCCCTCTCCGGACACCTTCAACCAATTGGGCGTGACCGCTTAAAATCGGTTACTGTAATACTATGACTGGGTTTTCGTGCTCGCAACCGATTATGATGTGATCAAAAATTCATTTTTCTTGTTTTTTTTTGGCCCTTTCAAAATTCATTTTTCTTGACAATTTTTGAAAAATCGAAATTCGAAACTGTCACGCAATTATCCAATTAAGTCGAACACATTTCAGGTAGGCGAAAAGAAGCAAAAAAATAAGTTGAAAATCGCCCGAGAAAGCGGCGAAATTCCCAAAATGCACAAACGACTACGAAATTTTTGTTCGCCACGAATACAATATTCCTCTTCTTCTTCTTTTATCGGGGGAAAAAAAAACAAAAGCCGAGTCGAATGATATCATTTCGGAAATTGATGAGCACTATGATATTACCTTGAAGCTCTCGCAACAGAAAATACGCCGATATGCACATTTTTTTGGGACGACTCGAAATGGACCACAACAAAAATTGGGTGAATGTTTTGAGTTGCGCGCCCTGGCAACCAAACGTCGAACGACGGGACCACCGAAGGAATTATGAAACGCTCTTGTGTGAGTGAGCAACTCGACGAATTTCGAAATGCACTTCTCCTTTTTTGTGTATGGATAATTAGCAGGTGAACCACCAAAAATCTCGTTCGCGTTTCGAAATAATCTAATCCAGCCGAAAAGAGGCGAAGAAATAATGGTTGATAGGAAAAGCGACCGCAAAAAAAATTCGTGCGAAATTTTCGGAATTGGGTGCGAGTTTTTCATTTTCAGATTATCAATCGTATGATTTTCTCACGATTTCACCTCATTTTTTAAATCGGGAGTATGCCTTTTTTTTGAGAATAAAATTTGACCCGAAAAATTCGAACGTTTTCAGCAGAGATCATCGAGAAATTCATTATTATATTTGCAGTTTTCTAACTCGAATTTTTTTCGCTATGCGCCTTTAAACGCCTACCGTAATCTCTACTACAGTGCATCGGCACAAATAACCACATTTTTTTCATGTCAATGTTTGCCTAAATTTGAACATTTTTGAACATTTTACAGAAATTTCCCAAACGCGGTGGTTTGGGGGTTGAAAATTCATTAATTCCAGGCTTTCTTTTTTAAAGTTTCAGTTTTTGGCTTGAAATGAACCAAAAAATTATTGAAAATGTCTTTAAACTATACTGTAGGTTTTTTTTAAAATATATTGGATACTCATGTCAGTCAACACCTAACATATTTCGAAATTTTCGGTGGATTTAAATTTTTGAGAATACTTTAAAAGAAAAAAAAAACGTCTCCTAAAAAGTTCAAGTGTTTCAGGAATAATCATATCCACGCACAACGCAGAAATTGATAACAATAACTCAAAAAACTCAATGCAGAAAACTAAAAAAAAATAATTTGAGCTCCTAAAAATTGCACAGCAGGCGAGTCCCGCGGGTAGATTTACGCGCATGCGCCATCGCTATGGTCTCGCACGGACAAACTGTCTATTTTGAATTTTAGAGGTCAATCCGCTAATTTTTAATTTCAATGATATGAAGAATTCCAAGAAATTATATACTTTATCAAGAAAAATGAAACAGTTCACGTGAAAATTTCGAATACATCGAGAATGTCGAATAATTGGATTCGCAACTCGATGAAAATGCATTATTATACTTCAGCAATTCGGAATATTCGTTTGATAGTGAAGTTCGAAGCTCGAAATCCGAATGCTCACAAAAATTTGGGTGGGTTTGGTGGTCCACAAAATACATTTCAATTTTCTCTTCTTTCTGTTTTTTTTTTCTTATGCGAACCCGCCGAATTCGCGACCGATTTGATTACCTGCATTGTCGAGCTGCGGAGTCGAGCCGAGCATCGGATTGTTCTTCGATGTTCCCATTTCGACGTAGCCCGAGTCCTGCAAACAATAGGTCTCGAATGGAATAAACAGACACACAGACAATTTGCTACCGTACTCGAAATGAATAAACTATAAAGTAGAAAAAAAACACTATGAAATTGAGCAAGAAACCAACAACGATGATTTTTTCTTTTCAAAACTCAAATTTTTCATGAAACCGCAAAATATTATTCATTTTTTAAGCGGGTCTTTTTCATTTCATCGCCTTGTCATCCAAAAAAAAATTGATTGGTTTTGCGTTCTGCAAAGCCCCTCCAGTTTAAACGGTCGAATTGATGAAATTCGACATTCAAAACGGCAATGTGGGAGGCGGCTTTTGAGGATTCTACAGCGAAAAAAAAAATTGCGAACGAGCCGAATTGCAATCAAAAAGTGCTCAGCGATGCGAGACCCAAAACCAATTTTTGAGAACACGAAAATCCTCGATGGATGTCCGCAGGTGATTGTGGTTTTCTAAAGATCCCAAAAATCGTTTCGATTCAATTTTGTTTTCTTATTCTAACTTGAAATTTGTTATCAGACTGGGTCTCGCAACGAATGTATAGAAAATTCAAGATTTTCAAAAAACCGAGAAACAAAAGTTTCGTTTCGTGACTTCAAAAAATAATTCGCGTTGCTCCTTTAATCCGATTACCGTAATACCACTATTGCCTCGTTTTGAATGAAATGAGCCACGCCACAAAATACTATATCTCACGAAGCGAAAATGTCATTTCTTTCGCGTTAAGACCAATTCAATTTTCTGGCAGTTTGTTTCCTGACCGAAATAAAATGAAAAGAAAAATTTTAATTCAAGATTTTTTTTTCAATTTTCCGCATAATATATTTATTCATAGAAAATAGTAGGTTTGCCACAAAAGAAAAAGCCGAAATAATTATTTGAGATTTATTATTTTTTTTTTTCAACAATGGAAACACACGAGGCAAATCATTGGTTTACCTGAAGCGAAACCTGTGACAAATTGCGTGGGCTTGGTGTCGCCGAATCGAAATTCGAACCGCGTCTCGAATAGCGTCCGGTCGCCTGTTTCAGCGCCAAATACACGGGATCGACGACGACGGGCTCGGCTGCAAAAAAAAAATGAGAAACGCCAATGATATTTCGCGTCGAATTAGCCGCTACTTATCGATTTCGTTTGTTTTTCAATAGAACGTATTAGTCGGGGACGCAACGGACGGGGGGACACGATTATCCGCGGCTAATTCCAACCAAAAAAAATTCATTTGTCTAATTCGAACCAGAAATTTTCAATTTTTTTTTAGCCCCCCGCGCTTCTCTCTTTTGTTTCCAATTACCACATTCATCATCAAACATTCGCCCCGTACGAATATCATATTACGAATAAGCCCCCGAAGGGTTCGAAAGGAATCCGATTAGAACAAAAAAAATGCGATATTCCCATGAAACTCTTGAGCTTGATTGAGTTTGCTCTCTCTCTCTCTCTTTTTTTTTATTGCTAATGGAAATTGTGAGGAATCGTCTCAAAGTTCACCGCCGGAGAGCTTCTTCTGCGTTCGGCCATCGAGGGCTTCTTGACCGCGCAGGCAGAAGCCGTCGGCGACCAACACGTTGCAAAAATCGAATATTTTTCTCCCCCATTCATTAATATTAATCTTCGAGTGAGAAAAATTTCATTTTCCGGGAAGAATAATTTCTCACTCTCTCACCTATTTTTTCGTCGCGGGATATTCTGAATCCAACTTGTTAAGTTCAAGTAATTTAAAACCATTGCTGAAGATTTCCAAAGGGGTGAAGAACAATTTGATCTACGCAAATTATTTGGCAGAATATGAAATTTATAAAAAACTACAGTATACCAAATAATTTGGCTGAATATCAAATATATGAAAAACTACAGTATTCCTTAAAGGAGCAGGGAATGGGGGTCACCTAAGAAATCATAAAAATACCATCAAAACTAGATAACGTAGACGACGAACCTAGTCATTGAATTTTCGAATTATTATCTAGATTCCTCCGCTTTAAAGGCGCATACAGCAATTTGTTATTTTCGCGTCAAGAGCCTTTGTGAATACCTATTTATCGAAAAAAAAAATCAAAGACGTATCGGCTCGATTTCTAGCCAGCAAGATGTCCGCAGACGTTTTTTTTTTCATAAGAGCGGAACAGCGCTCGAATGGAGCTCGGTGCTTTTCAACATAACTAGCCTCCGGCACGAGATCATTGTGCCCCGCGGCAATTTTCGAAAGCGCATTGCGCGATAAGGCGTCTAGTCGCCCGATTTAATTAGTCTGCCGCATTTTTTTGCTCATATCCAACTCCGCTTAAAATTTGATCCAAAAATGAATTGAGTGAAAAAAAATTTTTTTTTTGATTTTTTTTTTCGAGTGAATATCTCAAATGGGAATAATCATCGCCAATTTTTTAATATTTGAACACCAATTATTTGCTCGATTATTATGAACATTTGATGAGGGGAAAAATGTAGGTATTATTTTTCATGATTGAATATTCACATCAATATTTGTTCAGAAGTGTTTGCCTCTCAATAACTTCCCTGAAGGTTTATGATTCAAAAATCATTCCCATGGCGAACATTTTTTCTGGATTACGGTATTTCAAAAAAAAATTTCCGGTTCGATTCGACAAAAATTGTGGAGAATAATTTCAAAAAAAAAAAGAGCAACTCACGTGGTGTTCTGCCGACCGATGCATCTCGAATCTCGACGGTCCTCTGTAAACGCATAAGATCAGGATTTGTGCAGCGTTTCATGAGTCTTCGCGCGATGCTCGCGCTCGCTTTCGGATTCGGCAACATCCGCCGATAGTATTGCGGCGGGCTCGCCGGACTTGTTTGCGTGTTCGTCGCCGGATTCCGGAACACAATGTCGGGTTGCGATAGACGCGCGTGCGGATTACGGTAGACGGCGGCGGTGTGTGCGGCGAAACGCTCGTTCGATGCCGACAACAGCGAACCCATGCTGCGATTGTGGCGAAGCGCGGCGTCGGCGGGCCGAACGCGTCGATGAGGCTCGTTGAATCGCGCCGACACGAACGGCTGGCCGGCGACGATCGACGACGGCATCGTCGGCGGCGTTTGCGGCAGCGACATTCGACGACCGCGTGCACTCGACGACGTTGCGGCGCCGAATCGGCAAGATGAGCCGACTTGCGACGGCGGCGGCCACCACATAATAATGGGCTGCTCGGTGGGCGGAGTCGCAACACAACTTGCTCGTCGGCGACCCTCTACTTTATATTCGATTTTGTGCTTGATACGACCGACGGCAAAATACATACCAATAAGGGAAAACTCAAATTCAAATCGAATTACAACTAATTATCAATTATATATGGTTTTCGCATGATTAGAGCGAGCTTTTTCAATTCTACACTGTAAATCGATCTAAAAGCCAATTTCTCTTTGATGATCATGATTCTGAAGGTCAGAAGTCCCATTCTTCAAGAACAGAATCTAGACGTCGCATTTCAACATTTCCAAAAATGGTTCGAGAAAAAGAAACGCCAATTTTTGATGATTCCCACGAAGGGAAATAAGAGATTTCGAAGGAATCTTTGAAGACGAGCCAACAACTATTCCATTAGTTATAATATTTTGGGCTCGAAGAAAAAGAAAACGGAAGACGGAAGGAGAAAAAACCAAACGTGTTTATAATATATAATTAACGAGTCGTTTTCGAAAGCCAAAAGTGGTATTGGGTGGTTGATGACGAAAAAAATGCGCAAATTTTTGATAGAAATATTTTTTTGCCGAATCGGTGGCGAAAATTAGTCAATTTAAATTCGCGTGAGGCCATTCGAAAAAAAATGCCTTTTTTCTCACAGCAATGAATGCGCCTTTAAATTGGGTCTCGAATACACAAGTTTTTAATTTAATTTTTTTTTGAAGATCGGCAAAATTTGAATAAATATTCTCATAGGTACCTGAGAGAAAAATATGAGAGGAGTCGAAGGTTCAATTCTGCATATCTAATAGGCCAAATGAATAAATTTTTTGGAATATTTCTTGTTTCCAAAATGAGAATTACATATATGTATAATGAAAGTGACAATTTAGACACCAAAAAAAGAGAGAGCTGGCTCGATGGAGTTTTGAGAATACCTTGGTGAGTGAGCAAATCGAATTTCTCGTAATAAAGAAAAACAATATTCACACAAATCAATCATTTTTTTTTTCGCATTGGGGGTGGAAATTCGAAAGAATTTTCAGAAAATTTGGAGTTCCTTTTTAATTTTGCAACTTTTCTTCTAGAAAATGCAAAAAGGAAAACGAGTCGCTCAAAAATTTGGTGGCGATTTTCTCTCATTAATTTCCAGTCAAATTCTTCCACACCCACATATTCCGATTCAATTTTCGATTCCGCCAATTTCGCCAATGGGTGGGATGGGAGGGTCGATTGGTTTTTCGACACGACGAATTCCAAACACCACACAACCGACACGACTAATTACCCAAACATGTTGTTCAGGGTCCAAATTCTCTCCCAACAGTTTGCACTTTGGAATGCAAACAAGACGAGATGGAGGAGAATGAGCAGCGACACGAAAATAAAGGCAATGAAATAAAATAACAACAAAAAAAAATAGAAGAGGCTTCTCTTTCGTTTTTTTTTTTCGTCGCCGTCTTGTTCCCCAGTTTCATTTTCACTATTCTGTTTTCGTCGCCGACTCGTTCATTATTTCATTTGCCTTCCTCGACCGACCACAAAACTAATTGACTTCGTTCGGAGCAACATGAGCGGAATTTTAATAACGTCAATGCTCAATATGGCGTCGAAAAAAAACAGAATCGCAATACGGAAAATCGAAAAATTATAGATACTGTATGTCGAATTGAAGACACTTATTTTGGCTTCATGTCTGTTGATTTTGTCGATTTTGAAAGACTTATATAGTCGTCGTCCGGCGACTGCTGTACGTGGGTAGATTTACGCGCATGCGCCTTGAAAAGGTCTCGCCACGCGTTAATGCTTATTTTGCTGTTTTCACGCGAACTACTTCATTTTTCTTGAATTTCCAACGTCATTCGATTAAAAAAATTATCGAACCAAAATTTGAAATAACCTGTTAGTCCGTGCGAGACCATTTCGAAAGACGCGTTCCCGTAAATCTACAGCAGTCGCCGGACGTCAACTGTAGGTTCTCGAGAATTTGCCGAAAAAAATTGATGAAAAAATGTTAACAATGATTTTTTTTTTCAAATTTTTTTACTGTAAAAAATTTAAAGTGATTGCGAAATCAATTATTATAATTTTAATCGTAGAATAAACAAAAAAATTAAAATTTAAGCAATTTTCAGCCCATAAATAATCTTCAGCTGCGGACATAATCCTTCAAGAATCAAGCGATGGTTTTTCTGCCAAATCGAGCATGATTATCGTGCTCTTTTTAACTAGACCAAATCCGGGTAAATGTGTGAAGTGCTTAGCTTGAATCCCATTTCAAAGCACATACACACGATTGCCTTTTGTTTCAATTCGGTAGTGTCCATAATTGGCAGCCGCTCCGCCATAATAGTCGGGTGGCAAAGAAAAGAAAGAAACTCAAGAAACAACAAAAGAAGGCGGAAGAAGAGAAAAACCACATTTTATATGTTTCGATGAACTTGACGCGATTTATGTGAAACAATACTGACGAGCAATTTTTTTTCTTCTGTGAGTTGCACCCGAAAAAAGCTGACAAGTCGAAAGATCTTTTCGCCAAACTCTGCACTCTTTTCTTCGCGCGAGCTACCGTAATCCGCGGTGTGAATTGAAGAAAAGGGACCAACCTTATGCGAGACCGGGATTCTGAAGCGATTCAATCCTTGAATCACTCGCATCGCTGAATGCCATTTTCGACGAGCTGAACGAGATGTCGCTTGCTCAATAGGCGAGCTTTCCACCGACGGAGTTCCACTCATTGATCCGTACGAAGAAGTTGAAGATTCTGAAAAACACAATTTTGCTGAAATTGAAAAAAAAAGGAATTGAGCTCAAGATTGAAATTCAGAATATTCAACAAGATATCATATGATTTTATTGCGTGTTCGAAGCTATTTTTGAAGATTTCTTTAAAGTTGATTCTAAATTTTTTTTCCACATTTGATAAATAATTCAAAAAATTCGGTTGAAATTGTATTCTGGAAAACAAAAAGTAAAAACTGACAGCTAAACATTTTCGTCTTCCGTTGTCTCGATGCTAATTGAATTACAACTTTTGAAAGTGGAAGGAAGTGACGAGAAACTTCTTGAATATTGGTCTTCCCAAAAAAATTGGAAAATTTTGCTAAGACACCAATAATCAGCGGTTTTCAAGTTTTCAATTTGGTAGATCAGAAGTCTAGTGGAAGAATTCCATTAAAAGAATATTGAGGAAGAGTTACGGTGGCATACAACGGTCCGCAATCTGTTGCCATGGTGTTTGCGGACGCCTCCGCATTTTTTATTTTCGAAAATTTTGTTAATTATATTTGCACTTTTTTTAATTGTTCTTGCGTTTTTCTATATTCATCGAATATATTTTTTTTGAGCAGATTTATCTTTGAATGTAAAATTAAACAAAACAAGTTCTTTTTCAGACAATTTCGTCGGTTTGATCAAATATTTGCAATTTTGTTCGTGTGTCGCAACAGTCGAGGAATTTAAATAGAAGTAACACCATAACACTTTTCATTAATATTTAAGCCATTGTCGATGACGTCACCCTCAGTTTTCTATTTTTAGATGAATACAGAGAATGAATTTGTCGAAACATTCTTGGAAACGAACAGAATGGAAGTATTCATCGTTTAGCACATTGATGGACAATTATCGACTATACAAAAAAATGCAACATTCTTATTTTTGAAAGGAAAAGAAATCGTCGAAATTATGATAGAATGCGAAGAGATTTTGAGGAAAATTGTTGTCATTCATCAAAATTATCTTTAGGAAAATATTTGATAACGAAGGAAAGATGAAAAATAAAATCTTCAGTTTCTAAAAACGTTGTAAAGAAAATAATTTTCATCCCCATTTTAAATCATTCGGCAGCAAATTTGTGATAATTTTAAATTTCAGTCAAAAATGATTCAATAATTGGAAAATGTCGGGGAGGATTTTTTTCAGCAATTTTTGATAATATTCTTCGAACCAATCCTGAACCAATATATTCGCCGGCAAAACGCATGGGAATTTTAAAGGATCATGAGAGCTATGAAATCACAACCTAGAAAAAAATTTCTTTTGTCTTCTTTTAGACTATTTATTATTTTTGGGTTTATTGACACAATTCATTGAAACCTGAGATCCCCAAAGAGCAAATGCTCAATGCTCGATTGGAGATACACGTAAAATAACAATTCGAATAGCGAATGTACTACCAACCAAAGGATTATTAAAGTTCGTCGACAATACAAAGGGCAATAATTTTTTTAAGATTAGGATTCATTTTTTTTACAAGGACGAATTTTTATTTCAGATATTCGACTATTTTAATAAAATGATTGGCGACTAGCAGAGCTGGGACTGACGTAGATCAAAAGAATTGCGATCAGCTGATTTTCGAAATTCAAATATATGATAATTCGCATTCTGTGCAAACATGGTGTGCAAATTGCTCAAAAATGCTAATTTTTGCATTTTTTCCTGGCGTGTAATATTTCAAAAAATGTCGGAAAATGATTGGAATTTCTGCGATCTTTTTATTTTGCAATGTGAAATCTAAATGAGGGTCTCGAAGCGATGATAAATTGCCATTACAGTAATCGGAGATTTCGAAAATGATTCTTCAAATATCATTTGTTTTAAACGCCTATTTTTTTGTATTGTTTGAAACCGGCAATTAAGAGAAGGAAGAAAAAAATGAAAACGCAGAGTGGTGTTGAAAAGACGGACTTGGGCCCATAGAAACCAGCGAGTGCAAAAAAACCGAGTTTGGACGACACAAAAAGATGAAGCTCAATGAGAACACATCGGGTTTCGAAACCGGCCGGAAACTCAACCGAGAGCACGATCAGATTTCCGGAATTGTTAGGCTCAAACGAGTGGGGCGACTCGAACAAATCTCAATTGCGATGAAATAATTACACAATCATGAATAGTTTTTTCGTTGGCAGAATGCCAAAAATGGGAATGAGTCAAAAAGAAATGGCCGAGAAGCTCATAAGAAAGCTCACCAAATTTGCCGTTGCGATTTTATTAGTCGAGTTACAAAATTTATGGTCCCCAAGCCCCACAAAATTTCCGGTTTTTTTTGCAATAATGACGGGTTTTTAGAGTTTTAAAAACGCATTGGATTGGCGCGTAAAAATTTTGCGAAATTCGCAAGTTTTTTGATTAAATTTGGCAAATGCCATTCAAATTAAAAAAAAAACTGCGTTTCTCCACATGATCTCATTGTTTAATCTGATGCCTAATAGACGTGAGAGACTTGAGAGACGCAGAGAAAAAGAGAGAATTGAGGATTACGGTAGAGCGATGATTTGAGATTTCGTCGAAAATCGCCTTCAAAAATTGGAATTTTTCGAAATGAGAGCAAATACTTGAAAATCTCATATCGAAATGGGTGATCGCGAACACCAAAAGTGGATTTTTTCAACAACAACAAAAAAAATAATTTTGACATTAATCGAAAAATGGTTGGGTCGAGTTTTGAAAAAAAAAAGTGACAAATGCGATTTGTTTTAAATATAGAATGCGTTTTTCTTATAATATACATACATGAAATTGGAGAACTCAATCATATGTCCAATCGAAAATCCGCGAGTAAATAACCAATTGGAAATTAATATTATTTCTATTTTTAGCGAGAAATTGAAATTGAGAGCATAAAAATATTTTTTTTTCTTTAGCGTTCAAACATCTCACGAAAATGTGAAGAAAATGACGAGAAAATGGAGAGCGCATTTCGGTGTGAGAGCCCGCCACGTGGCATCGTTTGAAATTTGTTGAAATCGTGAAAAAATCGTTGAAAAAACGCAACAAATCAATAAATGATGAATCAGAAACGATTTTTGCGCGGTTTTGTCAATAAATCGAAATCTGACAAATCATTGACAATATGCAAACAAAATTAACATGGGAATTCTTTTTTTTTTTGAGAAACAGGAAAAAAATAATATTGGATTAGTTTGTGGCTCACATCAGAAATTTCTCATCGAATTACGAATATTTGATGACGGCTTTTCGTTATTTTTTCTCTTCGTTGCTGTTTTGAGTCGGAAAAGCGAAAAATGAAGTGATTGTTCAAACATGGAAATGATTGGGCGTTTAGACAAGTCGTCAGCAAACACCGAAGAATTCCGGATTGGACGACGATGGAAAAAAAAAAACGTTGAAGCAGGTTTCACCGACAAAAAAATGCTCGCTCTTCGCTTTCATTAATATTTGATGAATTAGGCGTTGAAATTGCTAGAAGAATTCCGAATTCGACGCAAAAACCGAATAAGAAATAAACATTTGAGAAATTTGAGACGAAATCATAAACGGATATTCGCTTTCAATTCGATGAATATGAATAAATATGGATGAATTTGAGAGAAAATGAAAAAATATTATTAATTAGTTGAGGGAGGAATTTGACGAGTTTTCAGGACGAGCAAAAATTTTCTCCCCGGCCGGGAATTGAACCCGGGTCTCGCATGTGACAGACGCGGATACTCACCACTATACTACCGAGGACACGTTCTCTCGTTTGTTCAAAGGCGCACAAGCAAAGGCACTCGCGTTTTCTTCCCTCATTGCCAACACTATGTATAACACATTGCCAACCGTTTACTGCGGACGGCCGTGACACCAAAAAAAAAACTCGGCCACGTTGGTCAACGAAATAATTTATGGAATTTTCTTTTTTTTCATATCATTTTGTAATCCTCTGTTAACTGTGGCTTGTGAACGGCGACGAAGACGTCTAATTGGGAGGAATTCGACGAAAACGTCTCATTTTGAAATGAGCAAAAACAGGAAAATGAGCAATTTGTAAACATACGTATATACATGTTGCATTTGAAAAAAAACCCCAATTAGTCAAATGGCTTCTTTGAAAATCTGAAGAAAGAAGCCTCCAATATAATGAAGGAAATGTTCGAGGATTCCCTCTTCAGATGTTTTTTTTTCGTTTTTAAACTTTTCAAGGATCCAAACAGAAGAAACATGAATTCCTTGTGTTATGCAATAAATTACTAAAGGGGTGAACTGCGAATTATTGAATCGTCGGTTGTATAGAGTGACTAGATGATGATGACCCACGATTGACGGGGTCCGAAGCAAAATGTCAGGTTGACCGGCTACACGAATTGAGTAATCGGACACCGACGCGAAACGATGGACTTGATTTGTGATTTTCTTCATCCGATAGTTTTTTTTGCAGACCAAAACGTTTCAGAATGAGGAATCGAACGGTGTAACAAATCAATTTGAAAGAAGAAAATGAGTCGGAGGGCAACAAAATATCAAAAATTAATGTGGTCCGAGGCGGAACTGCGGAGAATTGAATGATTCAGACATTTTCTGTCTTTGAATTCCTTTAAAGGATTTTATTTGTCGAATATACTGAATAAAGAATAGAATCATCTATCTGAACACCAGAAAAATGGAATAGTTGTGAAATTGGAAATTTGAATTGCGCGGGACGACATTTAATTGGTCTCGTAAAGAAAAAAGAGATCATTCTCAAATTGGCACTTTTTTTTAATAACTAAAATACTTAAAATGAGTTTAAAAATATACTCTTTCAAGTTTGTTCAATTTATACGAGACCCAAGGCGGCAATTCAAATGAATCAATCAATGAAACTCCATATTCGTTCACCCATTTCCAATTTTTTTCACAGGTAAAACTTATTGTTCAAAAATTGTCCGCAGCTACCATCAAATCGATTTGAATGTGTTTAAATCTTTTTAATTGTCGAATTTGGGGTGTTTATACCAATAATTGATTTTTTTCTCTCGTTCATCAATCCATTACTCATTTTCTCTTCAAAAATACGGAAAATAGCTCTTTTTTGATGCAGACTTCGCTCGATGCCGCTTCTGATGAACCTTTAGCGCTGATTAAACAAAATACTTTTACCGATTTCCAAAAAAACGTTTTAAACGCTCAAAAAATAAAAAAAATCGAAAAAAAACAGCCATAAAAAAAATACAGTACCGACTTCGCGACGTGACCCGCGCAAGTTTTCGCGTGCGCCTTTGAAAATAAATATCCTGAGAATTACGATATATCGCGTCAATTTTTTGTAATTTTCGAATTCAAATGAAAAAAATAAAATTGATTTTTTTTTTTAATTTTTTTCATTGCATGAATAAGAAACACTATGAATTCCTTCAAGATTTAGTAATTTCGAGCAATTAAAAATGATTTCTCAATGAATTTTTCGAAAAAAAATTTCAAAAAAGAAGACCGCCCTCGCTTGCATTTTGAACTCTTATTTTTCTTCTTGCGAACAACTGCTTCTAGAAAATTCGAAAATACAAATTGCTATTTTTTGCAAAAAAATTATTAGATTGAAAATTTTAACTAAATTTCATTTTGAACTTTTAATTGGCAATTAGTTTTAAATTTAATTGAACAAATCACAAAATGATTGAAGTGACGACAAAAATTGGACGAATCTCACCACGATTGGTCGTTTTCATTCAATTTTTTTGCTAAGGACCCGTCGAACTTTTAAAAGCTGGGAAAAATATGCAAAAATCGATTGACACTAATTTTTTCCGCAGGTTTTTTAAAAGTTTTTTTCCACTTTACTCAAAAACTCGTTAGTTTTTCCACCCTCGCATCCGAAGTTTTCTGGGGACCATAAAGTTTGTAACTCGAATAATAAAACCGCATGTGCGAGCTTTATTCTACTCAATTTTTTTGCGAGCACTCATTTCTAGTTTTCAACAATTCGAGTGAAAACGATAAAAAAAATGTGAATTTTGGTGTTTTATTTTTGAAAAAAAAAAGAAAGAAATAAAGCCAATATTTAAATGTACTACGTGTTTGTTTCCAAAGAAAAAAAAATGCGATTTTGCAAATTCGGTTGAGATGAAGCTAATCAAAATTTGATGACGAGTCAAATTTGGAAATAAAAACAATACGCCAAGTGATCAAAAATCCTTAATGCAGAAAAAAACAAAAAAAATATTACCATCGAGCACTCTGTTTGATTCGCTGGTTTTTCGTAGTGATTTTTAATTCAAAATTGAAATGCCGCCTCGAAAAAGTGCAATGGACCACAATAATTGGAGGTAATTGTCAGAATTTCAACACAAAAAAAATGATTTTTTCTTTTTTATTTTTTTTTCTCTGCATTTCCCCATTGCAAAATAATACTCAAATGTTATAAAAAGGCATACAACTTTTAAATAATTCTGGTCAAATACTATTCCAATTCGTCGCATTTTCAACTGTAATTCACTCAATGTCAGACCAAATTTCATACTTCGACAATATTTCCGCTTTGGCAAAAACGTTTGTCGACATTTTGATTTTGCGATTTGATTTGTTGAATGTCGTATAGAAAAAATTAGTTTTTTTTTGTTTTTAAATAATAGCATTGCAAAAAAACGAATAATTGTGGACCATCGCACTTTTTCGAGGCGGTAATTCAAATTCAAATTTAAAATATGGGTGCCGTATTACCACAGTAACTGCGAAAATTTTTTTTAAATTGTTAAAAAGTAAATGAAAAATAGATTCTGCTATAGTCTAAACAATTTTTCATCCAGTTTTAAGTCCTTTTCCCAGTTGGGGTTTTTTTTTGAATTAAACCATGAAAATGAAAACTAGTGAATCGATAGATATGGATAGGATATGCTCGAAAAACCCTACGGGAAATTTTTTGGAAAAACTTTTTTCCCGCTCCAAAAATCCAGAAATCCTAGAAAATCTTGTCACCGAAAATGGGCGAATCCTTAAATTTTTTTTTGATGTTTAAAGTTTTTCCTCCCTACAACAATCCTTTAAAACCTACAGTAATCTTCGCTTGATAAAATACCCGATTTCCCAAAAAATTTTCGGGGACATTTATACGGAAATAAATCAATTTTTGGGAAAATTTTCGATTTTCAAAACACATTATTTGAAATATAGTGTAAATTGAACACTTCTTGACCTATAGTAGTACCTAAAAATAAAAAAAAAACGGACCTCTGAGTAATCGATGAATCTCGGAAAGCGAACTTGCGCATTTCTCCAATGCTGTCGACGCGGTGGCCATTATTTGTCGCGCCGATACCGTTTTCGGAATTCTCGTAGGATGGTCGACGTCGACGGTAATCGAGATGTTGCTCGATGGGCCGGTTGACGACGCTTGATCGGATTTGGATCGATGATGCAACGGAGGTCGTCCGGTCAGCTGGCCGCCGCCGGCGAAATAATGAAGCGGCTGCGATGGGCTCGGAGAGGCTGAACGCGAGCTGCTCCGTCTCCTTGATAATAGTTTAAACTCGTGCATATTGCGAACGCGCGCGTTTCGAATTTCCTGCAAAATTGCGATTCTCAATCATTTCGATGGTGGCCTCATCCGACGGACGCGAAACAATTGCACGTTTATCGTTGATTACGCAAGGCGAAAAATGATGAAAACGACACAAGTTGCGAAATTCCACAAATTTCGATCTATACAAATTATTGGCGGAAACGAATTTGACAATTTTGAATTTGAACGCATTTTCCATTTTTGATCTGGTTAATTGAACATATTGGCGAAGTCAAACGACTTGACGAAATTTTAAAAAATATTGCCTATGCGCCAATGCGTTTTGACGCAGCGACAAGTAAGCGTGATTGCGTACATTGCATTATAGCGTACGCGCATTTAATTTTCCACAAATTTTTTGAATTTGGAGCCCTCGGACCTCTTCAATCGGCCATATAGATGAAAAATTTATTAAGAATTTTCTTATTTTTTTCAAAGACTTTAAATTTTAGGGTCAAACCGTTTTGTTTATAATAAAACGAAAATGCTGAAAGTGTTAATTTCAGAAGCTTACGATCAATTTGGAAAAGTTGATTTAGCCGAAAGCTCCTATTATGGCCAACTCTACGACTACTATTCTATAAGTAAGAATTTTAAACAAAAATGAAACACTAATAAAATGTGATTTAGTGCATTATGATTCTCTGGCATTCAATCGTTTGACGCTGACAATATTTGGGCATTAATATTTGCTGTAGTTGATATCTCAAATAGTTTTAAAATAATTAAAAATGTTTTATAATGTGATGCAACGAATATTTCATACGTGCTAGACTTTAATATATAATCTCATTGAAAAATTTCGACTTCAACCTGTTGAATTAGCCGAAAGTGCATCTAGTGAACTACAGGCTGCATTTTGGAAAATATTATTGTCGGAAAAAAACGAGCCCTCTTGTGTGTTTGCGGACCATTGAATGTTTTCTGGGGGCTATTCGATGCGAACAGCGGGTACCGTATTTGGGATGGCCGATTGCGAAACACAACACACTAATGATCGAAATTGTAGTATTTTTGCAAAAACGAATCTCGAAACGAAATTTGAGAGAACATTGGTATTTTTGCAAAAAAAAAGAGAACAGGAGACTTTGCAAGGAGCAAAAAAAAATAGAGAGAGCAAAAACGTAAAAATGCAATTGTTGTGCTTTTTGCCGACATCATCATCAACTCATTTGTGTTTTCGCTTCATCCTCGCTATTTTTTGCCACATTTTTTGCCATTCAATTTGTAATATTATCAGCTGTTTTGTTCGTTGTTCTTTTACAACAATTTGCTATCATTTTCCGTTTCGATTGCTCGCCTCCCTCGATCGAAGCGAGGGTGGAAGAAAATGCGAAAAATGAAAACAAGTGTAAAGCGGCAAAATCATAATAATAAAAAGTCAAGCTAACATCGGACGAACCAAACGGACAACACGAATAAAATTTCATGGCCGATAGCTTCTGTGTGTGTGTGTGTGTGGATGTGTTTTTTTTTGCCATCGGTTTGCTCTAAACCCATAAATTCGATGGTCCGCTCTTCTTGGTCCAAAATTATTTTTTTTCGGTGGAAAAAAGAAAAAACGAAATAATTGAACCAAAGAAAGACGAATTTTAATCCATTCTATCCCGATGTTCATTTTCTCACAAATTAGAAAATCTAGAAAGAGGCTTTTGGTTATCATTGATTCAGGAAATCATTCAATGGAAAACAGTATTCCGGAAACATATTTTCTAAACGGATACGATTTTTCGACAATTTGACAATCTCATCCTTACAATTAACATTCAGGTTGGCTTGCTTCCGAAGCTAAATTATTGATTCGACAAGATTCGATTTTGATTCCGATTGGTGTTGAGCTACCAGAATCGGATTTATTTAAAAATGAGAATGTGATAATATCAAAAATTTCTTAAAATGAAAATAATAATCACTGTAAAAGGGTTTGGTAAAAGTTCAAAGTAAACTTTCAAAGGGAGAAATAAAAAAAAACCTAATTTTTAGAAAATATTTTTTTTAATAGAAGCCATGGCCAACAATTATCTGCATATCACGGACCAATTCTTAAAAGAATATCATACGATTGAAATAAACTACCATTTTAAATCAAATCAATGAAAATAAAAAGCTCATTTTGGAATCGTAATAGGCGGTTGTTGAAAAGTGCAAAAGTAATAAATGAAGGGTTTGTTCGCCGGCGGGTCAGCGAGCAAGTGTTCAGGGGTGATGCTATCACATTTCATTTCAACTGATGGCCTCCGCAACTAAAAAAATTGGAACAACCAATTCTCGAGAATCTTCTGAACGCCCCGTGTCGAGATTAATGAGGGGCACAGCTCAAAAAAAAAACAAGAATTCAGATGGTTGCGATTTGCACAACGACTTGGACAAGGCCCGAAAGCTGATCGGTCAGCTGCTGGACCATTTATTCAATTTATTGCAGTTTTAATGGCTTCATTGCGTAACGAGATTCTTCGCAGAATGCTGCGGATTCTTTTTGACTTTTGGTTTGACGGAATTCGGGATTCCAGTGGAATTACGAAGAAAATTTGATATTCAATGATTGATTGAAAAAAATAACATTCCTCGTCTAGAAAATAAAGACAATGGTCTTTCATTTGTGACCAATTAACCATTGAATATTTCATTTTTTGAGAAATAATTTTTCAATGATATTTTCGCTGAAAACGCGCTTCTATCATTATGCTTTGGCCTGTAAATTATCACTTTTAGTTTTGCGCTAATATCACTTCCATTGTTTTTTTTTCATTTATCCAATTTTTCACGAATCTGGAAACATATCTCCAATTTTTTTTCAATTTTTCATATCCGATGTAATTTAAGAACTACCAAATTGGTTTCATCAGACCGTCCCTTATAATAGTTTTTTTTAGTTCTTGCTCGAATATTGAAAAAATAATGTGCAACTCTCATAATTTATTATCTTAATTAAAATACACCATCAACATAAAAAAATAATGGCACATTGAAAAATCAACAACTATAGCAAGAGCCGGCTCACTTGCGCCGCCGCCCATGCTGTAAATACGAGGTTCCTGAAGCGGTGAGCAACGTCGACGAGAAGTTCGGCGGAGAGGCTTTCGCAATCTGGTTCGCGTTCACTTTTGGTGTGCAGAATCCGCACGACAACGCGCAAAACTCTTGCATGATGCGCTCGAAGAAGAACGATTTGCAGCGGTCGATCCAACGCCAGCAAAGATTGGTACGATCGCGACAATCTAAATAAAAAAGCACATTTAACTCATATTTTGATCATTATATTTGATATTACCATCATCAACGATCACAGACACTGATAGAGGCGGCGCGGTTGTGAGAACCTGAGCAGTCTCCGGTAGAGCAGGTTTTAGTGTGTCGCACTGGTACATCAAATTCATTTTAAGAATGTCAATCTGAAAAAAGCAGCAGATTCGCGAATGCCATTCGATTCATTTGAATTACTGGACTAAAATCGATCGATGCTCCAATAACTTGCGTCATTTCTGGTTTTTTGGCAACCATTGTCTCGAATCCATTTTTCGAAAATGCCAGAGAATCATAATGCACTAAATCACATTTAATTAGTGTTTCATTTTTGTTTAAAATTCTTACTGATAGAATAGTAGTCGTAGAGTTGGCCATAATAGGAGCTTTCGGCTAAATCAACTTTTCCAAATTGATCGTAAGCTTCTGAAATTAACACTTTCAGCATTTTCGGGTTACTGTAAACAAAACGGCTTGTACCTAAAATTTGAAGTCTTTGAAAAAAATAAGAAAATTCTTAATAAATTTTTCATATATATGGCCGATTGAAGAGGTCCGAGGGCTCCAAATTCAAAAAATTTGTGGAAAATTAAATTTATCGCTGACTGAATATTAAATGCGCGTACTATAATGCAACGTACGCAATCACGCTTACTTGTCGCTGCGTCGAGACGCATTGGCACATAGCCAATTATTTTTTTTTTAAATTTCGTCAAGTCGTTTGACTTCGCCAATATGTTCAATTAACGAGATCAAAAATGGAAAATGCGTTCAAATTCAAAATTGTCAAATTCGTTTGTCTCAAATTATTGGCACATAGCCAATTTTTTTTTAATTTCCTTCAATCCTTTGACTCCGACAATAAATATTCAAAAACTCGTAATTTTGCCTTTGTGAGAAATTGGCAATAAATAAATAAACCATAAGAATTGTTGTCTAAAAAAAGACCTCGATCAATATTGTGCCACAGAATTGTAATATGCTCATCACGATCCCATCTCTCATGTTCATGATAGAATCCCACCGAGTGCATCAGCTCATGAATAGCGGTGTCATACTAAAGCCAATCCACATAATTTGATTTTTTTCGGTAAAAATGAAACCTGAAGGCAACCATTGTCAAGTGATAATTCTTGCCGTCCTCCGGCTCGTCCAACATCGGAATAGCATCCATCAATTTTACCAATATACAAATAATCATTATCAACGGCGGTTCGAGGCACAAATCTAATACACGTTTTCTCATGATATGCCTAAAGAATATTGAATAAATTATGGGAAAATCATTGTTTTTTTTCCCGAAAACCTGAAAACTTCGCGCTAAGACCGCTCGCTCTCTTTCGTTGTATTGATTCGAGATGACGTACGGAATGCGTCCGTTCGGCCATTTTCGGGTACCCGTTATCACACCATTCCTCCTGAGCTTCTCATTATTCTCCTGCAACCAACTTTTGTTCGACATCCGCCCTCGAATTATTTTTTTTTGACAACATTCGGGGGGTGATGTATGTAAATGTCAGTCATCTATATGGGTTTAGCATCCACTATCCGGTTTTGGTTACGCGGAAATTGAAAGTGATTATGCAATATGCTGGGGAAGAACATTGCGAAAAAAAATAGCGGATTATAATTGTAATTTTTATTCGAGATTTTAGCGATTCGCGGAAATTCTCGAACATTTTAAAAATGAAGTTTTGAACGAAACAACTAGTTTCATTCATACCTTCTAATCTTGAAGGTTAAGCTTAAAATTGCACCCCATTTGTGGTCAAATATCGTCTATAATCGTAAAAGTAAGTAGGAGTTAACCTTCAGTTTTCATTAGTAGTTTAATTTAATCATTCAAATTTCTCTGAAAGTAGCTCAAAAAAAAGTTTTTAAGATGAGCCAAGACTCAGAAGCTCAGAATTACTAATATTTGTCGACTTGAGCACTTGTTATTTCCTACTCATATCTTTTCTTCTCGACTTGTTCGAGATTGTCAAAGAAACGTATCGTGAACATCCTGTCGTAATCAAACATCAAACTCAAGCGAGTGTTTGTGATTTGTGCAGTTCCAAAAGATCAACCTCCTACCAACTTCCAAGCAGCTTTTCCCCGAATGTCGCCTTTTTTGAACATTTGCTTCCACAGGATCTTGCCGGCGGGCAGCTCGTGCATTTCCAGTTGGGCGCCTCTCTTGAAATCGCTTTCGGTGAGAACGGTGGCGTCATCTGCAACAACGCAACCAGTTGCCCAAAAGAAGAAAAAAAACAAATATCCAGAAATCAAAAAAATGGTGTCGAAGGGAGACAGAGAGGGGAGTAGTGAGAAGAAGTGCGCAAATAGTTACCGGTGTCTACCGGTCTTAATCCATTGTAAAACAATAATATTTGGTGTTGGTGTGCAAACATGGACGACGCGAGACATTTTTTTTTGCATGCGCGCGAAAAACTAACAAATCACATGGAAAGCAAGCGGACTTTGGCGCCATTGTTTTGAAATACGAGCTTGTTGAATGCGGCAAAACAGTGCTCATTAGGGTCTCGAATGAGAGCACCAACCATTGAGAGGCCGCAAGAAATCCTCGTCGGTTAGGAATGTCTCGCGAGAATTCGGAACCGCGTCTGAAGCATGCTATCAATTAGAGACCAAAAAAGGGTTTTTACCATAATAGGAGCTTTCTTGGGCATTGCCAGAACCTTCGGTGATTTCTGAAAGAAAATTGAAGAAAGTCGAAGACAAATTTATTTTTTTTAATTTCAATTTTCGCAAAGAATAATACCAGAAATTATGTTTTTTTTTAAACTAAACTTAAATCTGCGTTTGAAACCATAAATATTGAGAATAAAAACAAATTTTGAGGCGATATTTCAGTTGGAAAATTAAAAATTCTCTGATAAATAAAAATTGAAATTCCTTACTCTTAAAAAAAATCAGTCAGCAATATTATTCAATGGAACTTATTAAAGACAAACGCACAAAATAAAATTGTACGAATCGAATTTGACCACAAGTGTCCTTAAATTCTCTTAATAATCTTTAAAATAAATCAGTAAGTGAAGACAAATTAGAATTTTTCGAGTAATGAGCTGGCTGGAATGAAATCACCATCAAAAAAATATTTTGCTTTAAAAACTTGAAAAATCAAAAGTTTGACGAATTTTTTTAAAGCAACTCGAACTAAAAAAAATAAATAAAAAATTAAACCATAAAAAATTGAAAAACCGGTTTTTTGAAAAGATTGAAACAAATAAAAATGGTAAATATTCGAAAAATCAATGACTCACAACATTTATAATAGAAAATATTAAAAACAAAAATAAATTATTAAGATTCAATTTTTTAAAATTTTATTTTATTTTCAGAGTCGTTGTAACAAATTTCTTGGTTCGCTCAAATCAAATTTGATATTTTAAATTGGGACCAATTCTAACCAACCATTCGGCCCCACCAACTTACGTTGTGCCAAAGTTGAGGTTAATAAAAGTACAAAATGAAGAAATGTCGTCGCGCAGATAAAATTGCATTGTCGTTGCCATAATATCCTCATCTCCTCATCATTAATGGACTAATGATTCCTGGAAATTTTCAGAACTTTTCAATCTGAAATTACAGAATAGATGAAGGATGAGACACGATGAAGAGCGGAAAAAAAGAAACTCGAAGAATGCGCGTCGCTACAGAAATGAGCTGTCGACAGTGCCCCGATGTCATCCGGTATTCCGGTCGGTCGGCACATTTCGAAAAAAAAATTGTTGAGGGGGCGGAGTTTCGTGTGCGCGGGAATATGACGCGGCACACACACACACCGGTTGGGGGGGGGGTTTCGGGTAGAGCAGAAAAAATGGGTCTCGATGGCGGGGCGTCAAACGACAAAAACTATCAATGAATAAATAGTTCACGTGTATGCGAATGACTATGTGTGTGAATGTTTCGCCGGGCCGTAAAAACGGATTACGTCGCGGCTTGATGCCATTGGTGGGCGGCTGCCTCCGACAAACGACAGCCGCCAACAATAACTCTCGGTTTCACGCTGAACACTTATTGAAACATTTGGGCAACTCTAGCGCCGGAAAAACGTTCACACGTAACCGGAATCTTTATTGAATGAAACCAACACGTGGGAGAGCCAGCGTCAAAAAATTTTTTTTTGAGATTTTTCAATAAATGATCATTGGTTTTGTTGGCGTTCTGGAATGTTCAACTCTACGATTTGGGTAGATTTACGAAATGCGCCTTTATTTGGTAGTTTGACCCCTTTTTGTTGAATTTTTGGATTTTGTGAGATCTTCTATGGATTGGGAGTTTTGAAGGTTGAGAAATTGAGAAATTCCCACCAAATTTTTCACCCATTATTCGAAACCTGATTATTTCTGATAAGTAAAAATCAATCAAGCATTCGAAAGAATTCGCCTTCGAATAAAATTTTCCTGTTCAATTGGTAATTTTTTTTAGTTTCCTCCCGAAAATTTCCGGATCCTCATTTTTGTTCTTTCATCAAAATTCGCCAAATAAACTCCGAAAATCTTCCCTATCATTTTTTATAATTTGTCGAATGAATATGAATTATTTAAATTAAAGAAAAGTTTTGATCGAAGTTAACATTTTTGTATATGTTTCTTTAATATCTAGCTAGTGTAATTTTGAATAAGGATTGAATGGATTTTCGATTGCCGAAGAAAACATTTGCTCGTTAGGGAGTTTTGCAAAAAAAAATACGAGCACCTAGATTTACGATGAGTTTGATTCGCAGGTTATTCAGAATACGGTACCCGAATTACCACTGTTAAAATTGGAATTTGAATTACCGCACTCGAAAAATTGCGATGGTTCACAATTAATCAAGACGCTCGTTTTTTTCCGATAGATTCTTATGAAATAATGTTTTCTTCAAGTCGCTGGGACCATTATCAGCGAAAAAATATATATTTCGGCTTAAATGGAACATTTTACAGTTCCAAAAATTGTTGTTTAAAAAACTTTTCCGGCGAATTGCCAAAAATCCGCAAAAATTTTAACCGAAACAACGCTCTTCCAAATTCGTCCCTTCTCGACAATATTTGTTCATTGTTTCTGCTGCTTCTAATTATGAAAACATGTTTTTTTTTTGTGACACTTGATTCCGGCGTTCGCTTCGCCTTTTATTTGTTTACATCTTGTTCCATAAGAGGGAATTAGTCGCTCAAAATCTTCTGAAAGTTTCAAAGCTTTTTTAGAAATTGGATCTTGACTCCTTCGCAATTCATCAGTTTCCGAGTCAAAAAAAATCAAGATCAATTCAGAAACCAAAAAAAGCCAAAAATCAAGACGAATGTGTCATCAATTCTTCTTGATGACTTAATCCAAATTTCAAATAACCCAAAAAAACTGAAAGGACGACGGTTTTTTTCCGGCGCCGAAATGCGTTTAAACACTGAGCTGTTGCGCGAGCTGCCGCTCGACTCCGGTCGCCATTTGTTTGCCGTTTAAGGTTATTGGCAGCCGTTTCTTGCTTGTTCCGCTTAACGTTCGCGCTTCGTCTCTAACAAAACATTCATCAAATAACATTTAAACCAAATAGGGAAAATAATGGAAAGAGAAGCGGCGAGAAAATATTGCCGGCTAAACTAATGATGGATGGAATAGGAAAAATGATCGGGGTCCATAAAGAAATGATGTTTTTTTTTTTGAAATGATTGAATTGGTAGGCTCTCGTGATTTCTTTTTTGAGAACTACATTTAAAAAAAACAAGAAAAATCCAAATGTAATACTAAATAAAATGAAGAATAAATATAGCATCTAAAAATATGTACACTGCTAAGTACGTGGTCAATTTCGGCAAAAAAATCGGAGAGAAGAATTTCACGCCTCCATATTCCAGTTTTCGTCCATTTTCGACGAATTCGGCTCGCTATCATCAACAATGTTTATAACAGATCTGTCGTGGTGTTTCCACATGGTATCATCAATTTCATCCTAAAATCGAGCAATTCAAATTTCTCTAAATATCATCTAAATATATTTTTTGGTAAGTTCAAATAAAATTCATAACTACCGTAAGCAATCGTTGCAAGACTTAGCTAAAGGCTAAAGGCTACATAATATGTTAATACTTGAGCGGGAAATGCATTTTTAAAACTATATAATAACCCCAAATCGGGACCATGTTTAAAGGAGCATGACAAACTCACAAAATTATCTGTGTTTGTGTTTCTGAGCAATGCGTCGAATAGGGGCACCTGGTCCATGGAATCTGTTCGTGGGAGCGAGCAACTCTACAATAATTCAGCATTTCGGCATTTTCATCGAAAAAGAAATATCGTTACCAAACGCCGTCTCTGCGGCCCTTCGGCAATATTCCCAAGTGCCGGAAGACCAAACCTCGAAACCGACGGAATTCGGTCTCTCGCCGGAAATTCACCAAAAAGATCCGCCTCCGAACTCATCATGTCTTCAATGTTCAAGTTTCCCAACGTGAGCGAATGAGCCAATCGTGAATGAAATTTGGCTAAAAAATTTATGAAAAATTCCGATTTCATTTTTCAAAATTTCTATTCACAAACTTTGAAGCGATTTGACAATCGGCGCGCGACGCGCTAATCGCCATTTGGCAAACACATTTTGACGATGAAAACGAACCGCATTCACAATATAAAGTCCAAATGCTGGAAAAAAATCGTGAAAGTTTTCAAGTTTTTCGAGTAGAAAAATTACGTTTCTCCTTGAAAATTTTTGAAAAATCCACAACAAACTCAACATCATGACTCCAAAGAAGAGGATAATCATTATGGTCCGTATAACCAGAGTATTCACAAATTGTTTCAACCTGGAATGATTATGTTACAATAGGTTCCTGATAGGTTTATCTTTATAATAAAATTTAAAAAATTCTATTTACCCTGAGATTGTGGCTTCTAGTATTTTTTTTTAAATCGTGAATCACATTTTATCACCAGAATAACGGCATACCTCCACAAATCCTCCATGAACATGAACCTCCAACTGGGTGACATCAACACGAACATGTCGACCGTCGACATGATATCCAACGCCTTCATCGGACGATGTCGCCGCCGACGTCGACGGCTCCTCAGACGGCCCAAATCCGATGCCCATCCCACGACACCGAACCACCTTCATTGCTACCGATTTTCCAAGAAGTCGTACATCTGTCAAATAGAAGTAAAGATAAAATTGCATTAAACAACAAACATCCAACTCCAGTGTCGACACACGCATCATGATCATGCCGGAATCTTCCAGAGAGACTGTACGATCTACTTCCAGCTACAGCAGCTTCGCAGCAGTGCAATCCACTGAAATACATATCGGATGTTATTTTTTCGACACTGGAAACGGCAATAGAAACCTTTTGAAAATTCGCACATCTCTCGGAAAATCGCGACTCGACACCAATCGCAAATCGCGTTTCTCATCGGTTTCTTCTCTCGTCACCAAACCAAAATGCTCATCGGATTCCACTTGTGCCGACATTGTCGATGAGAGCACCATCTCGAAGGATTTCACACTGTCGATGTAGAATTGCCAGGTTCCATTGTGCTCTTCGGCACTAACCAAGCAAGTTAGGCGTCCTAGAACACATCGATCATAATAGTGTTTTAAATTTTTCATTTGTGTTTCAAAATGTGCACTTAAGCAGAATAACGTCGCTATCGCAAGAAACGCACCTATTTCTCTTTTTGGCAGCATCGGATTCGACGATCTGTCATTGATAATTCCCAAAATATTATTATAAACAGCTGGCGTCGAGTATTCAATATTTTCATATGTAAAACACCCATTTGTCAGGGCACTGCATAAAATCTGAAATTTTCCCCAATTTCATTCCTCAATACCATCATGTCATATGTACCGAGTGCTTTTTCCGAATTGGGTCATGTAAAAATTCCAAATCCAATCGAGCGGCGAATTCGATCGCGCTTTTCTGACGGAATTGAAGAATTCGCAACGTTTTCGGATTTCTTAACAATTGTTATTGATATTTCCACAAAAATGACGTTTACAGAATGTCGATTCGGCAATTGGCGAACGTTCCGTATTCAATTTCCAAGCTATCGAACTTCCGCAGAACCGCCAATGAGATTTGTGCAATATACAGCTTCTTATTTTTGCAAATAACATATTTGTCTAAAAATTGAGCGTTGAAATTCCAAATTTTCGTCTAAAAATCATTACGATTGGCGTAGTCACTCGATATTCTATTCAAAATCAACACATCATTCCATATTGGTTCATTCGACGTCGTCGTCATCGTTTCTTTAGTGAACGGCATTAATCATACATTCAGACTACAGCTGAAATTTTTGTTTTAGCGGTATTAAAGCAAATTCAAAAAAAAAGAAGTGTATGCAATGGAAATTTAAAGCCTAGCATTATGGCGGTTGGCAGCTAGAGCGCATTTGCGCAGCAGAAATGGCGAAATTACTTCGAGAAAAACATGTTTTTGATGAATAACCAATTTTCGTAATTTTAAATAAACATATCATGTTAATTAGCATATTTCTATGATAAAAATTGAATAAGCATTTCAAAATTAGCGAAAACCAGAAGAATAAATTTAAAACAGAAAATATCACGTTTTCAAATAATCTTGAGGCGTCAAATAGCGTGTGTAGTCCGTTCTCTACAGTAATCAATGTCATTTTTGTAATTCGACGCCTAAAATTGAATTTCCTGCAAATTTCGATAAAACGAGAGCGGCGAATCAATTTTTAATCTTTATTACCAAAAAAAAAAGAGAAATCAATAGAAAAAAGGTGAAAAAAAGAAAGAAACATATTTGAGAGCAGTTTTTTTTGTTTTACGATCAGTTAAAAATGCCTTATTGATATGTAAAATAGAAATAAGAAAAAAAAATAACGAGGAGAACAGCATTTTCCATTGGAAAACCCACCATTGGTTGAAAAAAAACGCGAAACAAACAGACATTGTGAATACTGTAAAAAATTCGATTAAATCCGGAAATTCGAAAAACATAAGGCAGTCTAGAGATGGTTCGGAAGAAAAACAGAAAACATTTAGTGTGGGGCGATGATAGTTTTGGCGGCTAAAATGTGAATAAAGCCAAAAAATCAACAAACAATTCCAAAAATGGTCTAAAAGCTAAAAGAAAAAGACAAAGAACACTTTGAATAATCTAAAAATAATGGAAGTAACGACGAATTTCAAAACAAAAAAAATCGGATAAAAATGCACCGGAAAAAAAAATTTTGAAAACCAATAATGCAACTATCATTTTAATTAATATTATGTTATTTTTAGAGGGTTTTTCATAGTTCAAAAATTATGTTGTTTTTTTTGTATTGTGTTTGGGAAAAAAAGAGATGACCGACGATTATTAAGTAATATTATTACAGCAGAGAATGATTATGTCGATTCTTCATCATCGATAGATATTCTTCTAAAGGTTGTTCGTTTCTTTGATATTTCCGCGAGACGATGAACGAGCTAAAATTCACAAATTAATTATTTAGGTATTTATTAAAGCAGTTAGTAGACAATTAAGTGAAATGGCAAATTATTTGTCGATAATGTGGCGAAGTTCGGAAAAAATTTCCAATACAAAATGTATTGTCAAAAAGAATAGAAGACTAGCAACCAATCGAAATGAACTACCGTAACCATATTCTACTATCGTAATCATATGCTAAAAAACGGCAACCGGAATCAATCGTAGCTCGTTTATCTTGTAATGAGCCTTTAATCATATTATCGATGATTTGTTAAGATGAATTTACGAGTTTGATTTATAATTTTGAAAACATTTGGGGGATACGGTAATTAATGGAGCATGATTTTGCAGGCGGCTGATTCTAGCGAATTTCAGGACTTAAAATACTACATAACAAGCTAAATTCAACTAACATTTCAAAATTTAAAAAAAAAATTGAAATATGTTTCTATGTTCAAGATTTTTTGAGTTTCTGATCTTCGGAACAATATTTTTTAGTTTATATGGCGAAGAAATATTCAAAAAAAAAGAAATCAATAAAAAAAAAGAAATAATTTTTTTCGGTATATTTTTTTTTTAGCTAACCTCTGTTTTCACTGTCGACCTGCAATCTGAGTTGTCGACTAATCTCGCGAAGTCGCAACGCCGTTTGTCCCGTCAAACTCGGCTCACGACGATCGAGTCCCGCCTGGAACGCCTTGACGACGCGAATCTGGAAAAAAATCGGCATTTTCAACACGACAGTTCAACGACGAGCACAAGTTTCACAAAAGCTTCACAAACTTGTACTCAAAATAAATAATAGAGAAATAGAGACATGTAATTTTGAACCAAGGTTGTACCAACCAAAAATAAAGACCATAAGTACCACAATAGTCTATTAGAGAAGTTGAGGAGAATTATTTCACAAGTTTACGATTAATCGTTGAAAAATTAGATTTTGTGTGAATCATTAAAACCTAAAAATTGAATAGTTGTAGAAGTTCATATTAAATTGGATAATTCAAAACAGGCAAAGTTGCATTCCAAAAGGAAGGGAGAAGTGGTTAGATATTTAAATGCACTCCGAGCATCTACTAAGGTTTTCTAAATTTCGAGGTATTTTGAAGTTTCCGAAACTAAATTTCCAAAAATATGTTCAATTTCAAGCTTTTTCGCGGGATTGTTACACAAACACAACATTCACTGGACCACAAACAACACTATTAAGAGCACGCCTAGAAGTGTCTAATGCATGGGCTTACTGCTTGGTCAGTGGGCGCGCTGCTCAACGGCACTGGAATTAAATGGTCCGACCGTTCGCCGCCAATCACCTGTAAATCACCGTTTTGCGATATCGTGTTCACCATGCTCTCGCAGCGAGTCTCTTTTTCTCTCTCTCTCTCTCTGGGTCGATACCGTAACCGATAGAGAAACACAGAGGGTGAGAGAGAGAGAGAGAGAAATAGAGAGCGACAAAAGTGACAGAGAAAAAGAGAAAGAGATCAAGGCTCTTCTCATCGGACCAGGCCGAACGTCTACGAGACTGGGGAGAGAATATGCTTCAGCCTCCACGGATTGGGACTCATGAACGGGGTAGTTTGTATTTTGTGCGTAGTTCGGAATTCGTGTGGTGCGTTCGCATGCGATCAAAATTCGCAAGGACTTCAAAAAATCGCACTAAAGTATTGAGAAACCGTCAATTATCCTGCTTAGTGGCATAACTCGATATCAAATCACTCAAATATTTGACTCTCAAGGATCTTTCGCCCCATCAGTAATAACTTGCAAACAAGTAGACCGATATTTTAGACATTTTTTATTTGAAAACAACGCATTTTTCTTCCAGAGTATGGTCTGGCGTGTATCGGACGTTTCAAATTCCCCTCACACCCACAAAAATAGTAATACTTTTAAACTTTATTCAATAAAGAGTAAAGTAAATTGAAATAAAACATATATTAAAAAAAAACTCTTTAAGTACGTAGTTTATAAAGAGAGTGTGTGGGTGTATGTGTGTGTGAGAGACAGTAGGAGATACATTGAATTCTTCAAACAATCTACGGAAGAATGAAAAATGTCGGCAAAAATAAATAAATTTCTCAAAAACATCAGAAAAAGCCTACAAGCACAAAATTCGAAACACTGGTAAGACGAAAATATCGATAAAAACAAGCCTAGAAGAAATTCAAAAAAAAAATCACCCTGAACACGCGAAAACGTTAATATTAACTGAAAAAAGAAAGGATTAATAAAATAGTAATGATAATAATAATAGTTAGTGTCTGAAAGCAATTTGATGTCGAAAAAAAGAAACGACGAAGAGGATAATGCAAACAATCAACGCAAGTGAGCCATATCGAAAGAACTCATACAGTAACTGATTTCGAGTATATAAGTAACACACATATAAGCTAAACTTCTACATGTAATATTAAACAAACTGTTTCTAAATAGTCCATCCAAAGTCTACCAGTAAAACACATGGAGCACATAGGCTGGCAAGAGAAAAAATGCTCCAAAATTAGAAAAAAAATATTAAAAAAATCAAAACAAAACTAACTCTAGAATATGGAACAGCAATATCATATAAATAATTTCAAAAAAATAACACCCAGAATTGTCTAACAAATATTAAGTCGGCTTAAACGTGCGCCACAGAGACCGGCGTATCCAGCGACATGCTCTTATTCATGCTTCGTTGCGTTTGCGTATACGACGAGTTCGTATCCGGGGACCATTGCTGAACTAACGGCACCTTCTCCATTTTGCCGTTCGTCGTTGCCGACGCCGCCGTGCCGTTCTCAACTACAATATGCGGCTGAGGTGACGGTGTCCGCGGCTGCTGATGATGATAGTACGGATACGGTTGCGGACTCTGCCGGTGGCTCAACGCCGCCATCGCATGCCGAGTTCCAGCGAGATCCGGCGACGCCGCCGTCGTTGTATGACGTCCCCACAATCCTCGCATCGATTGCATCGAGTGTGTTGAGGCAATCGATCGCCGATCTTCAAAGTCTTCAAGAGAAGATCGGAACGCTTTGACGACGCGAAGCTGAAAATTGCGTTCTTTTGAAAAACAAAAACAATGGAATGGAAATAATTTTAATGAAAAACCAAAAACGAAAATGAATGTATCGCAGGAAAAAAATAAATAGCAGTGGCCGAACGGGGACCGGAAACTGTCGGTCGCAACCGGAAAGTTTGAAAAATCGAACAACAACGAACGAACTGACTGGCGTTGGCTCGGGGTGTTAGTTTGGTTGGCCAAAAACGAACCGCGTTTCTGCCAGACAAGTGTTAGTCATTCTGAAGCGGCGGAGTTTGGTTGTATACGAAACACGACGACGCGGGATTTTCACCAGCTCATTTCACCAAATCAAATGGGAGACATGATTTGAAAAAGAAGCTCAATCGTTTAGATATGTACGTTCATATCGCTATCAAGGGAATCTCAAAGCGTGTTAAAATAAAAGCCAATTACTTAAGCAACTATTATTCATGTTTCATGTTCTTGTTTTTTTCTAAATATTCTAAAGCTGCGAATAAAAAATAAAAAATAAAAATGCAATTCCAAACAAAGGTAATATCAATCCAAAATGAAAAGAAAAAAAAAGATTAATAATGATTTCGGGATAATTATTTCACGAAAACTACATGCCAAACTAATACTAAAATAGAATACTAATAAATAAACTATATATCTACCAACCCTGGATTTCAACTTCAATAACACTATCTAAGTCAATTAATGACAATTTTTAAGTTTTTTTTTTTCAAAAAATGTTGATTCATCACAATTGGCCGTTTAATATTTCAAAGCTTCACAATTCCGGTTATTCACATTAAAGCATTTTCAAAAATCAACTTTTTTTTTAGTAAAAAGCGACAAAGAAAAAACACAAGCTAACGTTTTTTGTTGTCACTTTAAAGCCAAAAAGAGGGATACGGTAGGTGGAAAGGTAAGAATGTGTGTCTAAAAAATAGGGAGATGGATTTCAAAGAAAAACAGGTAAAATTTGGAAAAAAAATCGTACGAAACTTGCAGTCGAGGGATAAGTAGAAAAAAAACGAGAACGCCCCGCGTGTTTCAGTCCGTATACGGCCTGCTCTCGTCCGCAACGATCATCGCGAGTTATTAAGTGTGGATGTGCGGATATTATCTCAATTATCTACAAACGTACTGTGTGGAAACGTTTTTTTTTTTGAAAAAAAAACTTTTAACGGGGGGGGGGAAGACAGAGAGAGAAAAAGAGAGAGGGAGGGAAAATATAGAAAGAGAGTTGTGTCGTTGAGCCCGTTGCCTTGCTTCGTTGCGCTGTTGTTCATTTTCAAACTTTTGGATTTACAACCAACGGTCGGTGTGCTGTGCTCCCGGTCACTCCCGCCCAAACATTTATATGTATAAATAAATGATTATACATATAAATATAAGTTGTCAATCGAAATAAATAAAAACCACAATTTCAACAATTACACTTCAAATGACACACGGACAAGTTTTCATTGTTGCTCATTTTTCTCATTTCATGGTTAATTTGTTCACCAATCAAAACATCTTTTTTTTGGTTAGGTGACACAAGAAATAAAACGTAAAAAGAAAATACGAGAGACGGGTAGAAGCTTAATAGAAAACTCAAATTGAAGCCAGGGTGGATAGATACTGAGCAAAATTTTCAAGAAGAGCCATTCCTAATTCTCAGATAACACTAGATCAAAATTTTGAGTGTAAATAAGTAGTTCAATTTAGAAAAAATACCGCAAAATAATATTTCTTAATCTAACACAAGCTTCTTCTCACCACAAAATGTTAAGACTACGCATTCAACAACACAATAACAAAGGATGTGTTAGAACAGCCAAATACGGGATTGCAGTCGTCCTGAAAAAAATAAACACGCAAAGATAAAATAAAACAACCGAATACATAACAACAAAGGAGTCAGTCGGTGTCCGTGCAACACAAAAAATAAAACAAAAACCGAAGTGAAAATATACATAATCGAAACAAAAATAAAAACAGAAATTGTGTTTGTATTATCTGTGTCGGTTTGCGTGTGTGCATACGTGTGGGAAAACCGAGACATTACCGTCGGTGCAACAACTTAATAGCGTGTTGGGGGTAGGCTCGTCGAAAACGTTTTTCGCAGCTTGAGCTCATTTTTTTCATATGTGTATTTTTTGCATATATATGTATATATATAATCATAATCGTAGTATAATAGTAATACAGATTTCAGGATAAAATTTTAAAAAAAACATAGTTGGACCAAAAAAATAATCTTTTACACGAATCGTGATGTGCCGCATTCGTCACGTGAGGGAGAGAGGCTTTTAACATTTTCGTGTCCGTTCCATACACTTCAACCATACTCCGCACGCCAAAGAAAGCGTTGTCGAACTCTTTTTCAAAATTGAGAGAGAAAAAACGGAAACAAAACATTTCCATTCCCCCAACAGTTCCCATCCCAATTCTTCCACAACTATCATTTTCTTTCCCCCATCCATTTCGTTTGAAGTTTTCAATCAGAAAATCAAAACTCATAAGAAAGCGAGAACTAATCGAAAAGCAGGGTGTGTGTGTTTTTTTAACTTTCTTTTTCTGCTGTATTTTATCAACTTGTCCGGTTTTTGTCTGGAAATTGTTCGACGAAAAGCCTGAAGCGGCACGGACTAACCTGTGTCTGAAGCCTTGTCAATCCGCGGACCCACAAGATTTGTCCGGAACGTTTCTCATGAGTATCAGCGTCTTCGTAATCAGGCATCAATGGATCATTGTCTGGAGCTTCACCAGATCCGATTGTCATGTTAGCTGGAAGCGATCCAGTTGGAATCGTTGTGACAATCTGAAATCGAAACATTTTTTGAAGTTCGAGATTTCCGAAATCTCACCTGTCCCCAGAGAAGAGTTCCAACACCGAAAGCCAAACACCAAAGCCATTGGGTGAGGTTCAGTTTGGCAGTGCTGAACCACATTCCTCCGAACTGTACAATGATGACTTGCGAAGCCATTGTTGCGATCCAGATGACGTAGTAGATCGGATTCGAGAACAATCCCTAAAAGAACAAATTAACGATCCATATTTTATTGTTCTCGCTTACCTTGAAGATATTTCTCTCTCCGTGAATTTTTCTGGCGTTAATTTCGTTGAACAATGTCATCATGACGAACGTGTTGAAGATAATAGTGAAGTGAACCGATGGAGGCGAATGAAGTGGAGCCCAACGTCCGGATGGGATATCAAACAAAACCTCTCCGTAGAAGATCAAGACAAACAAAATGACAAGCTGGTAGAAGGCGTGTCCAAGAATGTTTTTGCTCATCGTACGTGAAATGAGTGGCGAGGTTCTTCCGTACGGTTTTCTCTTGAGCAGCTCTTCCGTCGGCATTTCAGTGGCCAAAGCAAGCGATGCAAGGGTGTCCATAATCAAGTTAACCCAGAGCATTTGGACGGCCTTGAGTGGTGTGTCTTGAATAGCGCAAGCTCCGACGAATGCAACAACGACAGCAACGACGTTGACAGTCAATTGGAATTGAAGGAATTTCGCAATCGAGTCATAAACATTTCTTCCCCACATCACAGCCTAAAAACACAAAATTCAAAAAAAGAAAGTGACAATTCAAGACACCTTAACAATCGAGGTGAAGTTGTCATCGGTAAGGATAATATCCGAAGCCTCTTTAGCTACATCAGTACCAGCAATTCCTAAAAACTTTTCATTTCAATAAGAAACGAAAACTATAAAATCATACCCATAGCAAATCCGACATCGGCCTTCTTCAAAGCTGGACCGTCATTAGTACCGTCACCAGTGACAGCGACGACTTCTCGCGAATCGGTGACTCTCGAGTCGATAATACCTTTGACGAGCGTGTACTTATCGGATGGCTGAGCACGAGCCAACACTCTCAATTTTGGCCAAATCTGATCCAGCTTCTCCTGGGATACTTCGCCGTTCTCATCGCGAATACGAGCATTGAAGTCCTTTCCTTCGAGAGCGATGAAGTCCTCTCCTGGTCTCAAGATTCCACAAGCAGTAGCAATCGAGCGGGCAGTGTTGATGTTATCTCCAGTGACCATTCTGACGGTGATACCGGCTTCTTGGCATCTGGTGATAGCGGCGGGAACTTCCGGACGCACAGGATCCTGAATTCCGAGAATCGCGATCGCCGTCATGTCGCCGACAATCTGCTCTTCATTATCCCAATCTGGCTCCGAGTTGTAAGCGATCTGGTTATCTTCGGTCTTCTTGCTAGCTGGAACGTAATCCTTGTAGGCCACACAGATTGTTCTCAATCCATCAGAAGCCATTGGCTCAATCACATCGCGAACAAGATTCTCAGCATCCTTCGTTGTGAACTTCTTGATCTGCCCGTTCTTTCCCATGAACCATTTGCATCGTTTAGTAACAATTTCCGAAGCTCCTTTGCTGAACACACGGTATCCGCCATCAGGAAGGTTAATAACAGTCGACATGCTCTTACGAACAGAGTTGAAAGTGTAAACCTGAATAAATTATTTTTAACAAGGATGGGATAAGAAGAAAATTACCTTTGGAATAGTCTCCTCTGGATGACGATCACGAATCTCCTGATAGCTTTTTCCTAATGCCAAAACAAATCCGAGCATTCCGCATTCGGTTTTGTTACCGAGTTGCGTCGCCTGCTCTCCCAACATTTTCGGCGGAATAACTTGCGACGAATAGCTCGAGTTGATCGAGATACAATCCACCATCATCTTAAGGGTGTTCTTGTCGAGTTGCTCAATCTTGGGTGTCTCCTTGTAGTGAACATCGTTGATGAACGATTGGACGACAGTCATTCGATTCGTGGTGAGAGTTCCAGTTTTATCCGAGCAAATCGACGTGGCATTACCCATAGTTTCGCAAGCATCAAGATGGCGAACCAAGTTATTGTCTTTCATCATCTTCTTAACGGAATAAGCAAGGGACAACGTAACGGCAAGTGGAAGTCCTTCCGGCACAGCGACGACAAGCACAGTGACACCGATGATGAGGAAGTTGATGAAGTGCTGAAATATCAAAAGTTATTCAAATATCCCCCATTTATTTAGATGCGATGCTCATCATGTAGAACGCGTACATGCTCTTTCCAACTGGAAATGACAACGCCACAATTGAATTGGTTGTTTACGCTGAATCTGACATGCATTCAAAATGCGCATTAAATCGCAAAACTGGTTTTGCCAGCTCAACGAGCATTCAATGAGCCTCTTTCAAAAAAGGATTTACGTTTCTTTTTCCAACAAGCTTTCATTTTTGGAAAAATAATATTTCCTGTTTTTTCTAAAGAAAACGTGTACCTGGAAGTCAGCCAATGAGAACGATTTTCCTTCAATAGCATAGCGAGAAATACAGAAACGAATGATGAGAATGATCACAGTGCATCCAGCAACAAATGATCCTAATATTCAAAGAAAAAACATAAATCTTTGGCGGTACACTGGAGTTTAGGAACCTGCATATCCAATCTGAATAGCCAATCGCGTGAGTTTCGCCTGAAGAACCGAACGCTCCTTCTTGTTCGAATCATCAGCAGCCGCATCAATTTTGCCGTTTGCCAATGCCTCTTCACCTTTTCCTAAAAACAAATGGAGTTATTCTCAATTGATTGGTCGCAGAAACAAAACAAACAATGATAAATAAACGCAAATCTCCGATATTTGGTATACCCGGGTAGGTTCGGTGAATCACATATATGAATGACAATTCTAATAGCACATACAAAAACAAACAACAGCAAACATCGCGGCATGGCAGAGTTGTTTGTGTTTTTGTTGTGTGCACAATCAGTATTTCTGGCTACATTAAAAATTGGCAAAACTCACCGAGAAGTGCCTGTGCAGTGCCTTCTTCAGCTCCGCATGCTCCGTCGCCACCTGAAACAACGAATGCACTATATCTAATAGGCGTTTTTTTCTATTTAATAGGACCACAATAGCACAATATGAAAAATGAAATTGCTTCATCTCGCATGATAATCAAAATGAGAAAGACGGTGTTCATGCTCGTGTGCATGTGATTTCTAATCTACGAACATGACAGTGATCATCTGGGATTGTTTGGATCTCTACGGCTGTGGTGCGTGATCGGGTTCCCATCATTTTTTGCATTTTCGTTGACGAAACATCGAAAATTTTTCGAAAAACCAAAAAAAAATAATTTAAGCCTGATAGAAGAAGAAGAAGAAAATGACGACAATGAAGAAGAGACATTGAAAATTGAAAATATAGCGATTGTTTCAAATTATATACTGATTTAACAAAATGTTTTGTATTCGTTAGTTTTTAATTTCAGTGTTTTAAAAACCTCATGTTCCTATTCTCTTAATTGAAAATTCAAAACTCCACAAATTATTCATGCAATTTTTGATAGAGAGAAAGGAAAGAAAGCGAGAAGAGGTTACAGGCACGAAGATAGATCGAGAGGAATAGAGAAAGAAAAGGGGCAGAGATCAAACACATCGCCTGCACAATTCGGTACCATTCATATGGTGATTCTGCTGCTGATGATGCGATTTGATCGACGAACGAGACCGTCGCTCTGTAACATTTCCCAACGATTCTTAAAACATTTTCAAAAACGCAAAAAAAAAAACAATTGGAAACAAAATCCATAAATAAACTATGTGGAGGAGTAGACAGAGAGCCTAACAATCAAAAGCAGTCAATAAATTACAAGGTTTAGTAGAGAGAGAGAGAGAGAGAGAGAGAGAGAGAGAGAGAGCGAGAGAGAGTAATAGAAAGAGAATAATTAGTACTTAATTATGAGATTTATATATAGCGTAACAATTTTTTAACAAAAAGATGACACTGTCATGCGGACTAAAACAACAAGCCGAGAGGTGAGAGCCTCGACATCTATTAATCGCTAAATCTACGCAATTTACGATGAAAATTTTTGGGGAAAAATGAGATTAAGCAAACAATTTTTACAAAGCAAATGATTACAAGTTTACGATTCACGTTTGACTTACCTTCGCGTTTCGCCGTTTTCCGTTCTTCCTCGGCGACCGATTTCGCGGCTCCAAGAAGCGTCATGATGATACCAGTTTGAGAGTTGACACCAACAGCGGTGACAAGCATCTGAAACCGGAATCGATAAAAGATTGAAACACTAGAAATTGCTCATACTTTTCCAGATCCTTCCATAACGTGAGTTCCAGACAAAAGCATCGGATCGTGATCAGGGCTCTTACGAATCTGATCAGATTCACCGGTGAGAGACGATTCATCAATTTTAAGATCATTCGATTGGATTACAACACCATCAGCAGGCAACAGGTCACCATATTTTATCTGAGCCACATCTCCAACCACCAACTCATTGACGACGACCTGCACGGATTGTCCGCCACGGATCACAAAGAATCGATGTTCGGTTTCAATTTTAGCTTGAAGTCCTACAACTCATCGATATTAATTTTTAAAAATATGAGATCGTTAATATTCTCACCTCTGAATTGTCTTTCCTTCGTGTAATCATTGAGAGCAGTAACCAAAACGACAACAATGACAGAAATCAGGATAGCGACACCTTCGATCCATCCAGCATCGTGTTCACCATCATCGACACCAACGGTTTCTTCACCGGGCGGCCGATAGAATGACAAGGCAAGCGAGACAATAGCAGAAACAAGAAGAATCACAAGGGTAACATCCTGAAATTAATTAAATCAATTTTTCTATAATTTTTTGTCCTTTTTGCCAACGCATTCTTTCTCCCCAAATTTATAAAATTTTTATTTCCATGAGAAAAAACGCCGGTCCATTCCGCTTCTAATCCATGTAGATCTACCACACTCGTTCAATCATTTCCCTCAAGCACTTCATGTTAACTTCGTCGAAAAAAAAAACGAAACCCGCAATAACTTTTTTTCCTTTCTAATGCACAATCTCAAACCAACAGCCGAAGAGAACCGACATCGCTCACTCATACATATTCAATGATTTCACTGCTTTTTGTATGTATGCGTATGAGAAACGACGACGACCTCTACGACTAGGACGGACCCCAAAAACCGGAGGCGGACCACTAAATTGTGTCGCGCTTTTGCAACATTTTTCTGCTCTGCAAGTCTGTTTTGAAGTTTTACAAAAAAAAAATGAAGAATAGCGTAGATGGCCACCCATGGGAGATATATTGACACGAATAATGGGCTGACTGAACGGCAAAAAAGAGATCGTAGATTCTGTTTCATGAAACGAATGGCTTATTTATTCCAAAAAATATGGATGACGCTAGATCCCGAGATACCTCAGAAATTCGAATGAACTTGATAGAATATGCAAATGATAGTGTTGAATTATTGAAGGCAACTCAAAGAAGATGTATTAAATTTAGAATTAAAATCATTTCTTAAATAATTTTGCGTAATTTACTATTTAGCATTTAAATTTTGAATTTTAATCAAATTTGCATGTGAATTTCAACGAAATTCTTACTTGAAGTGCTTCCCAAACAAGCTGAAGAAAACATTTCGGCGGATGCGGTGGGATCTCATTCGCTCCGAACACTTCTCGCCGTTTTGTCAACTCGGTTTCCGTATTCGGCAGACCTGAAAATCGAAACAAATTTGCAAATCTCATTGCAATCATTTTACCATTATTGGGATCTGTTTGCAGTTTCTGACATAATCCGTTTATCCCTCCATAATCATTCTCTATTTTCTCTTTTGCTTCGGCGCCTCTGAAATCAATAACAATTTCATCGACATACACATATATCTCTCATTTTTTTCTCATCAAAAGTGTCTCAAAGCAACACAACAAAGAAATGCGAATAGGCACCGAGAATTTTCCGAAAGTTCAAACTCAGTGTTTTGTGCTTCATTTCCCACCAACTTATTTTGTGCCAAAAGTCACCGTCGGTGCTGGCAAACGTCATTTTTTTCGTCTCATCTCTCGTTAGTACGTGTGTCACAGCCACTGTGATGCGTGTTTTTTGTATGTATGTGTGTGTGTGTGTATGTCTCGGCAGTGTATAAGCATCACAACACCGATAGGTTCCAATGCGTTGCTTTCTCGGCCGTTTGGCAGAAAAAAAAACACGACGACTTTCAGATCGATGAACGAGCTTGTTCCCAACGACGCAGACGCAACTTTTGTCACAAAATGGAAAATCATGCTCGTCAAACAAAACGCTGTTCTGGCAAAGATCAGGCGACAACAAAAAAGAAAAAGATGAAGCGGGCGAAGAAAAAATAACACATGTTAATTATTTGATTAATTTCGCCTGTTAAACTCGTTCGCAGTTGCATTTTACAAAACAAAATTCACAGTGGCATTTTGAAGAAGCTGTTAACATTTGAACCGTTTCGCTTTTATATGAGTAGTTATTCCAGACATTGAGGATTTAAATTCGATGAAAAAACGTTTAAAAGGGTAAATTTTCTTCTATTAGTCTAACGTCTCATGGTTCGATTCCCCAGAAAATAATCGGGCTTCATCCGCTTGTTCTTTTATTTAAAAAAAAATGAGCATTAAAACGACACATGTCGCTAAAAACTTTGTAAACTTTTGATCCAGATCGATTTCGCCGCTTAATTCCGTTTTATATGTTTTATATGTTTATTGGAAGAAGTGAGCACATGTCTATTTTGTGATTCATCCAGTTGTTTATTTGATCAAACAATAACTATAATACTCACCGATACTCCATAAGAGCTCGAAGCTCCTCGAGCGATGCTCCATATTCGGGCATTTCGCTGAAAAAATTCAAATAAATCACAATGAAAAATGGGCGACAATTAGGCGTTGATATATGCGAGGCAGTGTCAGCGCAACCGAAATGCAACGTTTTTTTTTTCAAACCAAAAAATTTCGAGCAGTACAATTTTTGTTTTATGTGAAATAGTGAATTGTAATGAAATCAAAGACAAAAGAAGAAGAAAAAAAACGACAAGAAAATCACGAAAAACAAAGAATAGTTGAGATCGAAAGAGACGAAACGCAGTCGAGGCAGTGAACGAGAGGAACCATAAAAACAACATTTTCCTGATAAACTTGACAACGATAACGAGCAAGCGACGAGCCGGCCAACCGACCGGCCGGTGCCACCACTATTGAATAACAATATCAAAACAACCAAGCGTTGTTGGCGACGGCGGCATGATCAATAACAATAATCAGAGGCGGCTCGGCTCGCTTACAATAATGCGACTAAATTTGCCGGGGAACCCCCGATGATGGTGGTGGTGGTGATGATGAAGAGAAGGACAAAAAGAATAAGAAGGCGATGGAGGCGGACGCAATGACGGACAGAACAAAAAATTGTCGAAATGAATCATAGGCGTACGAGGCTGCTCGCTGATGAAACCCATTGATTGATAGATATGAAACAGGGATTGGAAACAAGAAAAAATAGACTGAGCAATGAACAAACAATTGGGTAAAGGTTCATACGAGGATCAAGCTGTTAAGAAACTGCATTCAACATCGATCAAGTCATTTACTGATGTACTGTCGACGTCGCGCCACTACGGAAAATTGGATTAAAAAAAAACAAAATTAGGTTTACACTTTTAGTTTTACTCCAAGACCATTGAAATTTGGCCATTTTTTTGTAGTTGCGCGACGCCGACAATACAGTTTGATCAAAAACCATAATTCTACAATGACAGAAAGTTCGGAGAATTTATTTTACTAAAACAAATGTTAGATCAAGAGTTTGTAGTATTCGTTATAAAAATAGCGAATCAATCTATATCGTGGCAGCTAATTTTATAGGAACTAGAAAGAATTAAATTTAACCATAAAAAAATATTTTTTTATGCGCAATTAAACTAGAAATCTCAATGCCGATGTTTGAGCTTTCCCAGCACAAAAAGAATGCGCAATTGTGATCTAATGAACAAGTGCAAAAAAGCGAACAATGAAAAAGTGAGCTAGAAAAATCGAGTATAACACATTTTCTAGATGTTAATCTCAGGGGATACAAATAGTTTGCCCATTGAATGGGATGAGCTCAAGAAACCAACACATGCACCGTCGGCACCGCCAATCATTTGCATATTTATTGAAGGCCGAATCAATGTGAGGATGAGAATGAGAATTGAACGAATAAAACATTAAACAGAGTGGTTGGCTGACGAAGAATAATGAATTCGAATTTACGTCATTAGATTGTAATGATAAGGCAAGTACGCAATTCAATATTTTGAGACACTAGTTGATCGCAAAAACTCTGATAACCGTGCTAAATACGGCAACGACAGGTATATTCGTACCGGCCAGAACACGCGAAAAAAGATAAGAGAGATATCATTCGTCAAGAATAAGGCGCACTTTTCAAATGTACCCAGAGAACAAATTGTGCCCATACTAGGAATAACGGAAACACGCTTTTCATTTCATAACATAACATGTAACACAGTCCACAAGAAATTAATCCAACGAATTAAGTACTACTTCAAATTCCGTATCACAAATGTTCGTTTTGAAAAAGGTAAATCCAATTCAGCTTGACAGCTTCCAACGTAGACATCCGATGATCACGAATCAATGCAAGGTCGCGCTCCAGGCAGAAATCTCAGCCACCTAACCTCTTTGCAACCGCACCAAAAACCAAAAACTCAACTCCATTTGGAAGCGCAAGATTTATGCAAAAAATAGTTGGGTGTGTGAATCAAGCTTAATCCATTCGTGTGTGCCACGCCTAACTAAAAACGCGAAAAACAACACCCCGCAATCGTGCGTCTATTTCGAGAACGCTTTTCAAGAGAGCTCCCCAGAATGCAATCCGTCAACGACACAAAATTTTTGAAACAAAATTGAGCTTTGCCTTGCACACACCCGATAACGCAGAGCCGACAATCTTCCTAACAACGCTGTAATACTTTTCTTTCGTCAATCGCTGGCGCACAAAGCGCCTAAAGAGCGACAACCTACGCAAAACGTTGATGGAACTAGCTGATATGGGCTCGGTAAATATGCTTATCGCTTCGACGCCCGAAGCACCCAAAAATGCTCGACAGAATTCGACAAGAAAATGCCGAATGCCAACGAGAGCCGCAATTTAATGTGATTCTTAAGCTCGTCCACACAAAATTTATCGCCGAATTTGAATCGGAACGAAACCACCGCAATTTGTTTATAGACCTACCAATTGGAACAAAAACATCAGAAAACGATGCAATTTAATGTGAGTTTTTCAAAGTGAATAGCAAATTCCAGAGTTGACGTCAAAAATATGGAATCAAGGGCAAATTGGCAAATATCTTTAAAATTTCTGTAGCTTTAATCAACCAAAAAAATTTTTAGAAAATATTGCATAAATTAGTTGAGCAAGTTTCGAGAAATCTAAGAAACTAAGAGCATAAACGTTGAAAAACGAGAGAACTTCCGCAATCCGAAAAAAATCATACTCTTGAGAATTCTAAGCAAACTCGAAGGGGAACTGCCTCTAATGGGGGCCCTGTAATGGCAAACGTCAAAATTGGAAACAAATTCGCAATTTGAAATGAAAACAATGCCAAATTAGACGCAACGGCGATAAGAACCGCGAAACGATGATTCAAACTAGAAATATGAGGCCGGAAAACTTATCGAATTCGATATTGATGACGATGATGATTCATCATTGAAATTTTGTGTTCAAAAACTTTTCCATTAAACGTATTAAATTTCAGGTGGAGGGGGTCCGACGTCGTCTTTCAACAATCAAAAAGATGAATTAACAGCACACTCACACACATAAACATAACAAAACAACACTTGAATTGATGTTGAATGGGCTTAAGAAAACAGAAAAAAAAAACAACGAATTGGTATCTAGCAGAAACAATCAGATGCGAACGAACACATATAAGGGCATTCGAGAAAGAGGAACCCATTATAATGAAAAAACATCCAATTCTCGTGGTCCGTCCAACGATTCATCAAATTGGTGATTCAAGAAAACAACGACGACGAACACATTAAATTAGAATGCCGATTTCGAAGCAACGCTTCCAAAATTGAAAGCAATTGCATCTCGGAGCACACTATTCAATAAAAGAACGAATTTGAATTATGTGGAACGAACGAAAAAAAAATAGAGGCGCGCCGCCCGTGACGGCAGGTGGTCAATTCAACACCAACCACTAATTATGAAATATTTCGAAAATCGATTTTCAATGGCGATAAATCAAAAATTAAATTCATGCGCAGTGACAGGCTGGCTAAAAAATAGCAATTTTTAGAATAGCGCTACCAAATATTCAATTCTCAATTGATACAATCGAAATCTAAAACATTGTAGGCACAAACGTTTGATTTTCTCTGGAAGGCTACAATGATATTTCTTTCAAGTTTATTTCCAAACGCATTCCGGTCGGGTTTCTGTTTATTTTTCCCGCAAAAATTACTACGAATTCTCGATTATTTAACGAATAATTGCCCAAATTTTCGAGAAAAGCTTCAAAAAAGCAAAACACAACGTAGACGACGTTGGAGGAAAAAAACTCGAGGTGTTTTCCGCGTTTATTATTCACATCAACACGCGTAGGACCTTGTGCAAACAAAACAAAAGGAAAATACGCCAAAGTCGTTTTTTTTTTGTGAAACTTTTTTTTTGGTCAAGAAACTTTGTTTGACCCACGCGTTTCGACAAAGAAGTGCCACCGAGAAGGGAGATGAAGCGAAAAAAAAAACTTTGCCCTAAACGAAATAGCTGCAAACGAAAATTTGCACACAAAATACTACGTCAGCCATCGAAATACTTCCTTCGTTCAATTCTCCGCCTACCTATGAAGAATCTCAGTTGGCGCAAATTTCTCCCCGGAGAGAAAGCCATTTAAAGCACAGCGAGCAAAATGGGAGGAAAGAAGAGGCAAATGGAGAAGAAGAAGAAGAAGAAGAAGCTAGCCAACCACCAAGGCAGTGAGCACTCAACACAAGACAATCGTCATTTTCCATTGTGGTGCACTTGGGCATTGAAGACTCATAAGGCTTCAGAAAATGGTTGAAGCGCGAAAAAGTCAGATTCACAATGCAAAATGGAAAAATTTTTCAAAAAAAAATCACAGACTGGGGACATGAGGTGTTGTGAGAGCACAGGAAGCTGCATCAATTTTCTCCGATCTTCTCAATGATGTCGTTCTCACACAGCGAAAAAAAGACACTAGCATACACACACACATTACCGAGCCTCATTTATCTCCTCATTTCTTCCTTTAAATTTTGTTCTTTTTTTGTGTTGTGCTCCTGCTGTGCTCAATGGCACAAGGAGGTGGTGAAGAAGAAGAAAAAGCATGAGAAATTTTTTCTTCTTCTCCTTCTCCAATTCGCCTGCCTAGTCCGGGCGCCAGAAATTTTTGAGGGGATGCAAGGAATTGTGCAACAAGACGTCAAAAAGAAGCAGAATGGCCGAGTCTCCCCTCAATTCGACGTCTCAACAGCCGCAGCAGCAGCAGGAGCGGCGGCGGCGGCGGCAGAAGACGAAGCAAGAGTAGGAGCGGGAGCAGTGGCAGCAACGCAAGCGGAAGAATAGGCGGTGTGTGGCGAGAAGAAAAAAAAAACGGCAGAAGCGAAAAAAACACACAGCAGCGCACAAATGGAGTAGAAAAAATAAAAAAAATTCTCATTTTTCGTCAAAAGGATCCCTACGAATTGAATAACGATGGATGGAGCCAAATAGGGCAGTTGAAGATAAAAAAGAAAAACCAGAAAACAAAAACCAGAATCCAATAATAATCATAATCATAGAGCTAACTCACAATTAAA